TAGTGATCCTGTTATACAGGCTGTTATTTTCTACTTAGATCTGCTTGAAAGCCGTTCTATAAGATCATATAATGGCTTTTAAAATAATAGTCGTGAATAAGAAAACAGACATAGAAGATTCATATTAAGTAGTATGTAACTACTCCATTGCAAATTTCGACATTTTCTGGCTCCTCTAGTCGGTAAAGTCCGTCCATCCGAGGTATTGTTCCATAGTACAGTGTACAGTACTGTAAAATGTACAGTGTAAATTGCTGTAGGCGTCCGTGGTCGGCCACCTGCCTTCATACTGTGCTGTATTGTACTGGACACTGTGGACAGTACTGTACTGTACAACGAGCGAGGGGTCTACAGTACAAGTAGCATAACTTGAAAACAAAACTACTGTAAACCTGATGACATCATCGATTCCGTATTGAACTGTACTCCGGTGAGTGTACCTGATGTGTGCAAATTACATATACCGCATCTTGGGTAGTATTTAGTATACACTGTATGATACATAAGGTGTTTTTGCCTTGCTAGCCTAGTCGTATGTCCTGAATGAATCGCCGATGGTGACATGACTTTTGTTCCAAGGACGAGTAGGTCACTTTCAGCAGTCTCGACTGTAAAAAGGATGACGATACGGTACTGTACTGGTACTGGTAGATGTCACGGTGTGACACAGCTACAGTGCTGCTACACCTGTCCGAAGGTTTGGTTCTATTACTGTATTATACTGTACATTGTACAGCAATGTAAGTTTGGAAATACTTTACTGTACTGTACAGTGTACTGTACAGTGTACAGTGTACTGTACAGTGTACAGTGTACAGTACAGTAGACGGTTCAGTACAGTGTACAGTAATTTTGGGGAGAAATACTGTACAGTACTGTACTGTACACTGTACAGTATGTACAGTATCATAAAGCACGAAGTACAGTACTACAGTATGCACTGTACACTGTACACTGTTTGAAACTGTTTGAAACGTGTTTGTGAAGTGAAACCACTGTTTGAAGCGCACATTGTTTGAAACGTGTTTGTGAAGTGAAATCACTGTTTGAAGCGCACACTGTTTGAAACGTGTTTGTGAAGTGAAACCACTGTTCTGAAACGTACACTGTTGGCCCACCGTACTGTACTGTACAGTACAGTGTACAGTGTACACTGTACAATGTGTACTGTACCCCGTACTGCAAACACTTTTCAATGGACGATGACGTCATCGAAATGACTCTGATTGCTGTAGAAACATAGAGAAAGCTGTCACGTATCTTCAGTGATATTGAAGGCAGCCTAACTACTTCCTGTATGCCTGCCGCTAGTATGGGGGATTTCTTCTTTCTAGCACTTGTAAAACTATCCATGAAAAGTGTATGCTGTACTAGGGAATCTCTCAGGCAGGGACTACTCTAGAGAAAGTTTGTACTTTCTCTTTCTAATTTGTCAGCTCTTTCGCCTTCAAAAGATAATCTCAAGGAAACTAGTCCAGTAGTGAATCAATCAGTACGGGATCGGACGGATGATGAGACAGTGTTCGATTGCTGTCAACTACAGTGCTCAGTACTCAGTACAGTCCTGTACAGTACTGTACTACCATACTGTACAGTACTGTACACTTGTACAGTACATGCAGACTTCCACCAGTATGTACAGTACTGTATACTGTACACTGTACAGTAGTACCGTAGTCTTATTTTACCTACTAGTCACTGTAGTCTCTTCCAGTTGCAGTGTTAAAGGTGAAACTGGTGATCGGAGCTTGGTGAGGGAGAAAGAAACAAAATCCAACGGGTAGTTTCTATGCTAATCGAAAAGATTGAGAGTTAAAAAGCAAAATAAAACAGTTTATGCTCTTCATACAATATGACATCTTCCAATTTGAAGAAAGCGTAAGTTTGATCTCCAAAATGGTTGAATAGGATGTTAAGTTCACTTATTCACACTTTACAAATATAATCATCACAGTGCCAATGAATTGCCTAGAAATACCCTATAATAGATTGTAGAAGGAATGGACTACTGCAATAGTAATATTATTATTTATTTTTATGACTGGATGGAATAGTTATAAGACAAGCAAAGAAAACCGCTTTATCTGCTAGTTAAAATGTGTATTTGTCAAGTCCTGCTTGGCTTACTACAGATGATAGCCACCAGTAGAGGTATCATCTTATAAAATAGCAACGGACACCACAATCAATGCTGATGAGCTTGATACTCGTATGTCTTCTGTTTGATAGTATAGCCGAGTTCCATCTTTCGCATCGTCCTTATTTTACCCTAAACGCTTAGCTATGAATATTAAAGTAGCAATCGTCATGCTGATTGATATGGGTAATGCGATGGTACATGACAAGTTGTTTTCCTTTTAGCAAGATGAAAACATACCCTAGTGCAGTGTATACTGTATATTAGCGGAAACAGACTGTTGACAATGATTATTACAAGCCCTGAATGCATAGCTTAATTAAGAAATTGCTTGCAATTGCCGTAAAATTCAGAAAGTTGCCGATAAATTCCATTTCATTCCTGGCCGGCTTGTTTGTTATAAAACTCTTCCTGATGAAACAATTGTTCGTCTATTATTATAATCTTCTAATTTCAGGATGTAACGATCAGTGTAATTCTATATTTTTATCATTGATTATCCGTATTGATCTAGGTTAATGCGATATTGATATGTGCTTGTTAGTAGGATTTATTGTAGATACAAGTAGAATATTATTTATGTAGGCCGAATAGTACATAATCGAATGCTTGTATTAAAAAAATCAAAATTTCAAAAAATTGTAAAAACTTTTTTCGTTCATTTTAGAGATGTCAAGATTGTAATCATGGGAGAATCAGGAGTTGGCAAAACCTCATTTATCGGCCGTTATTTGAAAGGAACTTTTTCCGTCCAACCACATGTGAGTATAATAAATTGGTAGAATGATATAGCGGCACGAGTTAGAAGCTTGCCGCTTAGCAAAATGTTTATCTAATAGTCTGTGCCTTGTGTTTATACAAGTTGATCTTAAAGATGAGAAAGTGATGACCGAAGCACTTACACTTCATTTTCACAAATGTTATACAGTATAGGCCGGGTCATGTGTAGTGTAATTACTTAAGAGCAAGTACATTCGGCAGTACTAATCTTACAGTAGTGAATCTATCAACGATATTCGTTGTTAATAAGCTAGATGTTAATGTTTCAGTATGTGTAAGTTAAAGTTTATTGAATAGTTGAGCAGAAGTACTGCTTAATGTTACGTTGGATCGAGATAGAAAGTCTCCAACTTTTGAGTAAATAATTTACGTAATTTATTCGAAAATCAGATCATTATAATGTTGTAGTAGTGCTTTGTCTATGTGAACGACAATCCGTGTATCATAGTTTTTGTGTGTTATTGTTTGTTATAGATGCTTCATAAACATATCGTAGTCGTATATGCTGAAGTAGACCATACTTGTAATTGAGGCATTACTTTCAAATAATTATGTTGCATTATTCATCGTCGTTCTATGTCAAATTGTTCCATCGAATTTATTGTTTCATATCGCATTCTAGACTATGGGTGCTGCTTTTAGTATGCAGAAATGGGGTCATTATAACGCTGCGATTTGGGTAAGACAATATCGTCGGTTTGCTGAATTGGACATTTGTTACTATACTAATAGCTAGTTATAGCTTTTTACTACCATATACGTATAGAGTGTATTTTACCAATGATATACCATTAAAATGAGCCTTTGTGAAGCGTCTAATATTATCCCTAGTTTTAGGTAGTATTAACCTAGACGACTACTCACCACTTGCTCGTATATCGAAAATTACAGCAAGCATATGTATTAAATTCTCTACTATCTTGAAATGTCTTTTCTTACTTAGGATACTGCTGGGGAAGAGAGATATGGACGCTTAACATCATTTTATTGTCGTGGTGCTTCTGGAGTTATTATTGCATACGATATTACCTCGAAAAAGTCATTCGATACACTGAAGGAAAGATTCATACCGTTGCTCGATGAGAATGATACCCATGTACTTGTTGCTGTTGTTGGTACGAAGAAAGACTTAATCGATACAGCGGGTAGAGAAGTATCGCAAGAGGATGGCAAAACAATGGCTATAAATTTAAACGAGAATTGGCAGGGTCAAAAGTTGCAACAGATCCCATTCTTTGAAACTAGCTCTAAGGCTGGAATAAATGTAAAGGAAGTTTTTAAATTTTTGTTATCGAATTTATTACCATTAGATGATTCAAATAATACGAATTTGGAGCAATTGAATAATTCTAAATCGCAAAACACTGTGGATACTATTACTTTAAGTAATACAAGACCAAAAAATAGTCAACAAACAGGCAAAAGTGGTTCATGTTGTTAAATATCATTGGCTGTGTATTTTATTAGACTTAATTATGCTATAAACTGCAGTATCACGTAATTTATATCATGTATTATTTATCACAATCTTATCGTAAAGTGGATTTTAGATCGAATAGAAATTTTTTATGAACAAAACAGTCCTATATACGTTTAATTATATGTAAAAATATCAGAAAGAAAATGTTTTAGATGTACAGTGATAGTTGTGAGATATAAAATTTTGGGTTTGTATTTGCCAACATTTTTATCAAGTAATTGATGATTTGTTACTCAGGTGATGAGCAAATCAGTAAAATATAGCTAGTTTCTTTTTCTAATTGATAAATGTAGAAAGCTGATATTGAACCGCTATTTTTAATTATTATAATATGTAGGCAGACATAGTAATCAAAATTGAAAATGTTAGCATCCTTAATTAAAATCAAGTCCTTAATTACAGTGCATATCTCAGCAACTTGTCCGATTATAATAATTATTATCATTTTTGTTTGAACTTCATCTTCTGTGGATAATGCTCATTTTTAGATCTAATCTCCGTCATTTCAGAGTTAAAACTTTATGTAATATCAAAAATTCCATTTATCCAAATGCAAACAAATATATATATAACAAATTTTTGACCTTAAGTAAATTGATGTAGTAACTTTTTTCATCAACTACTGGGTTCAAACTCATTGCCTTAACCCTGCAATTTGATCAAAATACAGGCAGTAAATTAACTATTAACTAAAGATAACCATCTCCAATAACATGTGTAAAGCTGCATTGGAAAACTTATTATTTTTATTTCGTAAATTTTACAATATGTGCTTATGAGCTCTAACGAAATACTAATTATAGTGAATACCAATTTAAGCTTAAAATAAATATGATGAAGATTACTAGGTGGATGAGTGACTAATATCAAATCTTATACTGTGTCTTTTTAAGATTCTAGATGTCGTACATATATTATTCAACGCATGCATGAATACTTTACTGTTACACTTTTAATCAGCTTCAATTTTCATGCATTTCATATTCGCACATGGGTTAAATTATAACTATTTTTCCCGATATCAATTATTTTTTAAGTCAGTTTCATAATTAATGTAAGGTTTAGCGACTATCAAACTCTTTTCTCGTATCTTTTGGCTTCCGTAATATTATATAATCGTACTTTAGGCTTATGCAAGCAGTAACAGATCATCTTATTTGCAATCCTGTTGGTAGATACTCTTGTACAGAAAACATTTTTAGCTCTGTTAAAAGGGACATGATAGAGCTTGCTTCTTGTTGAATTTATTAATGAAAATATATGCTAGCTAATCATTGCCTGTGACTAATAGTACTTCAAGTTATGCAAAAGAAATGAGATTCAGAACACAATAGATAACCAACAAAATTGGGAGCAGTTGGTCGGTAGGAACAGCTACTTTGTCTGTAGATGGAAGCAGTCCATGCCTGTTTGTTAGATAGCTACAAATATTACCATAACAAATTTAGGAACTTTGCAAGAGACGGCAAATAAGTCTTACAATATTTTAAAGGGAGATCAATTTTGCAAACGCAATTCTGGTAGCCCATATACATCTCAAATACTGTATTACAATAGCTTGATAATCAGATAAATAAACTGGTGGAATGATACAAATTATATATTACAGATATCATTAATTATGGTAAATAAAATGAATTAGATCCTCGTATAATTAAAAAGTCTTTACCTATAGACAAAACTGTCTACACTTGCATATACGCGTAAACTACATTTTAGAGTGGAATTTATCAGGTACAAAGTCAGGTTTATATGAATTTTTCGACTTGGTCCACTAATTATAATCAATTGGTATTACGAAAACGTACTCGTAAATATACTTTAACAATTAATAGATAAATAAGATCATCAAGAGATTTTGAAAGTGTAGCATTATTGCGAGGGCAGACAGTATTATTTCCCCTTTGCGGTTATAGAAAGGATAGGATATACTAATTTATAGATCTTGATGACCTTTGTCAAAAGCTGATTTTAAATTTGCAGATTTTTCAGCATTAATCATTAAATGATAATAAAAATTGATGGTTTGCTCATAATTTTTGATTTTAATTTTTTCATTGTTTCCATGGATTCCCTTTAATTCAGCACTGTTTAAAAAGGAAGGTGCAAATCGATATATATTCTTACTGAGTTTGACGAAGTGTTTCGAATCGCTGGACGCAATGAAAAGTGCTGGAGCTACGGGTACTTCAAATATTTGATATATACTTTGATGCAGAATTCGATAGCCATCAGAATCGGTTGGCGAAATCGGTGAAGGTTCATATGCACTGAGTATTTTAACCTTTACTCGATCATCTTGGATTATTTTTTTATCAATTTTGAGAACATCCGCCACTGATTGCAGTGGATGAATACGATGGTTTACCACTGCTTTTGCTGTTGATGAAATGACGTTCCACTTTACACCAGCATTAAACATAGTTAAGGCGGTAGTGGTGCGTATAATTGCGTTTGTATTCGGTTTTAATGCAAATGCGCGAGCGATTAGAGGTCCAAAAAGCCATAAATTAGCCATTAGAACGCGATGCGGTAATGTCATTTTGTTTACTACGTACTCTAACAATAATCGTTCGGGTCCTTTTCCAAAGAAGTTCTCATGGGGATTTTGCTCTAATGATACCATAGCCTTCGATAAGATGCCAATGCTAGTTTCTCCAGCTGGCATTGAAGCATGTCCTGGAGTGACAGAGACACTAAATTCGAATGTTGCCATACCTTTTTCAGCGATACCAATTAATGCGACGGGGGTTTGCATGCCTGGTAATATGCCATCCGCTACGACCATCCCTTCATCAGAAATAAAGTCGAGCGTTATTCCTCGTGAAGAAAAGTAATTGGCAACCGCTTTTGCACCTCGGAGACCCGATACCTCTTCGTCATGACCCATCGCCATATAAAATGTACGAATAGGTCTTTGACCTTTAGCCAGTCTAAATTCTAGTGCTTCCATCATACCGAATAACGTTTGCTTGACATCAAGTGTACCTCGACCGAAAATATAGCCTTCTTTAACAGTGGCTGAAAAGGGATCAACTTGCCATTCTGCAGCCTTGGCAGGGACTACATCTAGATGGCTAACCAGCATGTATGGAGGTAAGGTGCTATTTGTGCCTTCAACACGATATAACAAGGTATAATTTGCAAACAAGATACGTTGGATAAAGTTGGATGAATGGATAAGTGGAAACGATTCTTGAATATGATCATGCAATTGTAGAATGGCTGTGAAATTACAATTATCGATAGATGTGCATACCGTTGGTATTTGAATAGCAGTTCTAAAGTGTTGCAATCTTACATCATTTAATGGGATAAAGTCCGAATCCGATACTTTACACTTCTCAAAATAGGGTTGAGCGTCAGGGAAGGTAACAGTTCTGATAATAACTGCAACGATAATCACGCCTAATATTAGTAATAGTGATTTCAGTATAAGCGATAAAATCTTTCTTGTTTTCATTTCTTTTGCAAGAGTTACCAGCAACGGCTAATACGAGTAGCTATGAGCAAATATCGTCAGCTAATCAATCAATGGCGGCCAATCTTGAATCTCTCGACACCGACTGCAGTATCCTGTACAATATACACTATTATATGGTACTATAGTACACTACTGTATAGGACTGTATTCAGTATACTGTGCAAGTAGGAGGAGAGAGGTGTGTACTATTATTGTTTAACTAACTAGAACTAGAAGTTTTTCTACTGCCATTTGCAATTGGTTAATTATCGATGGTGCCAACAGGTACAAATATCATCCAACAGGCTCATCAGTTTGGCTTGCCATAGGATCGAAGACTGAATGGAGGTATAACTTGAGATTTCTGTTCTGTACGTATGCCATCTATTTGCAACTTGCTGCTGTCAATTAGTATAAGTATCATCAGATACGCCTAGCAGATTGCGTTGCTATAGAACCGAAGCAGAATCAAGCTACAACTTGAAGTTTTGATATTATATATCAACTACAGTGTTTGCAATAAGTTGTTGCCAACCGGCTCAAACATCATCGGATGCAAATCAGATACAAAGTACGTTGCCATAGGACATTAAACCGAGTCAAGCGGTCATCTGAGGTTTTACGAGTATACCAGTTATTTTGCTTGCTTGATACAGCTATTTTGGAAGGTACTGGTTAGGACAGCGGCGTAGGCCACAGATAGAGTTAATTAGCTAACATCGTGGTAATGATATGCTTACAACAAGGTAAAACCATCATTTTACCTATTAGATACTGCTTGTCAATATGGGTGTCATCAATTTTATAATAAGATTTATTATTGGTGCTATTGCGAGCATTACGCTAATCGTAACGATTAGAATGATAACTTTTCCTAGTCATCAGGTTAATGTAGGCGAATGTAGCGTTAAAGATGATGACTTTATCCATCTATCGCAGCAAGCTATTGAACGTTTTCAACAGTCACTCAGATTACAAACTATATTTAATGAAAATGAAAGTTTTAATACATCGGCTTTTCTTGCACTTCATCAACATCTTGTCGATAATTATCCTCTCATTCATAATGCATCATTTATATCTCGTGAAATAATCAACAGCTATAGTCTTCTTTATACCATCAACGGTAGCAATCCAGCGTTAACACCGTATATGCTAACTGCACATCTCGATGTTGTCCCTGCTAAGAAAGACGAATGGAGTTATGATCCATTTAGTGCTCATATTGTGGATGGATTTATCTACGGTAGAGGAACACTAGATGATAAAAATGGTGTTATCGGCTTGATGGAAGCATTAGAATTTCGTTTACGTAAGAAAATCATGCCCAAAAGATCCTTTTACTTGGCTTTCGGTCATGATGAAGAAGTGACAGGTCTGCATGGAGCTTATCATATTGGAAAGATACTAGCTGATAGAGGGGTTGAGCCCGATTTTATTTTGGATGAAGGCATGATGATTGTTAGTGACGGAGCACCTGGTGTAAAAGGGCCTGTTGCTTTTGTTGGTATTACTGAGAAAGGCTATGCTACTCTTCAGTTAACAGTAGCCAACGGTACTGATCATGATATAGTGCCAGAAGTAAATTCAAACATTGGTATTCTAGCTCAAGCTGTTTCGACGTTAGAAAGAGTCGGCCATCGTAATTTATTCGGTAGTGGACCAGAAGTAATAATGTTGGAACATTTGGCTCCTCTAATGGGATTTTCCTATCGAATAATCATGACAAATTTATGGCTGTTTTCATATGTTGTAAGTCTTCAATTCGATGCGGATGCTGCAACGCGTGCTTACATTAAGACGACCACAGCTTTAACTATGTTCCATTCTAACAGTGATTCAATCAATGTTGGCTCTTCATCAGCTACAGCTATTATTAATCATCGTATACATCCATCCCAATCGGTAACTGAGGTTATCAACTACGATAAAGCCATCATTAATGATGATCGTGTACAATTTAAAATACTAGACTCTTACAATCCTCCAAGATTATCACCCATTGATTCTTTTGGCTATAAGGTTATTTATAAGAGTGTTCGCCAAGTGTTTAAAAATGTGCCAGTTATACCATCTGTTATGATTGGAAATACTGATACTATACACTATCTGCATTTAACTAGAAATATTTATCGATTTTCGCCGTCTTGTTTATCAGCTACGACAGATTTAAAGAGAATACATGGAATTGATGAGAGAATAAGTTTACAAAATTATCAAGAAACACTAAACTTCTATTTTCATGTTTTCGATAATGCTGATAAAGGGATAAATCTTCCTGATCGGGATAAAGAGAGAGCAATGGAATTTTAGAATGAATGCCTGCTTAATATTGTGATATTCTCATAAGTATCAATGAATGTGATATACCGTATGTCAAGATATACAGATATAGATTGCTTTTATCCAGAATTTTAGTACAGAAATTTTTAGATATTGTTTCATATAAGTACGCGTGGTATTCAACTCCATATTTCCAATGTTAAACATAGTATTTGAGATGGTATATACATATGTAGATTTATAGCCTATTTTTACAGGAAATGTTTTAATGGTAAGTCATATCATCCTGAATGATATTTAGTAAAGGAGATAATTATTTTTATTAAATAAAATTTTTTACTTCAAATTAATATCTCTAATATTCATCCGGCTTAGCTAGCTAGTGTTAATTAATGTAGAGTATGCAGATGGCGTTGTACTTTATCATTAATACTTGCAATAGTAAAAGGGTATAAGCATGTTTGGGGCTTGTTGCCTTATGATCCATAAATTTATTTTATTAAACTATTAAGTCCTACTACAATTGTAAAACCTGGAATTATTTATACAATGGGTCATAATAGTAGCCTAGTGGCGTAAATGATGATACTGTACATTATAATTTACTTTCTATCAATGATAAATACGTGTTTCAACATTTCAATCACTACTATTGGCTAAGTTTTGTATCTATTTGCATGATTTAGCTAAAAATAAATAATTAATGATAGTATTACTATTCATATGAATTGAAGACTAATATAATAGATCAATCTGACTTCTAATAGTATTAGATAACGATTTAATATAAGCCATTTATACATCATCGCCTAATAGCATCGTTTACATATTCTCTCGTTAATTCTACTGATAATCCTATTGCGACGTTTCTATCCGATATATTGATTCACCATGAACATGTATAGCGGCTGGCTCATGAACATAGTGCAAATTTTGTATAGTACAACTCTTAATAGTGTAAGATTTAACACTTTATACGCTAGGGGGCAAGAACATTGCCGCTGAATCACTAATCCACTGTGATTGAAATATATCTCGGTCTAAGTACTGCTAATCTTGCCACTATTCTGCTATAACTTAAGGCATTTGTAGAGTACAATAAACAAACAATACAAACGAAGCGTATTGTGTTGAAGCATCTATTTATTCTTATAGTATCTGTATCCTTTTTATTATTGATGATGGTACACTATATAGGATGCTTATATGCGAAGTCTACCAATGGTGATATACTGAATTCAGTAACTAATCAATACTAAAGTATACGCTTATAGTCAAAAATACTTTTGTACTGTAGTATAGCGACAATATTTAATGAAGGTGCTCTATACTTTCTAATTTTATTATGGTTTTTAAAGTCTAGTTTGAGTTCATGAATAGCAATTAACTATTAATTAATTCTATAGACTATAATTAATCGATATTTGCTGTAAAAGCTAATATCAAATTATTCGTGTGGGCAGGGCTTTTAATTCTCGAATCTAACTAGATAGTATTGAATATAATTAACTATATTAACTGGAAATAATAATTAACAAAGGTACAGCAAATATACCGCGACATCATATATTTGATTTGGTTGATAGTTTAATTTTATTCCAAGAAAAGCATCGCTAAAATTAAAAGGTAATCATTATGATCAATCATTTGAAGATATTTAATTTTTACTAGTTACTAATAAAAATACTTATCAACGTCAGGTAGACCAGTTATTTTCTGCCATTAGATATCTTTAAAGTTATAATGTACATTACCTGAATCGTTATCACGAAAGCAGTATTACAACCATTAGTCGTCCAAATGGAAGCTAGTAGTGTTTAAATTTTTTAAATTACATAAACTTGAGAAGTTAGAATTTGCCTTGTGGATTTCGACTCATTCTGTACAAATCATATTACGTTCGTTACAGGGAAATTAAAGGCGAGCGTTTAATTCCTACTGTATAAGTTAGCATGGGAAAAGCTCTATCAAAGAATAAAGGTTCGGCTGCCTTTCGGGTTGGATTCCTAAATCAGAAAGGAATAGTAGTAGGCAAAGGAACTATAACCATATCCAGAACCAAGCTTGAATTTATTAGTAAAAGCAAAAAACAGGAATACGAGTGGCCATTGACGACAATATCACGCTATGGTTCCGCAAATGGAACTTTTACCTTTGAAGCTGTCGACTCCAACGAACAGAGCGCTATGTATTGCTTTACATCATCTAAAACGGATAGAATGGAAGCTTTTCTTGATCAAAAAGTTCAAGAATATCAAAAGAAGCAAGAAAAAAATTAACTAAAAAATTAGAGCTACAAGCTAAGATCGAGATTATTGTTTTCATCCTTGATTAAGCACTTATTTATCGTTTTTTGCACAAATCATGTATTAACTTATTTGCAGGTTTTTTTTAAAGTCTATGACGCTTTTAAATTCTTGACAGATCCATATTTGTTTAACCTCATTCTTATAATAGAAATAGTTTTCAATCCATTTTTTAGATCCAATGCACATGATCTTAAGATTTTAGCTTCTCTCGTCTTACAGTAGCTATCGCAAGTAGATTGCTAGTAGTACCTGCTATTATTTACTAATACAATACGATATTTATAAAATTTGAAATTGATTAGTAATTAAAAAGATGCTTTAAAATCGGGCACGAGCTATCGAGACTATAGTGTACGTTATACTTCTGTCTCAATGGTTCAATCTCAGTCACCTTAATATATGTTTGGATCAAAATTTTTATATGGCATCTGTGGTTACAATTTCTATTTACTATAACGCCATTGAGTACGGTAATTAAAGTTGTACTACTCTTTCCAATGGCCCTACTGTAGCATAAATTTTTACTATTGCTGTAATTTATACATGCTGCAACGACAAACAGCTGTACTGAAGTATTATTTTACCATTTATCCTATGTGCTTTCTGTAATATAGCAGATCTAAAAAAGAAGTGTACAATTTCACAATGTGAATCCACCTTACTATGCGATTAACTGCAATATGAATTATATTGAATATCGCTAGTGATTGTTTTTAAAATGTGCTTATCGAGCATTATAAATTTATCAAGATATCAATTTATTTCATGCTATGACCATTTCCTTATTTTCGAAATATCTAGTACGAAATGTTAATCTTTATTCCTGTCAAGTATACCGGCATTTTTATACTCCATTATCAACAGGTATCAGTATTATTGTTAACATACGCGTAACGTATACTCAGTAATACAATCAATAAAGATACCAGCTCTACATTTGAAGGACAAATCAGGTAGCAATTTTATAAACTGAACGTAATAAGTTATCATGGAATAATTCATAAAGTATCACAAGCATTTTTTTTGGCTAATACATCATACAATTACATTGGAATTTATGATAAAATCATCAACTATCACAATTATTAATCCTGTAACTGCGTATATTCAATATTTACAACCGGTAACAACATTAGCTGTAGTTGAATAAAATTTTCTAAGAATAAAAACAATACGGGAGTACTTCATTTTATGTATGTCTATAAATGACACAGTTTGAATCAGAAATGCGATGTAATAATTTGCATTGGGTAATAAAGACCATTTATTCTGTCAGTTCATATAAAGCTAAATTTAAATATCATATCAGATAATGGTAGCTATCAACCAGTGATACCAGTTGCTGTATAGACTATCTTATACATTCCATTAATCTATATACCGTACAGTGTATCTAGAATCATTAGTCGTCACCATCATCATCATCATCATTTTGATTACGTAGAGAGTCCGACATAACATCACGAATTTGATTTGCAGCTGTAGGATCTTCAGATAAATCACTCTTAATAGCTTTAAACTGGGCCAATTTCCACTCTAAACCTAAATCATTTTAATACGTCGAGGAATTTAATATGTTACAAAACAGTATTATGTTGATCTTATCGAAGAGAAACTTTATTCTGTGGTATGCTATCACCGTGATTAATTAATTTGGCAAAATCGTATACAATACGCGTCTATCAGTACAGTACTTGCAAGGAAAGTGAGCAACAGACTTACTATCGATAGTGAGTTTCATGCCTCCAAAACTAAAAGGTCCAATTAATTGCCCCTTTAATTCTCCATTGTTGTAAACAAAGATAGTCGGGAGGTTTTTATCTGGATAATTCGGAATAGTAGTTGTAGAAATACTTTTAAGAAACTTGGTTTCGGGAAACTTTTGAGCCAGGGTTGATAGATGATTGTTGATTAATTTACATAATGGAATTCTGAATGAAAAATTGAATACAAGGCATTACATTATGGTGATACAGAGTGTTCAAATTTATTTCTTAAACTAATGATACAATTGTATAATCTTTGGCTTAATAACAGTAAAATAAGATTGATACCCTGCTTGGTATAGGTGAAGGACTACATTGATGCCTTCTCCAGCTTTGGTAACTTCCTGAATATAGTCTTGTCCTGAAATTTCTCTGAGATCACCAAATTGTGACCTCTTTACCGTTTCTTGCATTTCTAACAATCGTTTTCGCCTAATATGAATATATATGTTAAAAATAGCGTACGGTTATGGTGTCCAATTGGGATTTGATTTTAATTGTAACAAATTTTATCTACACGTATACTACTGTACTACTATTAAAATGCATGTCATACAGCTAGAAGGGTAAGCACTGTACGTCTAGTTGCTACGATTTTGGAGTTTCATCCTCTCTACGATACCGTTATTAAGGGATTTAACTATTGCATGTGTGTATGTGTCATATATATATAAGATAGAAATATATTACTTGTACTCTAGGAAAAATTGCTCGTCTAGATCATCTTCAAATTCATCCAGCTCGTCCATGTTCATTTCCTGGTAAGGTTTTCCTTCAGGAGAGACGACATTTTTGTCAGGAGGGGCTATTTCCACTTCTTCCTCCTTTGGCTCTTCTTTTGGTGGTAAAATGCCTTTTTGGCGTAAGATATCGTTCCATTCTGTGTCTTCGTTAGGATCTTGCATCTTGTCTAATCAGACGTACCTAGAATAGGATGTGCGATATACTCGTCCATCAGTAATCAACCATGATGACTTTTGCAGTCTTGTGCATCATTGCTACAGTCTATGAATCACAGTAAGACTATTGAACGCGCATAGTTACAGTCGATGGACAAAATTGAATTTAAAATCATCTAGGCAACTACTAAGTGTCTAACATTATGTGAATTACTGAAATCGGAGATGAAGATCATGGCAAGGGATTGTACGCCATTTGTTCATCATTTTTACGTATAAAATAAGCTGTATAGAGATTGAAGACTCGTCGACTGCTGGATCGAAAGAGGTAGTTTAATTGAAATAGCCCAATAACTGAACTGTTCATCATAGAGTTTTATACCTGGTAAAGCTTGTTTGCAAGTCTATAAGTTGGATGCCTCGGAAAGAGTTGGAAGAAGACAGCAAATATGAAAGCAAATCCCCGACTGCAGCTGGCAAAATCAATGACCGCCGGATGCCTTGAGGTAAATGGATCGGTGGAGTTGATCGTCCGATCGAGTATACTACAGTATGGACATTATCGCTATTCTTGAACAGTACCCTATATCTAGTATGACCGCTAGAAGTCAGTACGAAACGTCACAACAGAGATAAAGTGAATGACTAAAAATAGTCTAGGTAAAATAACATGTCATGGGTAGCGTTGGAATATTATTGTAAGCTTGTACCCATGACAACTATTTCGCTCGGGTTAGTCCTTCAGTAGGTGATAGTGATGATACCCTACTATCGACTTACTAGAAGATCGCTTACGAGTAGACTACGGCCAATTCCGTACAGTCTACGGTATAGTCGCCGATCGAATGGATGGGAATTGATCAGTCTGCCGATGGAATCTGTCATGGTGTTGCTGTACAAATTGCAAGCAAAAATAATGTCGCTATTGCGTCGTTAGTATGCTACTTACGATGGCCAAACGATAGCAAGGGGATGACAATATTTCTCTTTTACTGTTTTACCCAAATGTGCTTAATAGATGTCGCATAAAGAGATCGTACAGCCTTTATGATATACTATAACTTGTTGTCCTAACTTACGACATCTATTTTGCATAAGTGAATGGACTGGTATCAAGTCCACTTTGCATACATACACTACTGTAGTAAGGCAAGGAAAAAAAAAGTTTTGGTGCGGCCGCCATTCTTCTTCAATCCAATCTCTCTCTACTAGAAAGAGAAATTTAAAGAGTACTGTGCTTGGATGGTAAGTAGTAACAGTTTATGGATGTTATTGGATAGATTCTAACCCAGATAGTAGGAATAAGGACCTAATATAGCTTGATATTAGTATACATTTGGTTGCTGTTGAATTCTGATGGGTGCTGTTGTTATGATTAATAATAATATACAGTATAAGCCAACTGTCTATGACAAATTCCACGTTTATTCTCCTGCTAGCACTATCAACAATTTTACAATCGCGTTAAAGGCTTGCTGCCATGCTAGTTATAATATGGATAGGCTGCTAGGAGAGACAGTGTAATCCGAGGGCAGTCTTTAAACATCGATGCAGACACTTTCGATCTTGTACAATTTTTGTTAGCTTGATGACTCCCATTCAAATCGTAATATCGATAGGTGCAATACGTAGATATCAGTTATGCGAGTCTACAATTGGAGAATGGCAGTAGAATCGGTTGTTCAAATTTATAGTAATTGCCTAATTTAATAGACTGAAATAAAGCTTCAATACGTACCTATGCTAAGCTAGGTACAGCAATCTTTAGCCTTGAAATTGTTGTACTTCATCATCGATATCAAGTTGATTGATTCTATATTAATGGATAACTACGCGTATTTCTATTTTTCAATTAGTCAGTAATCAACGTTGCATCTATGATTTGATTATAGACTGAAGTAGGTATTATAATAATTATTGACCACATGATATATTGATCAATGACAATTTTTCTATTTTTGAATAAGTCAGTAATTCTTTTTTCTCGATCATTGGCTCATATATGTATTCTAATTATTCCTTAGCACATCATCAATATACTGTATGCATGAATGACTTATTTTCTATTTTGCAGTAAGTCAGTAATTCACTTTACATCGATCATTCGCTCATATATCTATTCTAATTATTTTTTACAATATCATACATGTACTGATGCATGAATGACTATTTTCTATTTTGTAGTAAGTCAGTAATTCACTTTTCTTCGATCATTTGCTCATATATATCTATTCTAATTATTGCTTACCACATGATAAATATACTGTATGCATGAATGACTACTTTCTATTTTGCAGTAAGTCAGTAATTCACTTTTCCTCTATCATTTGCTTATGTGTGTGTTCTAATTATTACTTATCACATCATGTATAACACTAAAACGATAAAAAGTACAATATGTATTTCCTTACTACATCATACATATACTGTATGTATGAATGACTATTTTCTATTTTGTTGTAAGTCAGTAATTCACTTTTCCTCTATTATTTGCTTATGTATGTGTTCTAATTATTATTACTTATCACATCATACATAACACTAAAACGATAAAAAGTACAATATGTATTTCCTTACCACGCCATACATATACTGTATGCATGAATGACTATTTTCTATTTTGTTGTAAGTCAGTAATTTACTTTTCCTCGATCATTAGCTCATATATGTACTATAATTATTCCTTCCACATCATACATATACTGATGCATGAATGACTATTTTCCATTTTGCAGTAAGTCAGTAATTTACTTTTCCTCGATCATTAGCTCATATGTGTACTATAATTATTCCTTACCACATCATACATATACTGATGCATGAATGACTATTTTCTATTTTGTGTCTATCTATGTGTTCTAATTATTACTTATCATATCATACACAACACTAAAGCGATAAAAGTACAATATGTATGTCAATTAGAGAAAAGACAGTTTCAAGCACTTGTTATCCTTGTTACACTGTGAAACAAGGTACAATTTTCACTCGCATTTCATGTGTTGCCTTGCAGAAATAGAATAGCCTCCAACGTCTAATGGTACATGACAACGACTTTTTGCTATAGGTATAGAGATCTCTATTAGAAATGGACACTGTAACAAGGCTGTCGAGTGTTGATAAAGTCGGTAAGACACATGCTAAATTAATACTAGAAATAGGTTGTTTGAATATGCCTTCGTTGTCAGCGATGTAGACCATTGTCGCTGAACTTTACTACCCTAAGCGGATACAACGTTAAACGATAATTCATCCATTCTGTATCAATCTTTATGGCAGCTGATGTTAGCTTAATGATAGTGCAAAATTCTATTTTTTCAGTATAAAATGGTCTTATAAGCTATTATTAACTTTTATCTTAATCGTTGGATGGGTTTAGGTAGCGACGTCGGCAGGTTTCACCTTGAATCTCTAGGGTGTGAAATTAAGATTCATAATATATTCTGATTGGTGTCGTACCTTTGCATATTCTGTTAAATCCTTGTGCGAATGCCTAACAATGATATATGCCTTTTATTCAGCAGTCGATCTCAAAGCCATACTACAGTTTTGGATAACGATGAAATTCAACAACTATTCAATAAATTTGCTACGGTCGTTAATGAAAAGAGATTTCTGAGTTTACGTAAATTTATGGCGGTAAGTCGATATAAAAGGTCTTATATGTTCATACAGTGCACAAGATTTATCAAAGCATTGCTCCTGGATCAATGGAACTTTTATCTAGCCTTAAGTTGTAGCTGATTATGACTTAGCCTAATATTTCAATGATACAATTTTATTATAATTATAGATGATCAGCGAAAGCGGCATTCTGTTAGAAGATCCTCGACTTGCTGAGTCTGCTTTAAAAATTGAAGAACAATTGGATAAAGATGAGAATGGACTAATAGATATTGAAACTTTTCGAAAGTAAAATTTTGTTAAATGAAATTTAAGTTATAGTATTTTACTAGGATCATGTGTAGTTTAATAGAAATTCTACTATAACGCCAGTTGTGTGTTAATGAGTCGAAAGATGATAATAGTTGTTTCTTTGTTTTATTTATTTACACCGGCCAATCAACTGCAAGGTGCATTACCGGAAATATTGTTCTTATTATCAAAATTTGGCGAGATGATTTAATTATACCGAACTTTAAGGAATTTAAAACTATTATAGAAAATGGATACAACAAAGCGAAAGAGCTGAAGGGTGGAAAAGTAATCACTTCGAGAGCTATTTCTATGCTGTATAAACTGCGTCTGATGTAAATATCTTACCCTAGGCCATGTTGTGTATGTATCACCAAAATAGGTTGCAACTTATATTCCCCAGCTTTCAAGAGCCAGTCCGGATTATTGGGGTGTATCTATATGCACCATTGACGGACAGAGGTATTGCAAATTAAAAATGTATTCTAATGATTTTTGATAGTTTCTAGTAGTTTCATTTATTTAATTTTATTGTCATTTTACGCTATTAGTTACTGTATCAATTACTCCGTTATAATATTGCTAAGTAGAAACTGGGAAGTAAGCTACTTTAGTGAAATGTATGAATTATGGCTTATGACAATCTTTCAATAAGGAAGTTTAAAATTATACATTAGATACAATCTAGGCGATTATGATGTTCCTTTTTGCATGCAGTCCTGTAGCAAGTGTATCAGTTATGCGGTTGCCCTGAATGACTTATCCAGCGACTTCGTAAGAGTTATCTTAGCTAGAGTTAAAAATAAGAAATATATATATAGGTCATTTTTTATTGTCGTTCGATAGGAGGTCTGTACGATGCACGTCATTTTATTATTACATACAAAATCAATTTTTTGAAAATTAATAATTTAGGTACATCAATTCGTTGGTTATGAACCAAGTGGAGCAGTATTCAACGAATTAACGCTTAATGAACAAGGTTAATAGACATCCTAACGAACTTTATTACTTGCATATTTGCGTATGCGTTCAAGTATAATATTTTAAGGATTACAAACACAGCGTAAAGAACATACTTTTCACTTGCGTTGATATAGACCAACCACACAGTCCCATGATTAATTCTGGTGCTATTATGGTTGCTGCATTACATAAGGTATCTTAACTTTTAAACGAATCTATAACGGGATTAATTGTGTATTAATGGAAATTGTTGTGCTTCAATCTCATGTATTCCATATATCGGTAGCCTGATCAACATCTGAGTGATAGATTTGAATACGTAAGTATTAGATTAAAGTTTCAATTTTAATAGCATATAGCTGTCTTCATCGATAGCTACCTACAACGAGCTGACATAATTCATTAATTATGTTTTAGATTATAAAGCAATTTAAGAAGGCGGCCGGAGGAGAATATGTAGGGTTCGATAATGCGACGTACGTTGATTAAATTATTCGAATAGGGTGTTTCTTACATGTAATATGTAAATGTAAAGCCTTTATCTATCTAGCTACAAATAAGTAATAGTTAACGTTCTTTGGGAATGAAGTATAGAATTTTATTTATTGTAGATACATATCAGAAAAGGAAACTGCTGATCGAAATTATGCACTAGCTTATTATATGAGAGAGAAGAAGGTAAATATACCATTAACCTTATTTCATTGCATTTGAATCTGAAGTATTTATGTTGTTAGGCTTTCCCACCTAATACTGTATTGGAGGATACCATGAATTTGTACTTTCAACTTTGCTCAACTGAAATTGATTGTTGTAGTGGAGCTGTAATGGCAGCAACATTAGCGAATGGTGGTATTTGCCCTATAACTGGTGAAAAGGTTACGTATATTTTACGCGTATGGTGATTGATGACGTTGAAAGAAATTTTGTAATGAAATAGAATGACTATTATAGCTTAAAGTTGAACCAATCAATTTTAGACATTTAGCCCTATAGCTGTCCGGGATACCTTATCGCAAATGTTTTCGTGTGGCATGTATAACTACTCTGGGCAATTTGCATTTAAGGTAGTTACGGTGTTTATAATTATAAAAGATATCATGGATACCGTTACATTTACTGTTAGTCATATACGTTGTATATCCACGTAGTTTCTATATCTTGCATAAATTTAAAGAGTTGAATTTAATCAAATATTCCTATCTTAGATCGGTTTGCCTGCAAAATCTGGGGTTTCAGGAGCAATATTAATAGTTATTCCTAACGTTATGGGTATTTGTGTCTGGTCACCCCCGCTCGACAAGCAAGGCAACAGCGTTAGAGGATTGGAATTCTGCAATGTAATTTATTAGTACTTGTATACTTAAAAATAGCACGTCGTAATAAGTAAAAGTAATTGGTTACATATTGCCCTGACTACTGAACCTAATGTTTTTACTCAGTCATTAGTAGAACACTGTCGTTTTCATCGATTTGATAGCTTGCTTAAGCATTCGCAGACGAAGTTCGACCCTACAAATCGGTTTAACGATGATAATACTGGTACACTAACTGCGATTCAATACGCCGCTTCACGTGGAGATTTAACGGCACTTAGACGGTATATTACAGTGAACAGCTAAATTCTTTAGATCTTCCTAGATTTCTAGAATGCGAGTGATATCTATCCTCATAGATGGATATTTTAGTTTTATTAGCACTAGCAAGGACTACCAAAAAGAAAGACACGGGACAGAAAACGCCTATTCACTATACTAATAACATGGAGGCTGATTATTTTTACTGGTCATTTCAACTGCACCGTATATCTGTAGCAGTATGCTATACTGTCCGCGATTGACATCCAAATTAGCTGCAATTAGCCTGCTAAGTTGGTTTTGTGCAGTATGGTATACCGTTTCATCGGTACCGTATAGTAGAATGACCGAAAAACTGATAAACCACTACATTATTTACACTAAAGACCGTTTCCTGTCCCATTTCTTTCTTTTTAGTAGTCCCTGATATTGATTTGAGACTAGTTTGATAGTAGATAAAGCCTCTCTTCTGTCACCCAGATTGAACGCTAGTAAGATATAATCTTGGGTTTGCAGATATTTTTTAAATGGATATAGACTTGACATTCCTGATTATGATGGGAGAACTGCACTCCACCTTGCAGCAATCGGAGGTAAGCAGATACTCTGAAAATGGTACTGTAACAATTTATAATGCTCTTAGATCGGTAAAATTAAAAGATTGTTACTTCCATACGTTAAATAGGCCACGTAGCTGCTGTAAGATTTTTAGTGGAGAAATGTGATGTTCCTATTAATTATACAGATAGGTAATGCATTATAAATAAATCATAATACTCGTATATCCAAAATTCACTTTTTAATTTTATTTTAAATGTCATTAATACGAGCTATCATCTATATTTTCCGTAATAGGTGGGGAAACACTCCGCTTGATGATGCTAAGAAATTTAACCGGCAACAAGTTATCGATATATTGAATAAGTTTCTTGATTCAGCTTCGAACTTTCCGAGATAGCTGTTGCTTTAGCTTGATATTCGGTTTATAGTATTCTAAGTATGATTTCGGAAGAACATATTTGTAAAACGAATTTATACTTTAATCTTTTAATCATACAATTCTATATAAAAATGCACTCTAATGCGTCAGTTCTTAACGTATCGCATGGTTGCAATATTACCAAGAGGTTACATGCCTTGATATAAATTGATTGCGATAGCCCATGACTTTCTTAGTGATAATAGATTGCTTTATTGACTAATTGAAGAAATGTCTCGGGATCGAGATTGAAGGTTTCTTACTGCGCAAACAGTTTATTTATCGTCTTATTCTCGTATGTATTTTGTATAGATATATGTCGTTATGAAATTAACCATTGTCTAATAAATGCTAGTAATTATTATTATGCTATTAAATAATTATTATTCATTACAAACCTTACTGCACGAAGGTAAGGGCGCAATCCTGTTTCTGAAAGCTAATAGTATCGATAATACTTATGTTATGGTGGCAAGTTATAGCAGATGCAGGCATGAATAATGACTGTTCCGGAAAATCAGATTTATCCATTAACAGTGCTACCTATATTAGTCACTTTAAAGGCATGCATGACTTTGAGATGTTATACAGTAACATAGAAATTTTCATACCAGATTTTGTGCTAATAGTAATTGCAACATTAATTAACTAAAGTGTGCTATATTTTATTGTGTTGTAATTGTATTAGCCAGTGTGATGCTCTACTATAACAGACACTGATTTTAAAATGATAATTTATGTCATCGCTTTAAAAATCAGAATCTTCTACCAAAACATTACCGGAGCTAGCATGTTCGGTAACGATTATGTGTATTAATTTCTAGCTTATACACTCCAATATAAGGTAAGATAAATTATAAGCTATCAAGATATTTTCCAGCCCTGTAATTATTTGCAACAGCTTATTTTAGCATATGATAGATACCATTAATGCTTTATGTGAAGTGATGAAGAATTAAGAAATAAATCATATAACCCATAAATATCTTAAAGGAATTAATAGATTTTTTACGTAATATCTCTGGATTACTTAAATCAGGGCGGATCTTGATGTTGATGATTTTATGACTTCAATGCTAAGTAACTAATAGTGTCATGAATATTCAATTTGATTACTTTAGACCGTTGTACGTCACGATAACTGTGAAAAAATAAGATTGAACAATATAAAACCATTTCGATGACCTCTTTCAATTCTCATCCGCTTTTAGATTAATTTTACTGCCTAAGATTGATATTTGCACTCATTGACTCATTGATGACAACGAACTGCTTATAGCTCACGATAGGGTAAACATCGAAGGTATATTAATAATAAAGTTAGGAATGAGTTAACTACATTATTCATTATGATCTAAATTGACTAAACTACGAAAGATGACTAAATTTCAAGTCTTCATCATTGTTAGAGAAGCATTATAGTTCAGGTAACTCGTTGAATACTACTTAACATGTGATAAATATTATTAAAATTGAATAGTTACGTCAGTTGCATACTATTAGTCATCGTCAGCAATGTAATCTAATATCAGTAATTTATATCAAGACGCTTAATCATGTCATGTAATTAGCTAATACAATATACTGTATTAATGAAGTTGAATATTAATAAGTTTGTTATTTATTGATTCATCATTGTTGACAATAATAGATTGAAATAAAAATTATCTTTCCACCATCCTAGGTAAATAGATTTAGAGAACGTAATGAATAAAGTGTCCGGAGTTGTATCCGTTGCAGATTAGTACTTGATAGCGACACTATAACAGCCATTGATGATTTTATTTTTCGCTGACTTAACCCTGAGAATGATATTATAGGTCAAGGTTAGGGATACAATTCTTTAAAGGCTATATCCAATTCTCTCATACTAAATCAACCTTTTCTTGAGTGCTGTACTTTTAGTCAATATCACAGTAGATATCCGCAAGTGCTGAAAGGGACAAGGTCATTTTTGCGAACTTAGGGAAAAGAGAGCCAATTCATTTCATTTTCTTCTTTAATCGTCTAAGTTTTATTATTTTTGTGCATATTTTTATTACCGGATGTGGTTATTATTTATGGTTAGATAGAGAATGATATGATTATCTTCAATCATGTATAGCCATCAGCGCAGATTTCAACTTTTAATCGGTTTGGTAACTTTATCACAGTATTTTCTTTTACTCGTATATTGCAGCTTTACAGTTGAATATGACCGCTCGACTAACACAACTGTCGAATCAATTATTCAAAATGGTGATATTGTCCTAGGTGGATTATTTTCGATCCATAACATTGATGAGTTACCAGTTCATTTAAGCCATTGTGGTAAATTGAGTTTACACGATTTACTGAGGGCCATATCAATGCAGGAAACTATCAATGCCATAAACCAAGACAACACCATCCTACCTAATGTTTCCCTTGGATATCGGATTATTGATGACTGTAACAGTTTAAGTCGTGTCACTCATGCAACTGTCCAATTTGTGATTGATGAAGAAAACCATCTACTCCGATATAATCGTCAACGCTGTCAAACGGTGGAGAAAGAAAAAGGAAAAAATCGTGTTAGTTGTGTGATTGGTGCCGCATCATCAAGTCGATCCCAAGCTGTCGCCAACATCTTAGGCTCTTATCACATACCTCAAATTAGTTATGCCTCGACGAGTACAATATTCAACGATAAAAATATTTATCCTTATTTCCTACGTACAGTCCCATCCGATCTATTGCAAGCTCGCGCTCTTGCCGATATTATTAAATTTTATAAATGGTCCTACATTGCCGTGGTAGCATCATCAGATACTTATGGAACTTCAGCTTTAGCATCATTTAGAAAATACATGGTTAATAGCCCTGTTTGTTTTGCCGTCGAAGAGATTGTTTCCAGTATCAATCGTCAAGCAAGTGCAAAAGCGATCGTAAAAAAATTAAAGACTGCGTATAATGCCACAGTAATTGTATTATTTACACAAAAATGGGATAATACAGCTTTAATGCAAGAACTTTGGCAGCAAAATGTGACTGATCGAATCTATTTAACATCGGAAACAACAGTGGATAAGTCGTTTTTTCGCCCACCTTACGGCAAACAGTTGTTTCAAGGTATGTTAGTAACTGGTGATCCTTATCAGGTCGATTTAACGCGGCAGAATGTATCTTATCCCGTAGCTAATCTATCATTATATCACAATAATCCATGGATTAAACAATTTTTTACTACGAATTGTTTACAAGCACCGTCTATACCACATCAACATACATTATCCGAATTTATCAAATTTGAGCATTTATGTGATTCGAGAGAATCTAAACGAGAACCTATACCCTATGAAGAGTTCTTTGTTCGCGATTTAACTGTTGTTAATGCTATTTCAGCCGTTGCAGCAGCAATTCATAATATGTTAACTTGTCAGGAAGGCAAGGGATTACTAGCTAATGGGCGATGCCCTAATATTACAGCTCAGACGGTGGATTTGATTGTAACAGAAGAACTCATGATCTATCTTAAAAATGTCCAATTTACAAGTATCTTGGGACAATTTCGTTTCAGTCCCACAGGTGATGGACCTGAACGATATAGTATTTCCGCCTTAAACTTATATGATGATTTTTATCATTTTAAGCCTGTGGCTTTATGGTCAGTTAATCAGCAAACAGATGAAGTTATGATTACACAATTATCGAATAAAATTATTTGGAAATATGGTAGCGATATACCATCTTCACGTTGTATGAATGATTGTCCGCCCGGTACACGAATTTCTTTCTATCCATGGTCACCTTGTTGTGGTATATGTCTACCGTGTAAAAGAATTGGATTTACCAATACTACGAATTCGTTATCCTGCCATCCATGCCCATTAGGCCTAGTGCCTAATTCAAATGCAACAGGTTGTATTCCCTTACCCATAGTCTATCTTCATTTTAGCCAACTACCGGCAATCATCATTATTGGGTTATCGATTTCTGGTGCGGTTATTGCAATCTTCTATATCGCCGTTTTCATTCGATATCGTAAAACACCTGTGATTAAAAGTGCTCATTTCTCGCATAGCTTAGCTCAATTAATTGCAGTTATTATGAATTACAGCGTTCCATTATTCTTTATGGGTGAACCAACGGATATATTGTGCATGGCACAGACTTTTACATTTGGAACACTCTGTACGTTATTATTATCTTTGTTATTAGTTAAAACTTATCGAATCGTTAGCATATTTAGTAATGTCATGACCAATAGTAAAATAGTTTCACGCAGTAGAATTATTAAAGCGAATATTATTCAACTTTCAATTATTTTTTCTTTAACGGGTACAGTGATTATTTTTATGGCCGTCTGGTTTGCTATTCAACCACCACGTGCTCAATATGATTATACCGATATTGCTATCTATCACGAGTGCTCTATGGTCTTGTCCACTTATACTTTAATTACGGTCATTTATATCCTCATTATAATGGCGGCTTGCCTATATTTAGCCTTTCGTGCAAGAAAATTACCTCAAAATTTTAATGAAGCTAAATTTATTTCATTTGCAATGATTACTATAATCTTATCGTGGGCGGCATTTGTACCTGCTTACGCTGGTACAAAAGGTCTCTACCGTAATACTGCTTCCTGTTTGGCAGTTATTTCAACCAATACCGCCATTCTATGCTGTATATTTACTCCAAAAATCTATATCATTTACTTCAGGCCAGAAAGGAATAATCAAAAAATGGTACAACAATCAACCATGAATTTTATGGTTAAGCATTCCGTCCAATCTGTTAATACTGGATCGAATCAAAGGTATAATGTCTCTGATAACTCTACCTACACAAGCGATAAGAATCTTTTAGACAAGGCAGGAAAATTAACCAAATTCAACAAAGTAGCAACTAAGCGTACTGAAGAAAATAAAAGTAGTCAACATCATGATTCATTGTCTACTTTATCAAGTAGTCTAGGGCATCAATTAAGCGATTCGACTAACGTAACATCACATACAGATGTTCATATTGAAGAAGAACAAGATAATCAAGAGGATGAAAATAATGCACAGCAACAATTTCATGCTTTTTAAAATATTGTTTGGATAATTTGTCATATGGAATTATCTGTATTAGACTAAGAATATGATAATGTAGATAAATTGCTTGCAAATTTTTATCCAATAAATAGAAGACTTAATTACTACGGTACATGGATACGCTATTCATTTTTTGCAATAACTCTATTAAATGTTGAATAATATTACAGTTATGCAGCAATGGCGACTAGTAAATTTAAGATATTACAAATTATTACTAATAATAACAGTAAAGAGTAGTCTTTATAGCTAGATAAAAAATAAATCAAGACAAAATTGTTTTGATATAATTTTAATGATTTAGCAAATAGCCTTTCCCTATCACATATGAGACGCTAATTAAATTAAGTAAGTGACGCGAAATTTCAATTACGCGTTAAATTTCATTTATTAGATGAAATTTGGCTTTGGAAGTAAATTTATTATGCATATGATCTTGTATATTTAATAGCTTTAATACGATATAATCCGAAAATATTTCGATTTTATCCTTAATCTATTCAATATTCATGCTGAATTTATAAACCGCTAAATTAAAAATATTAAAAGAATACGTTAATCAAATATCTTGTTCGAAGACAAATATATATAGAAATAGACATTATATTGCGTAAACTCCCGGAAAATTTGTTTACGTGTAGATATAACGTAAGCATTACGTTTTATATTTTAGCGTTAGCATTGCTGCAGTTATTATCTAAAATTTATTGGTATGATAGTTAAAAAGTTTAACTACAAAGTTTAAGTATACACGGCTGATGAATGTTTCGGAATTCCAATAAAATAAATTATTGAGAATTTTCTTGAGTAGGGGTAAATGTTCGTTGTAATCAAGATGTAACGTCTCAAAGTTACTAAGATTCACCTGTTAATTCAAAAATTGGAAAACAAAAATTGCAGCATAGTTCAATAGCATCTAATAGTAATTAAGGTCCTTCTAATTTCTTACGCATCTGCTAAAATACTAGTAGATACTTTTAGAACCCTTAAAATATAGATTAAGATTCTAGTATGATTCCTTAATGTGAATCAGTAGTTGCAGCTATTTTATTTTCCAGCTACCGGTTGTACTTCCTGCTGTTTCCTTTGGATAGTGGTATAGATTAATTGATTTATTAGTCGTAAACTGCATCGGAAAGGCCATTACTATTCTACATAATAATAGCAAGTAACACTATCCTATGTAATCGTAATAATTTACAAAAGTCGAAATTATTACTTAATCTGTCCCCTGCTTATGAATGCTGATAAAAATGTCATAACATACACAGATCAGTATCAATTGATGATAATATTTTTGAAATACAATCACTTATGTCGAGCAGCATTCTAACTAGTAATTGACTTACTAATTAGTTAAAATATGATACGAATAATCCTTGCAGTTTTACTTCGTATACTATTTAAAAATAAAAGATCATGATTTATTGCCAACTTGTCATAATTTTTAAGATTTTAATATTTCAAAATTCAAAACAGTATTGTCTCTTGATGTCTAACGAGCGAGTTAACATGTCAAGATATTAATTTGTTAACATATCATCAAAAATAGTCTGGGATTATGTTAAGCACTTTGAAATTTATGATAGCATCCATTAATATATAAAGGATATAATTGGAGGTTATATACATGAATTAAACAAGCTAGCAATGAGATCATCATGATTAGTAAGCTGCAAATAATGACTTTCAGTAGTATTGATGTGATAAAGTGGATTAGCTTAGGGTCCTTACCGTACTCTCAGACTACCGAACACGAAAATCATTTTTTGCGTAGAAGCGTGGGTAACTCGGCACCTTAGAAGGCCATCATTAAAGGTAAGCATTAATGTTTACTACCTTTCGTTTTGCTGCTTAATAGCTAGAAAGTATATTATAAGAAACATTAATTTTAATTATAGTTATAACAGTCAGTGAAGATATTGAGTGTGAGTATTTTATATAATTCAAGTATTTACACTATCAACCCTATCCCATAGCTTACAGAAGATCATAGTTAGGCTACGCTAGCTTCTAAATGCAATACGAACAATGGCAGCTCGAAACAAATTTACATTTGTGATAAGTAAAGCAGCCTTCATGATGAGCTAAATTATTAATATTATTCATTTAATCTGTAAATAATTACACTTATCTCTATTAAGAAATGATAGAACATTATATGCAGCTTCTTATTTTTTACTCTAATAGGCGATAATGCAATTTGGTACTAGTAATAAGGGTTTATTATCTATTACAAAAGAACAGCTGCTTAAATGCTTTACTAGCTGTAAATAGGAAATACTACGTTCTAAGCAAATATTATTACTAAAACATACACGGTATGTAGTCGATTATCTTTGCTTAATTTAACTCTGGTGAGGGAAATTATAAGGGTTTAATATCTATTTAGCTATCAGTAAATAGTATCATCGGATTTATTGCTTACGAGAGATAAATTCATTTTATCTGAATATTGATTAAAAATTCAATTTATATCTAATAATTGCACTTAGAACTGGTGCAACATTGAAAGAACTACAGTTACAAATAATTGACCTATAACTTTTAGCTACTGACTTCGGCTACGGTTAAAATTGTTTTCATTTAAACGCAAATTTACTGCATCGCTACCTATAAATGCTTATGTTGTTCTCTAGTACCCGTAGGCTTCCTTGACTATAGCATTTTAGCCTATAAATATTCCATATTTTTATTGGTGTGACGATAGCGAACTCAAAATATAAAACTTATTAAGTAATTAAGTTATTATTAAAAAATCTTCTGTACATAGATATATTAGTAATTATGAATATGTGATAACTATTATGATTGTTGCAGAATATTAATTAATATACATTTTTTATTAATAGATTTTTCAGGGTGTTGTTGAGATGTTATTATTAAAAATAGTTATTAATTTATATATCTAGTGATTAAAAATAATCTCGATACTATAAATGAGATTGTTTAAAATTAAACGTGAAATTACGTAGTCGATTGGATGAGTAGTACTAAACTGCGTAAATTGAGCTAAAAAAAGTCAACAGTACAGTAACATAGTGTACACGCTAATCATAAAGTTGTCTGTAGGATAAAAGGTAGTGCTCTACCGATTATATCAGTACAGAGACTAATATCTGAAGTGCAATTCTACTTAATATTAAATTGCGAAATGGTTTACTGCATCGACAAAGGTACAGTACCCCCATTTCACATTATCTCTTTGTATCATAACTTCTATCGTGATAATCGGATATCTAATTTATTCCCATGTAAAGTTTTCGAGCGCTTCCAATTTTTGCAATTATGGAGAATCTTTATTCAAGTTTACAATTTTAAATTTAAAGCATTTTAAATTACGATTTAATGAAGAATAACGAACATACGTTATCACTAACTATTACAACAACTTCATACACCGATATGGTCATACTCGAAGTATTATATACATAGAGAGAGGCGAAAGACAAAAAAATTAAGGTATACTTCTGTGATTGAGCTAATAAAGAATATATATGTAATAGCTGTAGCTATATAGCCGTAATATCTTAAAAATTAATGCAAATTTTCTATTAAATTTTAATTAGTAATTTATTATTATTATAAAGATATGAAATTTACAAAGACCATCGTAAAGATATTCATATAGCTGCTTCGTTTGTAAAAGTTTAATCTGAAGAATAACAGTTTATAGACAGCAGTGACTAAGCATAAGTAAACTTTCAGAATGAAATTCATAATACTTATATAATATTTATTACAATTTTACACTATGAGCTTCTATATTTCCTCTACATTGTAAGAAACTATGAAAATTATTAAAAAAATAGGTAAAGAGCCTATCGTTAGATTAGTACTAATGCATGTATTTAATTAATTATTAATACTTTGGTATTTTCTGTTAAAATAATTTTACTTATCAAGTACTCTCTTCAAGCATAGATATATACTGGTTGGAAGATATTGTAATTCTTTTCTTCCATTACACTATTAAGGTATGGTTTGGCAGTTAAGAGCTCTCAATTAACATAGATCTTTATAATAAAGCAAGAAAGCATAGTGCAATATTACGCAATCATCGCATAAATCGAAAGCAGCAATAACCGAAATAAGAACTATCGATATATTCAATAGTAAGAAATGCTATGCTACTGAGACAAGTCCGCATAAGATAGCTCAACATCACATACGCGTATGCTTTAATTGGTATGAAATTAAGAACCAACGCTAGTTATTTGGCTTAGACTCTATCGCAACGATATCATCGCATGAAACTAATAATATCTGAATATTATAATCCTGTCTTTACAAAGTTTAACCATCATTATGATAAATTTTTAATCTTAAGATTTATAACCGAGAGAAAATTATAATCTATGATAAACATCTTTTATTCTTCATCATAATTCTAAAAAAAATTTTACGTAGAGTCATCTATACAGTATTGTGCAAATTTTATTAAATTGTAATGTCATTATTAGAAGTGATACTGTTGGTAATTTTGTTCACCATCAGTTACTGTAGAGACTTCTGCCTTAAATGTAATATCAGTATCAGCTATGCGTACTCTTTTTGGAGCACAGTTATTACTATAGATTGTATTCTTGTTGTTTTCATCATCAACATCTCGTCGATGAATATTATTTTCACTCTGAGTACGATTTAATAAAATGTCCGCAGGATCAGAAGCGCGACTTAATTTTTTTTTATCGCACTTATTCTCTAGCGGCGGTGTACCTATTGAATTATTTTCAGATATGTCATGAACTATAGTAGTATTAGTTTTGATGCTAGATTGTCTAGTTTGTGTTCCATCGTGGCTTAAATCTTTAACCATTTTTAATGCTGTTTTATCGATCTCCTTTTTGGTTTGGTCAGTAGTGGTTATTTCCATAGTAAAGCGGATAAATAAGTTAAGGCCTGAAGAGACTACAGCCAAGCCTAACATAATGAAGATGATGCATAACCCTAAATAAGCCGAATGGTTCATATGATGATTGTGCTTTTGTAAGGCGACATAGTCACCAAATCCAATCGTAGATAACGTAATAAAGCAGTAATAAAAGCCGTCTAAGTACGACCAACTTTCCAGGAAGGCAAATGTAGCAGCTCCTCCACTGAAAAATGTCATTGTTAGCAAACCATCGAAAATACCTAGTTCTAAGTTTCGCACTCTCGGAACTTTGCCCATTGTCTTTTTAAAGGAACGAATTAGATAGGCAAAGAAGGCATTGATTATATCACCAACTGACTGATACAACAAAATTGTAATTGGTATTCCAAATAATGCATAAATTATACAAATACCCTTCCCGGCTTCAGTAGATGGTGCTAAGACTCCATAACCTAACATTTAGATAAGAAATATATTAATCCATAAATGCGTAGAAGAAAAAAAATTTGCTATTAAATCAGATAAGCTACATTAGGATTCTAATCAGCATATGAAAAGTAATAAACGATAAGTAAGTATTTATGATACATTTAATTATCATGTTGTCAGTATATTATAATCGACTTTTATGGCTACAAATCTAACCTTCAAATTTTGATTGCTACTTAATGGTATTTTGACATATAATTTAATTTTATTAAGCCTTTTTGACTAAAATTTGAAATAAATTGATGTACTTATTCCGCATTCATATCTTATCAGAAATGAGCATTAGCGTAGAAAATTTGTGCGGTATTTAATTTATCTGTATCAGAGTAGGATCGATATTCGCAAGCTTGGCTTAAATTAAAAGCGATTTTTAAAGAAATATCCTTTTAGTGAGTAAATTTTATCTCTTATGAATAAAAAATTTCTCGCGATAGGAATATTTCAAAACATTTTTCTTGCCAGGTTATTTAAGTCCCATGAAAGAATAAAAATTTAATTCTGAATGATGATATAGTGGAGACACAATTAAATTATCATTTCCGTTAAACATCAATGTGCAAATGTCATATATAATTATTATGAATTTTCATTATTATATTATTGAGTCCCGCACGACTGCGATCAAAATTTCAAATGACATAAATAGGAGTGAGATGCTAAGCTACTGATTTATTTCCTTGAATTCTGCAACTGTTTCTTATGGTTACTATGGAAAAATTTCGAAAATAGGATACTAACAGATGTTATTGGCTCTATAATTCTTAAAGTAAATAAAGCTTCTTTGATCGAGCATGATTTAGACCCTGACCTAATATCATAATTTAATAAACGTATCACGAGTCAAGAAATATTAATTTCGATTGTAAAGAAGATAATTGTATGATATTTTACTATCGAATAAATAACTGAACAAAACTTAAACATTCTGTTGCATCAATAGAGAAGTAAAAAGTTTATTTTGTTGAGATCCCAATGAACATAGCGGTCAGCCTTTTTCGAATATATGTCAAAATATTTTCAACTATCGCCTTGTTTAATTTATATTAATGGCCTTTATCTTAGTTAGCTAGAAACGAGCATATCTGATAATTTGTGTCTTTAAGTTTGCTATAAAGAATATTTATCTGCTTTTATTATTAAGCTTAAATATTATGTATTATTTATTTCTAGACGTCCCTTCTCGTCAATGATTTTTTACACTTGTAATTTAAAAGTTCAAACTTTTGAATCATTAATACGAACACTATAATTTATTGATCAAGATCTATCGTTGCTTTTTAATAATAGAAATTATTTAATAGCTAGCGACGATGAAAACATATAAAAACAGCTGTGTATTAACTACTGTTCTTGATCCTTCCAAATTTCATGCGATATTTGGGCTATCTAAATTGTAGTCTAAGCTAACAGATTAGGTATTCATTCAATAACGATAAAATGATAAACAAATCCCGTACGTGGAAAGGGAAAAGTTACCCTTTTGCCTGAAATCTTAATCTACAAATAAAACTTATCATAACTACAGTTTACTTTAAACATATAAGCTAAACTATCATTACATCAACTGAAATTTAATCAGTTATAAGTTTTTAATATATTATGCTATCGTATGCAATAGAATAATGATACAAATTTGATACTTTACATCTCAATTAAATCAGCTGAATAAGACATATTCATTCGTAAAGAAGGAATGTAGCGTGGGCTGCATTTACATTAAGATCAATTTTAAACAGGGTACCTAAGCAGAATTAATCTTTTCAACTGTTTTATTTTTTTAGAGAACTAAATAATGAAAATGACAGTCTATTGAAATTATTCAATATCTTTCCTTCATTTTTTTCGATGTTAGCATTCAACACGTACCGGATAGATAAAATTACGAAAAAATAATCTATCAATAGTTAACTTTCCATATAAACTTGCAATTATATTTAACTAATTACATCTTTGAAATAAGGTTATCTAAGACTGTTAGTTTTATCTTTCAGCTATCATATTTTAGCCTATTATAAATAGCTAAAGGGTACCATAGTGAAGGGTTTCATTCTTTAATCAATATCATTTATGCGAGGGAACCTCGCAAAATTACTGATGCTCACTATTAATTCAAAATCTTTCACGATTTATACGCATTGTTATATTTGAATATTACATATCTTGAGGAAAGTAGAGATATTTAAGTCAAAACAATGCAATTTTGGTAATTGCTGCAACTTAATTTGGACTTTTGTGGTTAGTATAAAGACGAATTATGAAATATTTGTTAAGCGCTCTGTAAATAAATGCCAGTAGGTAAGTGGAATTGTGCAATGCTACCTGGATAACTAAAATCCAATGTCAATAAACTCTTCATAGTTGGTAATAGCTTAATTGATTGAATTTCATTTGTTAAACTTGTCAGAAGTTTTTGTAATTGACATTGCATCTAATATTTTTGTTTTTAAAAGTGCTATTTCGATTACGAATATAATTTTAGAAGAAAATGACAATATACGCATTATTTTGTTAAAAAACTTGTAAAAACTAGCAAAATTCGCACACCGTAACTTAAGAGCTATCAGTCAGACTTTGGTAATATTCGTATGACTTAATTACAAACGTAACATGGTAGTTAGACAGTTATTTCCGTTTTAGTAGTAAATGTGTGAACTTCATAATATTGGTAACACAGAAATGATTTAAATATTTCAATTCGTATTTTAAGACCGACTACTTTGTCTATGTTACGATTTGCGATGACCTTTTAGGTATTTTCTGAGCACTACAAAATGAAGTTTTGTAGAATCGAATTTTTATGCCATAAAGTGAGAAAAACCATTTACCAACAAATTTGAAACACGGGTAGATCTGCCGGCCGTTTACATTGTATAGATTTCAAGCTATAGTTCATTTATTTTATCTTGTCCGACTACAATAATGCATCTAATCGTGTATTGGTATTACGCAAGAGTTGTTTGTCAATCCTGACTGTACACAGTTAAAATTGACGCCATTTGCCTATTACTATGCTGGAGTAGTTTTAAATGAGAGTTTTGATCTAGTAATGAATGATTACATTACGTAGGCTATTAAATATACTTTACTTCAGCTAAAAATAATTGCATTATCTTTAGTTCATAAAATTAATAGATACGGAGGATTTAATATTCTTTAATATATTAAGATAGCAACGATGAAATGTAATAATTAATAATAATATTACATCGTTGATCAACCATTTTCGTCTACATCTCTTAACAATTGAAATCGTAGTCACGGGTGAACGAATATAATTTTTTGCACGCTATTATTGTGCAGTAAGAATAAAATAAGAGACAAGCTTCATTAAAATAAGTGACCTAGTTCTATACACGATAACGGTTGTTTTTATCACCAGAACGCAGGTAATTCGACTTTTTCGATTTTATATTTTTCGAAAGTAGTAGTTTAGAATATCCTCAATAAGTAAATTTATGTACAGTAGATATCTGCCTTATCTTTACTTATTGTTAAGAGTATATAGTATAAAACTTGATAGCGAACAAAGCAATGTTATAGAGGGTTTTAGTAAAAAATTTCGAAGAAAATTATTGCTTTTAAATATCGATAAAGCTAGCTATTACTGCTTGCTTTTAGGTAGTAAAATTGAATATATCCGATTCGTTCATTTTTCCATGACCTGCAGCATATTTAAATGTTCGTCTTTGGTTTCGTAATTTGCATAGTTCAATGGCGAAAACAAACAAATTTTGTGCTGTTGTATTTAATTCAGGAGTTTGTGCAATTTTGTCTCGTAGGTAATTGCAAAGAGAAAATATTTTTAACTCCGAGACTGTACGTTATTTAAAATGGGGAGGCTTAGCGTATTTTTTTGACACAAAAGAATGCCAATATTAGATAGAGTAAGATATTGAGATGTACGCGTATATCTAATGGAATCTGTAAATTTGTTGTGGTAGCTCCCTCCGTTCTTAAGCTAATAAAATATTTGTTGCTTTCCTAAACTACTTTTCAATTTATAATAAAAAAATATTGAGGAATGATCAAATTTTGTTTTGCGAAATGTGCAGCTATGCAAAAGTTGGAATATTAAGGTATAATACTGGTTATGTAAAGGCACTTATTGTTTTCTTGATATTTAAGTAAGTAATTTTTTAATGAGAAATTGTAAATGGTAAAATAGCTGACAGAGTTCAAGATAGAGGGTTAATAACAATTGTAATAGATGTTAGCTATCATGGACCAATTTACCTATGCCATGAATTGTACACAGCTAATAAAATCTAACGCACTACTATGAATGGTTATTTAATCTGTTTGTTTGCAGTATTGGTATTATAAGCTGCCGAAGAAACCGTTTTGTTAGTCGTATCTTCCAACAATACACGTAATATGTACCATCCAATCATCATAAAATAAAATAAAATTTACGGAAGGCGGTAAGATGATCAAAATTACCCAATGTTGTTTACAAGAGCCTTTGTTCCATTTTAATATTGTAATTTCAAATCTACGCTTTCTAATCTTCTAATAATACATCTACCGAGTACAGCAATAGACTACGGTATTGAAAGCTAAATCTATAATACTTTCGCTATTGATTTTCTGAACTACGGTACTACAAAATGAGTAACTGATCTTGATCTATACTGTTAGGTCATAATAGTATCTATCATAAAAAAATAATAGTGTGCAGTTTCGCTTTAATATTTTTATTGGTAATGTAGACTTTTGGCAATCGCAGGCATATATCTTATCGTAGTGGATATCTTGAGGTTTGAGTTTGGTATACCCGTATTTTACCAATCTCCTTAGTTGTTACATTTAATAGCAACATGAAGTGTCAACATGAATGTTGAATTGAGGACATATTTTATATGAGATTCTTGATATAGTGACTGTAGTTGAGAATATGCTTTTTGGCATGTTGTTATAATGCTAAGATTTTGCCTACTGTAACTGTGATGTACTGTAAAGTTACAGGATATTACGGCATTAATATTTAGTAAATTTCTCTGAACACGTAACACTTTAGCCAAGAATAGGTTGAAGCATACTACATTTTAGAAATAAGTAGAAGCGATCGGTACAAAATATTCAAGATCAGTAAGCAGAAGCGTAATAGTATTACGCAAATTACTAAATCATTCATCTGCCTTAACTAGGATCGACTCTCCTAGTAAATTAATAAAATTTTAGGTATCTTCCATCGGAATACACCAAAATATAGCCATTCCGCCATGTAAGAAATTTATTCAAGGAATACGAGCAGTGATAATCGCCATACTTGATCAAATGCTACGGTACTGTATACTTGCTAGGAACTACTATGATTGCTACTCTCAACTGACAATTGTAATTCATATCAAGTCACGCTTATTAAAGTGTGGAATTACATTCAGATCAGAATTTAGGTTCACTAACAACATGACAGAAATTTACTCCGCATCATTACGTTATTTCAAGGTCAGTATAAAATACAACATAGTTATGACAACAACTTGTCGAAAATTTGAAGGAGATAATTCAAATTTTTTAATACCATTGGTTGATGGAGCACACGATATTGACTTGATTGTACTGAGAGAATAGTTTAGATCAGATTATTATTTATGATGAGGTTGTTTATTCGCTCTTTATAATTATAATCATGTGAAGGTAAGTTTGTAAAAGTACTGGTTTACTAATTTGAATATAGCGTATTGATATAGTACAAACGTATGCTCTATGACGGATAGATTTTAGAATTCTGCAATATTGGGTCTGAATCTTAAAAGCAAATAAAAAGTTAATTTATTTACGAGCAAGTGAGCCTACAGTCAGATTATATTCACGGAAATGCCTATTAAGTTACTAAACTATGTAATAACTGTATTAAGAACCGAAGCCCATAAAGAATCAAACTTATTTGGTTATCGGATAAGATGATAAGCAGTAAATATTGTAAAGCAATAATTATAATATCGTTGGAATGATGTTGTGCAATATAATGTCAAATCTGTCATACGATTTTCATGAACGAAAATTAGGATTAACTACTGGTAGTAAAATATTAGACTACAAAAAATTAATTTTAATTTTCTGAACTGAATCTCTTGCGGTTGAACGTCTTACTAAAGCACAATAAAGAATTATGGCTACATCAGAATGGTTGGGATACATTTTTTAGTGTTTCGTAGGAATACGTACTCGTACACTCGTAGATAGACGTTTGCCCAAATTGGTAATAAAAGACCAAGTAACAAAATATAATGAATGTACATTTTACAATCATGATAATGTTAGTGAAATAGCATTTTTGTAGATACGAGATGAGAATATCAGGTAGATGGTGATAAAATTCAGTTATATTGTAGCAGCTCTAATGAGTTTCAATAACTGGGCATTTATGATAAACTTTCTGTGGAATTTTAAAAGAATGCAGAAAAGAAATTCTAAATTTAACTAATCTATTCGTCTTAAATATCAATAAAAATATATTAGATATCTTACCTATAGTTGTTACTACAGTTGTTGAAAAGAAGAGCGCTTGTGTAAAATTCCATTTTCGATCCATTTTGCCAATATAAGGATTACTCCTTATCGTTGTCACCAGGTAAGCAAACTCTTCGTCGCTTAAATTAAACTGTTGTTGTAGCTCCTGCGTAAAGACTTTAGTTTTATTGATATTCTCTTCCTCATCCTTAGATTCAATTGCATGAAATATAGCTGATCCACCTAATAAATAAGCTACAAATATGGCTAAGAGGATCAAGGTTCGTAGATATTGACGCTTTACAGAAACCACCATCATCTTGATCGTTAGAATCGAAGTATAGCGAAGCTTCAATTCAGAACCGAGGCTTTAATATAACTTTCGATACAACCAGCGATAATATTTAGATATTTAAATTGAATACGCTGCAAAGAAATGTGAACGAAGACACTACTGTTTGTATTTAAAGGTTGTTTTTTTAGGATATGCTTTAGAGTGAAAGAGCCAAACAATCAGTATTAGTGGAATGCAATTCTCAACTTATTATATTGGAACAAAATACTTTTCGTTGTCGTCAAGAAAATAATGGTATACAGAATAAAAAGCAGGAAAGACTCGCAGATAGGGCAATATTGAGGTTATTATTGAATATTATTTGCTTGTTGAGATGTGCAAAATGAATACAGTTGACGAGTGTGGTGTAATGAGTTCTACTCGTGCGGGCACCGCTAAAAGGGAAACAAAATTACTATTATATGTTGTTACGGATGGAGTTAATTAGTAATTTTAGTTATTAGAGTTGATTATCCAAAATAGTTACAGTAATTTTTACAACAGTAGTAAATAACAAATAAGAGAAATAAGATTCATAAAGTGAGACACATAGTAAATGATAATGATGTACTTTGCAATACCAAGTCGTAAGTTTTACACTGGAAATTTGTTACTTTTAGTTATGTGATAATAAAGATGTTGCGTAGTTTTCCAAAGATAAGCCTCAATTTTTATTACTAATGGAAGTTTTCGGTACTGTAGTTGTTCTTGTTGAGAGTTTTTTTTGTATCGTTTTGATATACACGTACAATATTATTCAGATTGATTCGTTGATAATTAATATGTTCTCTGGTGTCGATGACGTAGAAAGGATTTTGAAGAGTTTTGGATGAGCAGTTGGTTAGAATTGATCTATTAAAAGGTATAACATGCTTACTGAAATAGAAATTATGGAGCAAAAAAAATATTAATAAAAAGTAATAACGAGTAAATAGCAAGAAATTAGTTGGATCATCAATTAAATGAAATGAATAAATGATTACTGCTTTTGGCAAAATATGAAAAGATAGAAATTAAAAGAGATCAAGAAGTATTATTACTACAATAATTAGTCTGTAAGACTTTATGTTCATAATAATTGAAATTGATTAATAATTGGATAGAGAAGATCAGAAATCAATGAATTGTAATACTAGAATGGTCGCAAATTTCAAAATAGTCTTGTAAAAGATAGAATAAGATATCAATAAGTTATATAGAAAATGTACTAGGTTGGATTCTTTATAACATGTGTATTTTTTTCTTTGAATTTGCCTATATAAAAGATATCTATAGCTAGAATGAGTTCTTTGACAATAATAAGGTAGCAGTCCATTAAGAAGGGATTTAAAATTTCAATTCTATGTTTATGTTATGGTTATTTTCTAGTTGAGAATTTTTTTATGATTGGTAAAATACTTCTGCAGTTCAACTAGACGAAAATAGTTACCTTTTGCAAAGAGCGATCTATAATCTTTTCCTTAGTTGTAAATCCCTCTTGCTTGCCTCTCCAATGGAATTTTTGTTAGTCAATGACGCTCTTGACCTGTGTACGCGTAGATTAACTATCCGTTGCGTTGATATTTTATCATTTATTCCTTCTCCCTAATTCAACCTTTTGAATAATGTTTAATATGAAGTAGAGAATAAAAATAGTAAAACAAACAAATTGATAATAACGATTTATACTATGGAAAACAAAATAAGAGAAATCAATAAAATTGTGGGAAAATTTATTCTTTCAATGAAAAAAAAATTACAAGCAATGAAAAGCTCGTTATTTATTTAAATTTTCTTTCATTTTTCATTCTACAGTAGTTATTGTACCGTCTACAAGGTATTACTTTTCTACTACTATTCCTCTCGTATTCTTGTTGCTCGTTGAAATGATTGCTAGCATCCATTTGAGCAAGTCATAAAAGGTCACCAAAAGCTTTGAAAAAAATAAAAAATAAAATTTACAATGACAGCCACTAAGTCAATAATTAGTTTAATGTTTCAATTTAGTATTTAGGATCACGTCAACAACTCCTATTAACCTTCTCCTATGCTTGGATCAACTGACTTATTATTATGGATGATACAGGCTAATATACGGAAGGTTAATTTACTAGTCCTAGCTTGAATGCAGTTGACAAGCGACAACTCACTCCACTTGACTCTTGATGGAGTCACATACAAACGCTTCATATGCTATGATGACGTCAAGGATGACTTAAGGTTATGTCTCTTTGCTATGGCAATACTACAGCCCACTCGTTGTGATTGACACTAGCTATTCATGCCAATGAAAATGGCAATTCTAATTTTATAATCATTATCCATTGAAATAATATTCGACGATATCAATTTGCAATAATTTAATATTCAAAATTGTAAAAACTTCTTTGAAAGTTTGCAATTGAAAGTCAAAATTTTTCTTTCCATGCTTGACATAGCTCAAAAATCGTTGGAGACAAGTGTTTGAATGTTTAGTATTTGAGAAAAAATGACCTCGGCACGCTTTACCCGCTTGATTGATGGTAAGCGGTAGACGTGATAGCCTAAACAGCCTCTTTTTCAACTCTATTTAATGATTTAGCCACACTAAGGATAAATCATATTGATACTCATAATAATTATATTTCTCCTTTATACACTTTCAACGATAGGCTGCTTAGAATAAAGACAGTATATCGCATCATTGAGGACTTAAAATAGTTATTCTTCAGAGAAATGAAAAAAATGATCTACTGTCAATATTTAATTCCAAGAATGTTCAGTCAAAAAATTGAAAATGAAAAAAAAATTCAACCTTAGAAGAGTTCTTGATAGAATGATCATTTTCTTTTCAATTAATAATTTCTCAACCTTTCTATATTTATCTTGGATTTGAAAAGTTGTTATAGAATTCCAAGAGACAGAAATAGGAGGATAAGTTTGTTTACATTTTATCTTATATCGACTTAAAAGGCAAACAGTTGGTTTAATAACTAATTTTGACTTGACTGCGTAAAAACAATTCATAAATCATATAATGATGATTGTGCTATCTACTGGATGTCTCTAATTATTTTTCCGGCAGTTTTTTTTCATGCTATCAAATAATAATTAAGCAGCACCTAATATCGAGCCTAATAACAGCCCAAGTTTCATTAATGGTTTAGCAATGAAAGATCGAATCGTCCATCAACAGATTTTATTTTTTTGGTCATTTTCATACAATTGATAATATTCTCATTAATTGATTAAATCTAGGAAGCAAGTCTATTCAACTACATTACCTATGGAGATGCTTCTAATGAAAGCTTAGCTTAGTCAACGATTCCAGTAATATTATTAATGATCATAAATTATTAGCTGAAATGATATAGAATACGCTGAAGCTGAATTCTAAAGCTCTTTTGTATGTGGCATAATTTCACAGTTGTCTTCTATACCTGGCCTATTATTTTAAATGTTGTAACTTAATGCATTGTATTCGATAATCTTGAAGGGCGGCATACGAAGGGTAAGCTATTCAATATTTATGAAACGATTGATCAATAATTAATTTCTGCTTACTAATCTTTATCTTGAAATAATGCAATTCTACTTTCTGATTTCACATTTTGAAGGTGAATAAGCCAATTGAACGTTTAGTACGCTACATTGAATATCAATTCATATCTAATGTCGATAATTAATTTAATCCATATTAGCTGATCAAATAAATATTGTATTGAAGAACCTTTATACTATTTACCGTAAATTATAGTAAAGCTCTAAATAAATCTAATGTAAGCGAATGTGACAATTCCAATAAACACATGAGCTCAATCATTCAATTTATAAACTACCGTTAAGATGGCAGATTTATAATATTTTTACAATTTTACAATTATTCAACAAAGAATATTCTAGCCATTTTCGTTTTGAGTATGACGTAAAAAGGCAATGTAGAATTTTAGACATGATAATATGATGCATATACAATAGGTTACGATAGAATGATGTTAAAAGACTCATTTATTACTTATTAATTAGAATAAGTTTGACATTAGTATAATACCTAATAAATAACTGGTTATTTTTACTTTTGTAAAGTGCTAATGCTAAAATCTATTTTCTATAACGTTATATATCAGGATCGCGGAAAGCGTTACTCATTCTATTAAAAAGTTGATTGGCAAGATAAAAGAAGGAACAATAGGGGACGAGGTCCTTTGCCGTGACCAAATCGTTTTCGAAACAAGATACAGTATCAATTTGTTGGCATATTTTCCCGTAATTTGTCCATAGCAAATAACTAATTAGCAGTATACTTTCCAACGATTGACTAGCAGCCCTGGATGTAAAATTGTCATCAGGCTGCTTGATATCGGTTGTTTGAACAGGTTACTAGTGCTCGTATATCTTACCCTTGATCGCTGGATCAATAATTTAATAAGTTTTACAGTGAAAACTTTATAATGGATATTATATTATGCGTAGTAAAATATAGCTTGAGACAATGATTGCTGCTCATCATCAACTATAGATTTGATATAATCAGACGCCAATTACATTGATGAGTTAGCCAGACATTTTAATTAGCAGTCATTAACGCAATATATCCGGTCAAATCTTGATAAACAACTCCGTCTGGTTTTGTCAAGTCTTGAATGGATTATAATAATTAAGCCTTCATAATCTACTAGGATACAATGTCATTCGAAACTAATTAAAAATTATTGCTAATCGTCAGTGACTGCCCAGTACTTGAAATAACCATTTCCTTATCTGAAGTAAATTTAAGAAGGTAACATGTAAGCTTCCCCGTATCTAAGCAGTGCTTATGATAACTATTTCCCGATCTAAAGTAAATTTAAGGAGATATCACTGAAGCTTCTCCATCGATACTTTTTCGAGGTCAGGCCTTTTGGCTTCTTCGCCAGCATATCACACTTGCAATTTTACTCTTAATGAGAAAGTTTGTGAAATTATAAATTAAGCAGTACATACAACGGAATCAAGATCAGATGATGTAATTTATTCTTTGTCAAAAACTTAAAAAATAAGCCAATAAGATGGTTAAGTGGATTTAAAAGATCATGAATGACTATATTTAGCTCTTATTTAGTTTGAGGGTTTAATTATGCTATACAATATAGTATTTATTCTTGATATCATTAATACGATACGCTAACTGCCATGATGAAATAAGTCAATATTGATAATTAGTAGCTAATGGATGAGAAACAAATTGATAGAGCACAAACCTTAACAACGACACTAAATATAAACACCAGTGTACGCTAGATACTAATGATAATTTTAATGCCACATACTTAACTATACAGTAGATAGGTACTGTATCTTGTAACTTAACTACGTACGTATATATATACGTAATGAAATATTAAATATTTGATACAGTATTATAATTACAAGTAAAGGTACGGACTCATTTCAATTGCCTTTTTCTTAGACTACCGCTAATAAGGTTGCAGCAACCAATGGTAACAATTCATCAGTCTTTTTCCGCCAATTTTCTTTTCGTTTAGAAATTTTACACCAATATTCGCCATGATGGGGCTCAGCAGTAACGCATTTTTTGGACACTGATTGTTGGAGTGCCTTGAAATTCAAGTAGTCGGATTAGAGAGAAAAATGATAATAGTCTTTAGTTTACTTCGTTTATATTACGTTAGCTTTCGTCAATTTAGTCTATAAGGCAAAGCAATCATATCTACAGCGACGAAATAGACAAATTTAATTTAATTTATTATACCTCTGTTCCATACTGTAATTCAAGTTTGTATAAATAAGCCCATGCATCGCCATTATCAGGATCAATTTTTACGGCTCTGCATATGAAATATAATTAGCACATTGCTTTGCATGCTGAAACCATGGATACAAAATAAAAGTTTACCTATGGAACCATTCGCGAGCTTTAGTCACTTTTGATTCACTCCAAAATAATCTTAAAACACATTCATCAAAAAATTTTAGTCTTATGATACAGGAAGTGATGTAATTAATCAACATTAAGTACGGGCTAAAGCTACATATTTAGCAGAATATTTCATAGAAAGAATACCTTGCTACTGCCACCAGTACGTGTGCATCGTGTTCGCAGCGCTTCATAGCATCTAGACTCTTCGTTCTTCTGACAGGTCTAGTTTCCATGAAGATCGCTTCTGCCCAGAGGATACCTGAATCGGGGTTCTCTTGCAATGCTGAATGAAGCCGTAGTGTGATAAATTAGCAAAACAATCACTTTACTACATAGAATTCTTTTGAACTGACGTGAATTCATTCGAACGCGATTGTACTTACCTTTCGCCATTAATGATTTACCCATCGGCTTGTTTCCATGCTCATTTTCAACTCTTATTGCCTGCAACCTAGTTATTGCAGAAATTTGCAATTTTAGTAATCCTATGTAGGCTTAAAAAGCAAAAGATAAGTAACTAGAGTTACCATAATTCGGGGCATTTAGGGTTTCTACTTCGACCACGTTCTAACATCGATCTTGCCTTCGTTACTTCTCCTGATCAAAATAAATAGAACAAAATTATATAGTCAGATGACTAAAATGTATAAAATCTTCCTTACTTTACCAACCTTTTGTTAATTCAAGACCCGAACTTAGTAGCCATAGCGAAACAGATTTAGGACATTTCTTAACCTAATTTACATGGCGTAATGTTAATACAATACTAAGGGTATTATATATGAATCAAACGAAATCTTCGAAGTTCATATTATTTGCAGTAAATAAATACTTTGCTCTCATGATAGGTCAACGTCTAGACCGACTTAAATAAAATAACAGTCAAATCATACCCCATCACTATATGATTCACGCGCTTTATCAATGTTACCAATTTGTTCATAAATCTGGCCGGTCATCATGTAAAACTAGAAGGAACAACGATAGCATTTGAATGAGTTTGGTAAGAATATTTATGCAGAGTATTGTTACATTCCAACATGTTATTGAGTAAATAATGATTATCATGACTTTCTAGCTTATACAAACACGATTCCAGCATTCGAATTTATTACCTTAGCAAACGTTGGATAATGTTCAATGCCTTCCTTAAGTAGCATTAGAGCCTATATATTGCAATTTAAAATTTTTAGTATATAATTCTTTGACCAGAATCATGAAATTGATGTTATAGCTGATAATATAAAATCGTCTCACCCCATCTAGATTTTTTAGGCACCACTCTAAATTGGCAGATTTCATGAAGACTCTAGCAGTTGGAGCAGTAGATCTCGCTTTCTGTAGCAAGATCCTAGATAACATGGAGTAAGTTTCTTTTGTAAATCACTGCTATCATTGCATTCTTATTAAAACTTTTTATCCACCCATACTTATGTATATGTTCAATTCACTAATAAGGTCAATATTACCAACCTTGCACGTTCATCTTCATTATTTTCACTTTCAAGTTTAACAGCTGCTAACCAAATTTCTTCGCTGTTAGGATTAGCTTGGAAAGCTAAGGCCAAAATTTGCCTGGCTGATTGAATATCACCCTTGCAATAAAGAGTCATAATTTGATAATGTTATTATTAATATAGCTGAAAAACTTATTAGCATTACTCCATAAAAATTTTGAAATTACAGAGAGCCATTTAGATTTTGCACCCATTAACCAAAGAACTTCAGCTTTCGGACAGTGGGCCACAGCTTTCTGAAGTAATTCTTCCAAGGATTCCCTGATGAACAATAAACGTGTTAAAGGTATCTTAGACATTTACCTAAATATTTTTAATTCTTACTTAGTGCCATGGTTCTTCTCTAGATAAGCGGCTCTTAGCCAAATGCCTTTTTTATTCGGAAATACTGTCAACGAATGAGCATAGATCGCACGAGCACAAGCGTAGGCATTATGAGCTATGCACTACGAAAAATAAATAATAGGTATCGGGATCAGTTAAGAATGATATATTATAATGGCTTAAAATTATGAACTTGTCCTAGCTTACACTTTCGGCATCTTCCATCCAGGTATCTTTTAAGTCTTCTTCTTCGATTCCAACTCCAATGACATTTTTTCTAGTGAAGAGATCATCGTTAATTTGATACTTTAAAGACGACAAAAATAGTACTAAAAACATTGCTTGCTTACATTATTGCTTGACAAGTATAAATACTTCCGCTTCTTTCTGCTTCTTCTGCGTCTAGTATCCAGTGGTCTCTGTTAATTTCTACCATGTTAGCTTTCAAGGATGCGATAGCTAACGGCAGGAAAATTTAGCAAAAAGATTGCGATTTATTATTACCGTCAGTGATAAAATTAATGCACATATATATCATTACAGTGGCAAACTTTAATAACAAAACAGTTGCAAACTAGTTTCATATAGATTTTTGCAAAGTTTCAGGAATATCTAATTATTCACTGTTTATTACGATAACGAATAACAGCTTTCTACACTACTATTTTACCTCGCTCTATAATTTTATCAACCATTGCGATATTATTATTCGCCTCTTCTAACTTTGCGGCAGTAATCCAAATCTGTCTATCAGTAGGTATGCTTTCTCTAGCTTTATTGAGTACCTGATATAAATTACATACAATCCTGCAGTAAATAGAAATATTCCGTAAATATAATTATAGCAATCTATGCAAAAAAATACATACCCTCCTAGCATTGTCGTAATTTTCTAATCTTGCCAAGGCTAACCATAGCTGCAACAGATAAGGTGTAAGAAACTTTAAGAACTACATACGCTTATATTAAATTCTAAATGCAGCACATATAGTAGGCAGAATCAATATTTTTTACTAACATCAACACTATGCGGACAACATTCTACAGCTCGACTAAGCATAATTCGAGCATCTTCTGGGTCCTCTAATTCTACTGCTTCTTTCCATAAACGTACAGAGTTTGGAATTTGTTCCAGGGCTGAAAATAGTACAATAATTATTGTTTGGACCTAAAGACAAATATTGTGCTTATTGTCACCTTTTCTGAATACTCTTTTCTTTGATATAGTTTCTTCCTCAAGTTCAGCCGCCTTAATCCACAGCTTAACGGAATTAGGCATGTTGCGGATGGCTTGAGAGACTATCGATAGACTAGTTTCCTTTGGCTGTGGATAGAGATTTATTGAATTTGAAATTAATTTGAGGGTAAATCTTATTTTCATTTTCAAGTATCTATACCGAATATCAAGAACGGTTAATACTTAGTAGCCATTTACCACTATAGTGGTCCAGTACCTGTAATCGAATAGCTTCAAGCCAAACATCTTCACTTTTTGGGCATGTTTCGCAGCCTTTAGTAATGATGTTACGAGCTTTCTGCATGCGTCCAGTTACTTCTTCCAACCTAGCAGATGCAATCCATCCTGGAGTGAAAAGAACGGCTATTAGAAGATAGCACTTTTTATGCAATTAATTAAAATATATATAATACGTGTATATTAATTAATGTACCTGGTCCGTGATTTGGATTTGTTGTAATTACAGAATTCAAAAGTAAGCGCGCCTTCTTGATATCACTAGATACATTGACCAAAAATGTAAAATTAAATACAGCAACTCTAAGCTGATAGATAGTTGATGAATTTTTCAAATGTTTACCCAATGTCTGCGTTAGCAAAGGAAGTGCTACTTTGCAAATCTGTTAAGTATCCTTTTGGATCCACCACAGTTTGCCCTTCTACGGAGTCAGATACCTGATCAAGTTTCACACCTACTAAAGTACTTCTGGCCTGACCGATTCTTATCAGATCAAGCTCACTCGAAGAAGGCGTATTAAACCCAGTCAAAGAGCCGGGATATGGCGTTTGAAATCCGCCTAATTGCTTTTAACAGGATGTTACAGATACGTCACGAAATCATGTTTGCGGTTTGACACGTATCTCATAGCTACAAAAAAGATATGTATCTGGATGTGTATTAACAAATCAATGGATAGCTACCTGCTGTCGCCGATCGAGGGTGTTAACGGATCCACTATTACTTAGTCCTTTACTAAGAACTGAGTCAGGAACAGGAGTAAATTTTTCAGTTCTGGGGTTACGCTGCTTCTTGTTACGAATATCACCAACTTCTGGGATACTTCTCCAAGCATCTTCCGATACGCTCGCTAATTCACGCTAACAAATATAAGTACGTGATATCATTAATTTATTATATGTACTAAAAGCAAAATTCGTTATACTAACGGGCTTAGCTCATCATAGGATTGCACTCTGCTAATTTACTACTCTGAGTCAATTGTCGTAAAAGAAAATATAAAAGTATATAATGTATACTGCATACTGTATAGAGTTTGACGTCGATGACATTTAACTGTTGGCGATAAAACTGCTATTGAAGATATAACTGATCAACTAGCAAGTGGCTTTCTACCATAAAAATATCATAGTATAATCGCTGAGATGATAAGTCAGTTTATATACCCTTAAATCAGAAAACTGCTGCTGAATTTTTGGTCTCTCTTGACGATATTTTTCAATCTCTTCTTTAAATCTCTTTTCCCTAAGATCAGATATAAAAAACACCATTTGGATTTCGTATAATAATTTAAGACTATAGAAAACTATATACAAGTAAGGTTTATTAAAAATGAAAGCACAAATTTTCTTAAACTGACCTTCTGTCTCTTCTTCTATCATCCATACGTTTATCAATTTCATCGTAGGCAGCATCAGCTTCTTCATCATCTTTATCATAAGGTCCTTTCGAGAATAGACTGCCACCGTATCCAGAGAACTATTCGTGAACAATGTAAAAAATTATGTCATTCACTTACGCCGTCGCTCGAAACGGTGATTACAACTGAAGTATATTCTGTTTTTTTGCGATAGTGGTACAGAATAAGATATCTCGCGATTGAGAGATTCATTATTTATACGTAATAGCGATATCATAAATGATATTGCAGCCTGCGATCACATTTGACGTGATATTTAGCATTGCTATGGCTTTCTTAATATATAGGTAAATTTTTTAACCTCATCATAGTTGGTATCATTTAGATCTTCTTCCTCTTCTTCATCGTCATCATCTCCTCGTTTACGAGGTGGCTTAGGGTGGCGTTCGTCACTAAGTATAGATAGAATTGGGAATAAAAGCTTGTAATATAGTATTACTATGTGTACAATCTTGAGCTCATAGCTAATAATACTTGGGTGCACATCAGTTCGAATGATCATGCAACAATCATGAAAGATGAGAACTTCTATATGGCATACAAGTATAACGTCCAGATGTAAATTGTATAATCCATGAGAATCGCTGTAGTTGTTACTTTCCAGGTTTATAGTAGATATATTATTTTTATAGCGTACGGTAAAATCTCATGGCATCAAATAGAGGTAGCCAGCAAAATTACCATATAAATAATCATAAGCAGAGGCTTACCTGATGTCAGATGCATCACGGGCAGGACCAATATCAGAACGGGTGGTAAAGCCTGTAGCACTAGTAAAGTAATGAAATATGATAAGTTAATATAGTCCATTTCGATGACGGTAAATACTTGCAGTCGAATTTCTGAGGAGTACGTATTAGGTATAAGGTCTAAGCAAAGGACTACAATGGGTTTCGGATCTTATAATTGATTATTAAAAATCTAATCAGGTATACATAATAGACAAATATAAAGTAAGGTAAGTATTGCAGTATCTATTGTCAAAAATATTGTACATTACTACAGCCATTCATGTTAATGCGGCAAGCACACGAACGTTGCACAAGCAGTTCCATTATAATTTCCATATACTGCAGTTTGAGAGTATACTGTACTGCATCTAGAATATCAAAAATTCTTGGCAGTATCATCTGCATTTATTGTTATTTTCCGACGGCAATCTAGTAGATACATTTAACATTTTACTACAGATACGAGTACGTATAGTATCCTACATATGTACAGTATTGCACATCATAATTATTTACAATCCATCCAGTCACGTTGACAACATGAAACCAAGATTGCTAACATCATGCAATTTAATGAATAGCTGAACGAATCCATTATACAAGAATTTTATAAGAAACTGGCGTCCTACTATCAGGATATACAGCTAGAAGATAAATATTTTAACAGTTAACTCTATATGATTCCATCTAATCAGTTTTGTAATATCATTTTCAGCCAGAATCTTTTTGCAATGTTATGGCAGTGCACTATGGTTAGGTTGGATCAAGCAAGTCTATGAAACCGCTTTGCGATATTATATCGTATCGTCAAATGAAGTTATAAATTTATCATTGACTAGTTGCTGTATAGTCGATGTTAACAATAAAATGATTTACCCTCTTCCAAGACCAGGAACATAACCTAAAGGTGCTGGTGCACTGAGAAAAGCTTTCTTTGATTTCGAAATCATCGACATGTTGGCAAAGGGTTAGCGTTGAGTGAAGTCGCGTCGTACAGCAATAGAGTGACGAAGTCCCAACGTCATAATTCAATATGGCTGGATACACTGGCTGAGTTAATGCAAGATCATCGAAATAAAATATCCTGCCCATTAGCTACTGTATGGAACAGTCCATTATCCGTCATTTCTCCTCGGATTTTCTGTTCGACAGCGTACAGTACATAACACTGGTAATAGTCTACGTACTGTACACTGTACACTGTACTGCACTGACTACGGGCTACAGTGTACAGTACAGCGTATTGTAGACCTCTGCATTGTACACTGTACCCTCATGTACAGTACTGTACAGTACTGAGTAGTTATCAGTACTGTACAGTGTACAGTACGCTGTACTCTGCATTTCCAGTACTGTACCGTGGTACTGTACAATATCGTCTGGCCAAATTTGAAATCAACCGCTGCATCTCCATTTTAGGCAAAAGGAAGAAGCTGCAAAACTAATTCTTGTTGAGGGGAAATAGACTATAGCATTCTTGGCATCGGCGGCAAAGTTGCAGCATAGATGCCTAAAAGATTGAAGATTGATTAATTTTGAAATCAAGATTGTTATTCGTGCTGAATTTTAAAAACGCTGCTAGCCAAGTTGTCATCATAAGTTTATTTTCATCGACTTTGATGTTGATTCATTTCGATATTGGCATGTAAATCATCAACAGCACCAGACGTGCTACAGCATACGAAAAAACTGCACAAGTCATAGACGTTGGCCATTTTGTATGACAAGCTGATTATTGACTAGATAGACTTATTAAGCACTGGACGCAACATCAATGTCCCATCACTCACCATCTTTTCCATCTAAGATGGAATATGATTACGAGTTTGATGCTCCTCAGTGGGCTGATCTTAATGATTGGAAGGAGGAAGATGATTTGTAAGTCTCTTGTAATGATAAAGGTTACAACAGGTTGCTGAGTCACCAACAAGGTGAAAATATAAAGTAGAATACGTAAAGTATGACATTGGTACAGCATTACCTTCTGAACTTCTTATACTTGTTGTATGTATATCACTAACTGATCTTGTATATCTGATATGCTTCCTGTATTGTAATATTACTACCTGCGATAAACTACCATACAGATTGGTTATAACTTACTGTTAGCAGATATAACAGTTTAGAATTTGTCTATTATTCTATTGCCTTTATTTACACGTATTTTACTGCACGATATCAGGGACACTTCCGAATGGTTTTCTATAGCACATCCATCACACGAAAAGCCTCAATCACCAGAAAGCAAAAACAACAAGAGCAAAAAGGGGAAGCGGCGCAGTATTTATTGCCACAGTCCAATAAGTCGATTAGTTTTAAAGCAAAAACAGAAAATGAATAGATTTACTGTCACAAATAGAATGGAAAAAAATCAACGACTGTTGACAGAAATAGCATCTGAACAAAGTTGTCAAGCAGCAACGTTAAAATCTAATTCTATACTTACCGACAAGTTACTTCAACAGCAAGATCACGTAACTACCACCGATAACATGGAAAAGCCAGTTCATCCTGTGCTGTCGGATTCTACTACACCACGTCGATCACCTTTCTTAGCAAAGAAATTGAATTCTTTAGAAATCGATGCCTCCTCCACGAATTCACCGCCAGCTAGAGTAGTCAAGCCGAGTCTTACTTTCAAAAAAAGCGATACTCAAGGCAATTCTCCTTTAACAGCTAAACAAGCTAGCATTTATAAAAAGGAATCTCGTCGATCTACACGCTTTAACATCTTTTCTACCTGTAAATCGTCACCCCTTTCTAGCGTGCGAATGTCTAATTGTGAAAAAGCATCTGTACCTACAATGGCCTTGAGATCAAAATGCGTTAGCACTAAAGGAAATGTTAAAAATGCCGATTTAAGATCCTCAATAAAGAAAACGAGTATATCTAAGGTTAGAAGAAATATGCTAAACTCAATAATTTACACATTAATGCCGTATTTAAAATATCTTATACTCGATCAGTAAATAAAATTTATGTTTACGTATCTATTCTGCCAGTCATACTGTACCACATGTTTAACTGCTATTCTTGCTTCTTATCATCTAGTCTACTGATAAGCCTTCCAAAAGTATTTCTACGAAACCAAGGAGATCGGTAACCATTGAAAATGACCCTGATCTGATTAAGCTTATCAGGAAGCATAATGCCAAGGTAGCAGCTACCAAATACAAATATGATATCAATGGCAGAAGACTATAGACAATGACAAAATAATTATTATTATGCGAATATTACATTACTAACTTCGAAAAGTAGATAGTTGTTTTAAGCGCTTCTATTTTAGTTAATGGAAAGGTATGTTAGCGATTATTGAGAATTAAAGTATTTAAATTGAAATTGAAATACTTGGTAAATATTATTATGTAGTTCTCGGCTAAATATGCAGTAAATAATTATAAGCACTTAGGCTGACCTTTACGTAGTTATAAGTATAGTGAAAAGATGCGGTATTCATACAGGATGCACTGATATTGCGCTTAGCGGCTTGAAGAACTTGCTCAATAATAAGGTATTAATGACAGAATACCATCAATAAATTTTCATATACGAGTATTATACGTCGTACACTCTGCTGGACTATATTAGATAACATGCATTGCTTTTAATTGCTCTGAAGTTTGTTATATACTATAGGATGTACGTATGTTGTATGTTGTTAATAGCTAAACATCTATGTAAGATATTTCTCTATAAAGACCAACAATTGAATGATATTGCTAGGAAGTAAAAATGATAAAAAATTCAGGATTGTATCATCGGCTTAAAGTATCCTGCAGTATCCATGTAACTTCAGAATCTATATTTGGAATAAGTTGTTCTTGTTGCTATATTCTCAATCGTTTTAGATATTTTGTACTAAAATTTCTTGTTCCAGAAGTTATCATTTTGAATGAAACTTAATACTATTTTTTTGTAATAACTGTGCACATTTATTTAATAAGCAAACCTGTGGCATATGTACAGCGGTTATATAAATCAACTTGTAAAACGGTTAAATGAATATAATGTACATGATTATTTGATAGTCAATAAAAATTGTAGTAATCTCCATCAAATATGTAATCTGGAGGAGGGTATCTTGTGTCTAGAACATATTAATCAAATACGGTGTTACTGAATGTGGATGGGATTAAGTTCATTTATTTGCCAAATAACGATAAACTTGGCACTACTATATCTTTAAAGATTCCAGTCTCTCCTGTATTAGTAGAACCGCGACTGTCAAGGTCGGAATCTTGGATAATCTATGTTGTGAGTAGTAAACAAATTAAAATAAACATTAGGATTACGGCTAAATGGTCGAACAGAAAAATGACTTCAAGCATACTGTTTTGCCTAACCTGTTTGATATCACTATTTTTTAGATCACCACGGAGTGCTAACAATGCTTGGATATGTTCAGTTCTAATGTCAGGAAAGGACATTACTAATCCCTAAAAAGTAGAAATTAGTAGCACATAAATAAGTAGAGTCCAAGCGCGAAGCCAACTAGTACTACTATACCCATACGCTTATGAGATTATATTCAAATTCTACCATTGTTTATAACTCAGGTTGTCGGTATTAAAATCTCAGCAATTATATAATTTACCCTAATTTCTAGGCATAGCATTGTAGTATCCTTTAGTTTAATAACATCGGCAAGGGAATGTAACACCTTCCAACAAAAATCCTATATATTTCCAAAATTAGAAACGGAAACTAGCTTAACTGTCGACAATATTTTATCATGCTATACTCATTAGTATACTTATACTGTATATGAATCCTCCATTTAAATAAATTTTTACTATTAGACACTATATAATAGTGTATTACAATTTTAAGAATAATTGCAAACCATACATTCGAATCGGATAAAGATTTCGTAAATAATCGCTCGATATCATTTGCTTCCTTTCCAATTTTTTCCGCACCTTGCCTTCTTTCATCATACTGCTTAAACACTATTCTCCTTTATAAATTAAAATATGAAAAACTATTAAAAAAATTTTTGTCGATATATCACAGCATCATTTAAGTATCGCAGTTTAGGTTAAATGACTCATTTTGTCTTGTACTGCTAAGCACAAACTTGTGAACAATTGCAGTGACGTATTCTTTTATCAGCCTTTTCACCATTCTTGCCATTAATTGATTATAATACCTAGTTCATATTCACAATTTATTTCGAAAGTAAACGTTATTTTTACATTGATATTTAATAGAAGCATAAAAATACTGAAGAAAAATTTGTTGTCTCTGAAAGACTTTAACTACATTTTTCGTAGATATTTAAAATCGGCACCATAATCTTCAATTGTTACTATGATTGTATCCATTGCCGTTGATGAAGTTAACCTAATGAAATCCGCAGTTATTACTTTCGCAGTAAAGATCCCATATGGAACAGAAATCAACCAATAAGAAGACTTACCATTTTCTTGTTAACAACCCGTTAAAATGGCTCTCCAGATCGTAAAAAACTTCATCAATCAAATAATCGATTCTAAAGTCATGATATCATGGTATACAATAAGTTTCTACATTATAAGCATAATTTACACTGGTCGCCTAAATAGTATTTTCAAATACATAACTAAAACATGCATTCTTACGTTAAGAGTGAGAGTCTAAAAAGTAAGTCCTTATTGGTATCGAAAAGCTTAAGCGTCTCAGTATCGCTTGAATGCCAACCCTTACCAAATTCATCATTCACTCTTTCCTATGATAAGATTTCATTAAAATTATACAGTAGTGTGAAATAAAATTTATAGTACAGTGGAACAAAAAACTTAGCAATATTATATAAGAATAGAAAATCTCACCAGTAAACCATCGCTTAGAGTATCAATGATGTTACAATTATTGACGATAGAGATCTGGAAGATTTTAAGGTTCTACTTAGTTGGTGGCATCTAACTACTGTATAATATATACATCGACTAGTATACTAGCTAAGTTACCATCATGCTGCCAGTAAATGTATAAATGAACATACCATATAATATACATAGTTTGGTGGTTCCGTTCTTTCTTCCATATGCCTATCGCGGTAATTATTTACCGCAGCTGAAGCCAAAATCATAATCTTGTGTTATTATCACGATGCACCTAACACTATCATAGTACAATTTACCTCGATAATCGTACAAAAAGGTGCTGGATTCTAACATGCATACATGGAGAGCCTATTTTTTGATCAAAATGAACTGTAACTAATCAGGTCAAAGTATGGACTACTAGAAGAAACCCTTAGGTTTCCTCTAGTAGTCTGTAGCAAAGTGTAGTCAATAAATTTATGCAATTTTTATACCTTAAGCTTTACATTTTGTCCAGGAACAGAGGCAACAGACAACTATTATAAATTTAATGAAGAATTAAAACGATGGTGTAGATATACTATGGAGAGACTCTTAATATTATTTTCTTTGGATACTACATTACGAACGTTTTGGTCTAACATCTGATATAAATCGATCGGTAATGTTGTTTGTAAACAGTTTTCTGCATCAGAGATTGGCATCTTTGAACTAGTCCAGTCCTGATAGTAAAAATATTTCACAAAGATCAGTAACCCATCCGATCACAATAATGTAGCATCCAAATAGACGTGTTCTCAACGAACTTTCATATCTGCTTTTAACAGATTTGACATCCATTCCTTTATATTTGCTCGCATTGTTGAAGTATATCTTATATGATAATAAAGCAAAGTAAACAGGATTAAAAGTTAATGGCAAATGTATATCCTAAGAATCTATTAAACTGTTTTATGATTTACTTCTTTAATAAGACGTCTTCTGCCATGGAATTTATCAAGGGTCCAAGGTGAGACACATCTATTTCTAACGATGGGTGCATCATGAATTCAGCTCCGCTAATACAAATGACGTAAAATACACCATTAACAGTGCAGCCACTAATAAATTACAAGTAAGATTGATGTCGACGTGCGTTTGGTATTACCTATACTTTTTGCTCCATGTCAGCAAGCTAGCAATATCATTGGCTTTTAATTGCTCATGAGATAAGGAATTTAGCTATTGAAGGCAACATGTAAAATCAGCAATTTTTAGCTATTATTGCAGTAAATCAAAAGTCGATGTTAAGTCACCGTTGATGACAGCTCATTGTGGTAGAGTTTAACATATAACTGAAGAATGTTATATGAAGCTGGAAAAGCTGGAATGCAATATTTCTAGAGAAATCCGTACAATTAAGTTATGAAAATTTCGATAAAATTTACAAAGAAGAAAAGCTCTACATGATGACATTATCGATAAACTTAATTACTGTATTTACCTTAACAACGATAAGATCTTCGATCATAGATTTTCTTGTTTGTTCGAGAAATTTTATAAGCCAGGTACTATTTTCTTCCCTCATTTCAGCTTGATGAAATTCAAACCTTCAATTGCAAATATAGACTTCAATTTTAAGAAATTATTTGATCTGTAGCAACTAGATAGTAAAATTTTAGAGATATTTATAGACCTGTCCCGTACGGATTTTTCTAAAACTTCAAGAGCTTTCTTTCGATAACACTTTGGTCTATCAGGAGGACAGAATCCACTATCCTTTTCCTTTTCAACAGCTTTTCTGTCAGATCTAATTTGATATTATGGGATACTTTCACTTTGCATAATGCAAAAATTAATTTAAGTAACTAATTATATACGAAATTGCATACTGTATAATATAATAATAACGATTTGAAACATGCTATCTTTAGTTTATAAGTTATTATGCTAATATTATGATCATTTATTACCTTTCTTCTCGTTCAATAATGCGTAACGCTGTTACTAGAAGAGCAGATTCAGTTCTTACAATATTTAATGCTCTTTGTAAAACGACCCATAGTTGTTTTGACAGTTTGGTCTGATAAATAGTACCGATTATAAGTATATTCTACACGACTCAATGATATGACAATATAAAAAATTTTGGATAGGATATTCTTACCGATAAGGGAGCAATTTTAGAAAAATAATCCATTATTACCTACGTAAAGAAATTAAGTTTTAATTGGCATGATCTATTCGAAATATAAGACAATACAATATCGAATTCATGATTGCTTTCAAGTATCTGTTAAATTTTAATTAGGAGAAGTAAATGTAATATGAAAATGTTATCTCTAAATACTATCCCTTACAAAAATGGTAATTGTGTAGAAACTTTAATTGTGAAATCACTTACTTGTTTATCTAGCTCGGTATGCTCTGGTAACTTATGAACTTCAAACAGAAGTTCATCTCTAGCTCTCTCAAGTTCTACTAGTCTATAGGTTAACATGACCAACAAAGTACAGTAGAAAATATATATAAAGATGCATATAATCAGTTCATGATATTAGAATGACGCACGAAGTTGCGTTCTAAAAATATATTGTAATAATTATATATTATAAGGGCAGACCTCTTGTGAGCTTCTAGTAGTCGGCCATCGTTAATAAGCGCCTGTGTTCTTTCAATACTTTCCGGCAATGCAAAAATATAATTGAGATGATCTTTGGCAGCCGATAACTAAAATTTAACATACGGTATGATCAATGCCATCCAATACATGTGTTTATATTATCATTGAGATCGATTTATATTAGGAATATCGAACTTTATGGAGCAAAGATAGATCGATATGATTTATATCCTGTCCCAAGTCGCTAGCTTATGTAGTAAAGTATTATAGTAAGTTCAGTCTTGCCATATTAAAAAGGAAGTTCATTCACCTGCAAATGTTGGCTGGTTATCAATTTGATATCGATTAATTTGCTGTCAACTGCTATGCACTTGCCATATAAGTTATCAATATCTAAAAAGCTGATAAATAGCGCAATTATAATCATTTGAGTACTACTATTTCATCGAAGATATGTCAATAAACGCCGCAAGAAATGAAAGTATGAGAAATTGTTCCGTGTATGGAAAATGATGAATACCTATCGCGAATGGATTGGACATCATCGACGGTACTAATTTAGTAATTTAGAAATTCGCAGTGTTTGCAGGGCGAAAAGATTGAAAAGAAAACAAGGCAGTTAATACAATTGTTAGATATTGTTGATCTCTGCTAAAAGTTAGGTAAGCTACTATTTGCAAACCTTTGTAAAGTGCCTAATCCTTGCTGGGCATCATCCAATTGTGTTTGCACTGCAGCTTTTAATCTAGATTCCAAAGTTGTCTGTAAATATAGAATCAACGCCCATTTCTTGACATTAATAATAAAAAGCATTGAATATGTAAAACTTGAGCACAAGGACGTATACAAGGATTGCTCCAGCAGTCGTTGTAGCCACGTCGAATCTTGTGTATGCGCTATCATTACAATTCACCTTTACTCTATGATATATAACGAATTAATGAAAGAGAGTAGTAATAACCTTTTTCCTTAAGGCAGTCCTAAAATGACGATCAAGCAAGTCTAGCTCGTCGGGCCTCTAGTTTTAACAAGGTTATAAAATAGGTCTATCAATGTACTGGTTCGTGTTCAGTGGGTGCTACTGAATTTAGCATTACTGTAATTGCTGAGAGCTTGTCAACATTGATAGTTCATGTAGTACATTAACTTATTTCAATATGAGTCGAGAATCAATATTCAATATCTTTCCTTACTCTAAGTAAACTGGCTACATATTTTATAGCGTTTTCGGCAGCTTCAGAAGAAGTTTGCTCCATGTTTATGACGGGCTGGCAAGTGGAGACGTTGAAATGTTGAAGGCGAAGGAGTACTGGGCTGGAGTCCAGTTTGCTACAGTATAATGTACTGTACATTCTAAAGCGACTACTGTGCACTGTACACTGTACACATTCCTAGTCCATATTGTACTATACAGTGCAGTACTGTACTCTGGTTTTAAACTACACAATGTGATGCATCAAACAACCCAACGTAAGCAATAGCGATTGGTATAATTATAGAATAAATCAAGCAAACTATAAGCGGACATTTTCAGTGATTTGGACAACCTCTAAATTTTAGTATGGCTGCTAAAGAAGAGCCGAGCCGACAAGGGATAGCGATTACTGAATCGCAATTTCTCTGTATAAATGAAAATTGGGGATTGAGTTCTTGCTTACGAAAGAGATTTAGCAGTCCATTGCTCTGCTCTACTGTAAAATAGGATGAGCATTTGATGCAAATGTTTTAATGAACATGGATAAAACCCACGGCAGTGCCTGTATACTGTACTGTATTGCCCTTTTATTCACATTTTATTCGTGGACCCATCGGTGGTGATCTTTCGCGTATTGTTGTTGTACTTTTGACACTTTATTTTATATTACTTTATACTATATTATGAATCGATATCTCGTGCCACTGCCATGAGACATGCGAATCATCTTGACTGTACAAGCAGGGATTACACGAAATGAATGTAGTAATATGAGCTGCTATCAGAACAGTGCTACGATGCCGTACTGTATGGCAATCTTTCATTTTAAAATGCATTAAGCGACTGCATGCACGAGTGGATACTACTAGATACTACTATTATCATCGCAGGGACTTAGTCTGTCCGACTTTTCTGTTGTTTTTGCTCAAGAAAAGTTCTTCTGAAATCTGTAGCATCTATGGATTTGATCTCCATCATGAGCCTGAGAAGGCTTCTGTATTACAGTCCTGGACTACAGTACTGTACTGCAGATCACAGTGTATGGTACTGTAGGACCCCACTCACTGTGTCCAGTACGAAACTGTACTGCGCAAGTGCGCAGTGTCTACAATACTGTACTGTACCGATCTTCTGGTACACGACTGTCATACGTACAAATCAATATTTGTAATTGTAGACCAACAGAATTGATCGCGGCGCAATTGCAATTTTGGAGACCATTTCGATCAGAAATCAGGTGGAAAGAATTAGCTGAGGAAATTATCACACTACGCCATGGCTTTTTCTATGTATACAATCCAGTCTTTACTGGATAAGGTAATCAATGAGGAATTGATGCTTTATTGAATGATGAAATTCAACAGTAGTTTCCATGACTTGCATTCACCGCCGTTGGCAAACATGCTTGTATAGCTTGCTGATTGTGATGATGTTGCATTAATCAATGAATCAATTAATGATGTTGTCCTTCATCATCGACTACCAAGCAACACCCAGATCATAGCAATGGGATAGTACTAGTCAATGCAATCTTTGATGATAACCTATAGCTTTACTTTGAAACATCATTGAGCTGTTGTAGACGATTCATCCTTTAGCCTACTGGCGCGTATTGGTACTTATAATGGACGACATAGACGGTTACATGACATACGCCGTGTCCAGCAGTAGAATAACCTAACGAAATTCTTCTCTTTCTTTTCCTTGCATTCCTGTGTGCTTAAAACGGAAATGATATCGATATGAGTTCATCTTGTCAGTTGGTACTAGTTTTCTATATACTGTACACCGATTCAGTAATTGGTCATTCGTTTTGATAATTTCATGAAGCATGTTACTTAGCTTTGCCTGTAGAATACTCGCTCGACTATACGATACTATAGTGTGTATTGTAATGTATTGTAGAATCGAAGAGGGAAAGGTTTTAATTTGAACTTTAAGCGCAATATTAGTTGAAATACTATATTAACTTCATACTTACATGCAATCTGAAATCTCTAATGCAGATGAATTCTGTCGACAAAGATTATCGTTTTATGGCTACTAATGATTTAATTTCGGCACTGCAACACGAATATTTCAAGTTGGATGATGAAAGCGAAAAAAAGGTAACAATACACATTTCTATATGCCATCTTTTTCTTGTAACATGTTTCATCATTAACTAAAAACTTTTATTGCATTCTACTGGACTTGCTGATTAAAGTTAAATGAAACAGCATAGATATACGCTCTGTAAATGATTTCTTCCTTTGTATGGGATAATTAGGTTGTAAGTACTGTCATGCGTTTACTTGAAGATAAAAATGGAGAAGTTCAAAATCTAGCTGTTAAATGGTTGGTAGAAATTTTAAAGGAAATGACTACTTTCTAATACTTAACTTGCAAATCACCCATAATGAGCTATACTCTATACTGGCACCCAGTGTACATGTGTTGATTTATACTACTGTATACTGTACTTTAGCAGGAATAGATGGTAGCGATGTTGTGCACTCGCACATACAAGGTTGCATACTGTGCAAATTGTACAAATTATATCGTACATTATACTTGAAGCATGCTAAATTCTAAACTTAGTGACGTAGGGACTATTACAAAAAATCTGTTACAGATTGTTTAAAATTTTACTAAAAGATATATTAGTTAAATCAAAATTGTAAATATTTCCATCATGGAGTAGAAGTTTCTTTGTTTAATAGCTTCTTTGATTTGCTATTGCAGTCTGGGTTTACTTGTGACTAAAGTAAAGGAGAATTATGTCGAACAAATTGCCAATAGCCTATGCGATGGTATGAAGTCAACTTCAGAGCAATTGCGTGATATCTCCAGCATTGGTAAGCTAGTAAATAAGTACTAAGATATTTATCAAGGCAACAAATATTAAAATTATCATATTCCGGATATCAATGCAATTGTAATGGAACAACTAGTACTAATGACGACAATTATATGGCATGCAGGTTTAAAAACAGTCATAGCAGATATTGCTTCTCAAACTCAGTTAGCGGTCCTCCTTTGCAAATTGATTGTATCTCGCCTTCTTTCCGTTATTCCAAGGGTAAAAATCTTATATCATTATAAATGTGTTCTTTGTATCAATAGATTTAGGATAAGTTACTGTATTGTTGCTACATCTTAAGCTAATTTTAATTCTTACCGAATTTTATATATTGGTATGAATACAGGCTCAAGACCCTTCGGTACAACTTGAAGCTCTAGATATCTTAAGTGATATCTTAAAGAAATATGGTGGTATGCATACTTTAACCAGCAAATCTAGTCTTTAGGTTGTACAAAAACCCATTTGAATTCAAATTAAAATTATACACGTTTTAGGACTTTTAGCCGATCACCATTCCAACGTTCAAGATTGCTTAATAGCTCAAATGACCAGTTCTAGACTAGCTGTCCGTAAAAGGGCAACTATTGCATTAGGTAAAGTATTTTACACCAATGATTACTATTATTTTGACTTAATTTATATTTGTAGCTACTTAGTGACATAGTTTCGAACTTTGAAAAAGTATATAGTATTAGTGTTAGTATTAAAGCATGACGATATGACTGTTTTTCGTTCTTGATACTGGTACAATAGGACAACTGGTGATCTGTAACAGCAATTCTTTGTTTGTTGAATTAATGCGATACATAATTGGTGAACTGAATCAGAATCGTTCTTTATCAACCACCAGAACTTATGTACAATGTATTGCTACTATTAGGTAGGCATCACTATTTTCGCCTAAATTTTATTTCATTCAATGAACTAATTTTTTCGGCGGTCTTTTCAATTTTATTCAACCAATTCACAAGTCGACAGGCAGGCCATAGAATCGGAAATTATGTTGATACTCTCATGCCATTGCTATTTTCCTTTTCCATGCAACAGGATGATGACGAATTTAGGGATTACTGCTTACAGGTATCTTTGCTATCATTTCATGACCATGCTAGATATCGCTTATGCTATTGGTAACATTGTCGTAATACGTTTCTAACCAAGGCTCTAGAGTCGCTAGTTCTACGATGCCCGAAGGAAGTTACTCCTTATGTTATGAGGGTCTGTAATATACTGTACTATATACACGTATTAATCAGAATTAGCGCTTAGCAGCGGGGCTACATGCGTTATGATGCTTCAAATTGCTCTTTATTATAGATTGTCCAAATCTGCTTGGAGTATCTGAAATACGATCCTAATTACAATTATGATAGTGATGATGAGGATATGGAAGACGAATCTGACGCTGACGATGATGATGAGTATGCAGTACTCTTGAAGTGTTGTTGTTGTAGAGCATTATGTAGTTGCTATACCAAATCACCTTATCTTAAATTATCAACAGTCAAAGTCTAGATCATTTTTTTCCTTTTCTTAATTAGCGATGATGAAGGGGATTACAGTGACGACGATGATGTCAGTTGGAAGGTAAGCTTCATGAATACACATTCTGACCGACTGAACGATAGCGTTTGGTGGTCACTTTAAATTCTTTGATTGGAACTATCTTTTTTTACGATCTACGGTTTTTGATTGGATAAAAATAAAGCTGTTGTTGTATTCTTTCAGGTTCGACGAGCAGCATCTAGATGTATTAATGCAGTAATCAGATCTCGACCGGAATTGTTGTACGATTTTTATCGAAATGTTTCTCCAACTCTTATATCTAGATTTAAAGGTTAACGTTATTTCAGTTTACGCTCTCGATTCGTTTTATGAAGAGTTTAGTCAAATAGTTATTAACATGTTTTAAAAAATTTGTAGAACGAGAAGAAAATGTTAAGAGTGACATCTTTTCTGCCTATGTTACTCTGTTACGACAAACAAGAACTCTGGCTACCGTAGAAACTAGAACCGATGCTATGGATGAAGATGGGTAAATATACAGAAGTAGTGCTAAAACCTGTTGATATTGAGTGAAACTTAGATACTCAGATGTATAAATACAAGTTGTTATAATATTTCTTTTTTACCAAAATATTTTGTCATAATTCAATATATTTGAGACAGTAAGGTATTTATGATCTAGGACTTATATATGCTATCGCCACCTTTTTCTTTTTTTATTATAGTAATGTCACCACAAATCAGAGTAGTAGATTAGTTAAAGATGATAAAAGGTGACTTTATAGACGTTGCATATCGCTATTATGATCTTTTATTTAAATGATAATTGCAAATGGAATTCATTACTAGAAATATAGACTTTGCTGACTAAAATAATACTATAGCAAATTGTCTTAGTTGGTAAAAGTGTAGAACCGCTCAAATGATGGTTTATGTTTTTCACAGTCCCAATAGCATGCTACAAGGACAAATTCCAAGTATTGTGAAGGCACTCCGTAAAATTCTTAAGGATAAAAGCGTTAAAACAAGACAAGTGAGATTCATAAATTTTATGTAGTACAAGGCATTTTATATTAAGTATTCTCCGTTCTCTGTTGTTTTGTTTATTATTGACAGGGCTGCTTTAGCGTATTGTCAGAAGTTTGTCAAGTTTTGTATGGAGCCCTTAACGATCATATGACCTCAGTAATGCCTGGCATAGTTTATTCTTTAAGGTATATTGACGGCTTGGGTTGATTGAGGGTTCAAAGTCTTTCAAATTAGTTACTGATAAAACTCTAATTTATGTTCATTTAGTGACAAGTCATCAACATCAAATATGAAGATAGATACATTGTTATTTCTTCAATGCGTTCTAACGCATCACGAGGCCAACGTCTTTTATCCTCACATCGATGTTTTGGTACCGGTAAGTTTCATCCCAAAGTCGTTAGCATACTTACTAGCGTATGACTAATTATAAAATGATTAATGGTATATTACTTACTTTTTGGTAAAAGCTGGTGATAGATAAAGTATCGGATATGTTTTATAAAGTTATTTCCGAAGCCCTGTTCGTATTACAGCACTTAATAAAAATTATGAGACCACTGGGTAATTATACTTAAGTAATACGATTTATGGAATATGCTTTGTAAAGAAATCGATCGATGTGCTAATATTGTTTTGACTACCACATAATAAAAGTGCCTATTTTTTTCTATCTAAAGATGGTAATAAGCAAAGTTTAGCTAGGTACGACGTACATGCGCGAAATATCTACAAATCTACCGTGGCTAGGTTAGAGACTACAGATATTGATCAGGAAGTGAAAGAAAGGGCAATAACGTGCATGTAAGTTTGTAAACTACGGAAATTTTTGTCATAATTGAATCATTTTATCAGTAAGGATCATCGGACAAGGATAGCATCATAATGCTGATATTTGATATATAGGGGTCACCTAATTAGTAATATGGGGGATATCTTACCGTCCGAATTGAAAAGTTGCTTACCGATATTGGTGTCTAGACTTCGTAATGATAGCACACGCTTATGCACAGTGAAAGCTCTTACGACCATGGCTAAGTAAAGGGAGAAATAAATTTTTTATCGATAAATTATCTTTGTTTGATTTTGCCTTTATTTTTGGTTCATTTAGTTCGCCACTCAACCTTGATCTAACGATGATATTAGTATGTTTTACATTTTGATGTTATTGTTTACTATATTATAGCATTCTATTGTTAGTAATTTGTTATCGTACTTCACTAAATTAACGGTTGGTCTTTCATGTATTTTTTAGCCTGAATCTATCCAGCTGCTATCATCGTTTTTAAGAAAAAATAGTAGAGCTCTCAAACTTTCTAGCTTAACGGCTCTCAACATACTGATCCAAAAATTTGGTCAGTTATAGGATTATTTCAAAAATCTAATGTGCAAACATTATCGAATATCTCGAGCTGTTTTTAAAAGGCATTAGTCTGTTTTTATTGTAGGGCGATTAATGAATGACCAACTTTGTGATAACGTCTTTTGTGAAATTCCATCGCTTATTAACGAAAGTGATTTGCATGTCTCACAAGTAGGCGAAATACCGTAGTATTATCGAAATGAAAACCATAATTGCATCTTTATGCTAAAGTGCGTTTATTTATTTATCAGCTTACGTCAGAATTGATCTCTACATTGATTCAAATTAATCCAAATTCATTCATGAAGGTGACTGCTTCAATATATAGTTTTCTTTTTACTTTGGTTGAAGATTATAATAACATTAAGTTTATGTATTCGACATAGCATCGAGATATCATATTAAAGGAGGTGTTGGTATTACTGAAATCTCCGTTACTACAAGGTGCTGTAAAATTATAATTTAGAAATTCATGTGAGATCTTATGCAGCTAGTGAGTCGTTGCGATGAATATATGGTTATTTAATCTTGTAGGCGGTGCTTTGAATGCGCTTTTGGGCTTTATTTGTCAAGCTATTAGAAATAAAATTCCTAAAATGAACCCAAATGAAGTTCTCCAAGTAACTACAAGCATGCAGATGTAATTGATTGATATCTTTAAGATGACATCTTTTAGAATAATTCTCTATTAATTAACGATCGGTAGATGCTTACACACCCAATTTACTATCCTGAATCTCAAGGCCAAGGCTCGTTAGCAATACATAAGCAGGTAAATTCTAAGATCGTAAGCGGGTGAATGTGAAAGTAATTGATTCTGATGACGAATACCTTCATCATCATTGATGTTTTCTTTATAGGCTTTTTACTCAGTTGCCAAATGTGTTGCTGGCATCATTATGGAGTCATCGGATCTAAGTACAACTGTTGTTCAACAACTAATTCGAGACCTTGAAGTAAGCTCTCTATTCATAGCCGCACGAATCAGCCATAGCATTGCGTGCGATCATTATATATTTTGTTGGGCAATTTTCTATTCGTTAACTTCTGTATTCATTAAATTTGCAATTTATAAAAAAATGAACTGGACGCATAGAGCGCTTCTTCATCGGTATCGGTCAAAATGTTTACATTGCTTGCATTGGGCGAAATTGGACGAGTAGTGTAAGTATTTAAATTTGAATCAACTAATAGCGTTAAACTACTTCAATATTTTTGCTGTTGTGTCTGATTAGGAACATGAGTGCATTCCAAAATCTTAAATCAGTAATAACATCCGCTTTCTCGTCGTCATCTGAAGAAATTAAATCTGCCGCATCCTTTGCATTAGGTAAGGATTGAATTGTAACTACCTTGTCAATTTACTTGATATGACAGATCTGGAATTCATGTTAAATTTAAATCCTTCTTATTTAGGCAACATTGCAGCTGGTAATCTTGCGGAATATTTACCTTTCATATTTAAGGAAATTGAAAGCGAATCTAAGAAGCAGTACCTTTTATTGCACTCTTTGAAAGAGGCAAGCGCTAAAATTTATATTTTCACTGATATAAAAATTACACTTTAAACTGATTCGCATGTCGATTGCATTTTATCACCTTTCAGATTATCGTTTGTCAATCCTCACATTCGGCAGCCGTGCAATCACTTGCTCCATATGTTTCCACTATTTGGTATACAATAACCCTATTTTTAACTGATATTTATGGCTAGATTCCTAATAAGTAATTACTCTTGTAGGAACTTACTATTCCAAAGTTGTGAAAAAGCGGGCGGCGAAGGAATTCGAAACATGGTTGCGGAGTGCTTGGGCAAACTAACCATTTTGGATCCAGAAAATTTACTGCCAGATCTACATGTAGGTTACTTTGATTATTCAAAAGCATTTTTATTCATCAAATCTAAAAGATGCTTGCTTATTTATATCCGTTATTTCATGTTAGAATCATTTGGCGTCTAATTCATCCTTCGTTCGCTGTACCGTGGTAAATGCTGTGAAATTCGCGATATCTGAGCAGGTAATAATTTCAATTTTTCAATGTTTCCGTAGAATAGATTACGGCGACTTTGCTTATATCATTAAATAACTACGACCGTTCGTGTATGATAATTTTACTTCATAGCATCATCAAGTCGATTTGAAACTTAAACAATATATGGGAGATTTTTTAAAGTCACTTGAGGACACTGATCCGGTAATTATAATGAAAAGGTCATTGCATACTGTTGACGTTGTATATATATGGTAGCTAATTGCTATTATGTTTTAGAATGTCCGACGAGTGGCACTTGTAACGCTAAATTCGGCGGCCCATAATAAACCTTCTTTAATTAAAGATATGTTGGATGTCATTCTTCCAAGCTTATATGATAAAACTATTATCAGGGTAATCCTACATTTCATTGGGGTATTTTGTTTTTGGTCATGTCATGCTTAGATAAGGTTATTTTTACATTGCAGAAAGATATGATTCGTGAAGTTGAGATGGGTCCATTTAAGCATACAGTCGATGACGGCTTAGACATTCGAAAGGTACGCTACTGTTTGTATATGATTGTGCTTTAGTGGAATAGTTTTTATTCGGATTGACTCATGTTATATCTGTATTGATGCTGCATAGGCCGCTTTCGAATGTATGTATACCTTACTGGATACTTGCTTAGATAAATTAGACATATTTCAATTCCTCAATTACGTTGAAGAAGGCCTGAAGGATCACTATGACATCAAAGTCAGTATTCATGAAGTTATTACTTGCTATTATAAAATTTCTTAATTTCGTGGTACAGAATCGATTGGGTTTAAGTTGTACAGACCGTTCATGCAATATATTTGTCGGTTTAATATATAGATGTTGACCTACCTCATGCTTATTAGACTAGCAACTCTGTGTCCGAATGCGGTTCTCCAACGTAAGTTGCGAATTTAGATTAACATTCGCTATAATCTGGAATAGATTTTCCTTTTTTTGCTGTGATATTACTTGGCTATCTGAGAAATTTTATGCCTTATTTGCATTAAAAATTTCGCTGTAGATAATAAATTGTCTTAAATTCTATGTTTGCACCATATATAGGCTTCGATAAAATATTGGATCCTTTAAGAGCTACAGTTATGGTTCAGGTTAAGGCTTTAGCAGTGAAACAAGAGTTCGAGAAGCAAAATGAATTGAAAAGATCCGCACTTCGAGCGTTGACATCATTGATGAAGATACCCGATAGTGGTAACGAAATTTATAATTGTCAACAGAATTGCCGTTAATAAATTAATAGTAGTGCTTAATTAAGTTGTAATGCTTTTATTTATATAGATAAATCTTTGCAATTAAATGAATTCCTGCAGCAAATCAACAGTAATCCTGCAATTTCTAGTATGTTTGAAACTATCAAGAACGATGAAAGTGGAAGTGGGACATTTATTCATACAGACTTTAAATAATTAACATTACTATTAAGTGATAGTGATTTTTTGAAAAGTTCGATATTAATTTTAAGCGATCAGCTATTAATTATGTATCACATTTGAGCACTTATTGCATAATGGTTAGTGCCTTGCGTTTGGTGATTACCATGTGCAGTAAAATCGCTATGGGTAAACCCTTTAATTAATAGCTAACAAAGCTGAATTGCCAACGTATAGGCTTTCAGCTGTAGATTAGCATACTGTACAGCATCGCGTTGTATGCATAAGTTCTACTTTCGTTAACGTTCCTTCATAGTTGTCAGAGAAATATATCAGTTGAAGCTGTTAATTACTGCCTGTTAAGTTTATTGACTCTGGCTTTAAACATTTTCATAAGTTGATAATAAAAAAGGATATTGCTATTGATTTTATTCTCTCTTATCTTTCTGGACTTAGTCCTTACCTTGCGTTGATACGATCGCAAATTTAAGGGGTTGCAATTCTAAATCAAACTAACTTTGCTATCTCAATAATGTATTTGAAATTATCTTATTGAAAGCATACTAAATAGAAGGACAATCTCTTAAGTTGGGCGAATGAAAAACTATCGAAAATAATCATTTTCCAGCTAGTTTTTGACTTTTCTGTGAAGGACTGTGATACTATGCTACGTACGAAGTACTTCTATAGTTTTGCTTACTCGGAATGGTTGTATTTTAGTATTGTGGCTTAATGTATGATTGAATAGCGTGCAATTATCTTTCGCTTCTTACGTAATGCTTATATAATCAAGGTAGAAATCATAATTGTACAGTTACATTTAATTGTACACGCTAAGCTTGTTGTAGGTTTTGCGTGACGATTTTAGCTACTATTATCTATTTCACTAACTTAAGAAAGAGTGTGCAAGCGTTTAAAGCACATTTAGTTGTTTATTTAACCTAATATTCAGAGACCGATCTCCATGAAAGAATAGGTGATATTAGAATACTAACATATTAGAATACTAACAAGGTAATCTATTATTACATATCTGATAGTTAGGTAGCCTAACTCAGGCCTGTGCCAGGGATATTATCACTACTCATCAGCAGGATAGTAACAATTCTTATCAACTATAGAAAAACAAACGGCAAAGGTACAATTCATTTCATTTATCTCCATAGGAGTTATAGACATATTGAGCACTGGCATTATTATCAATTTGATTATTATTACTCATAAGAGGAACGCTAGAAGTAATCAAGGATTAAATGCTACAAAATGATGGTAAAATGTGCACTCCAACATTGACCCTCGAGTTACTTGTCTTGAATTTTCTCTTTGAATTCCTGAATTTTTTGGTCATGTCGATCGATAGCATCTTGATGATGTTTCAGTTCTTCTTCATGAAATTTTTTTATATCATGGAGCTTTTGTAGCTGTTCTTCTTGCTATAAAAATATATTGAGACTTACTATTTTGCTTGCCACTCTCGCAATGAGCGAGACTTTTAGACACGGCATGTATCCATGCTGCTTACGTATTACGTAAAGAAATAAATAAATGCTACAAAACTTACTAATTTCCTAAAGTACTGATCCTCCTGCGCTTTTTCTTTCTTACCAAACGATCCACCAGCGTCTCTATAACAAGATTGAATTACTCAATTTACTCATATTGCGTTTCTATCAAAATCTTAACAATCATAGATACGCGTAATGACAGTACTACATATAAAATAAGCATCAATGATTGAATAAATTGAAGCGAGGCTTCTGACAAGCCATTTCTTCGATACTTTAATTTAGTAACGGATTCAATTTGCTACTCTATTTTTCATTTATAAAAATTTTTAGCTTGATTGATGATTGAGTATTCAAAAGTTATAAGTCATCGTTAATGCATTTGAATAGGATTTAGTACATTCTAACAACTGTTCCTATCAAAGATTCAAGATAGGCAAATGACATTAGTCACAGATCCATTGCAAACTGATCAATTTACCAACATAAAGGAACCTAGATTAGGTAAAAGACACTGTATAATACAACGATTCTTTAGTGATTTATTGTTTCTAAAAACACTCGACAATTACAGTTGATTCTGGTTGTACACACGCGTACGCTAATTAATTCTCGAAGTCTACTTGCGGATATTGATTTCTATGGCGTGCAGCTACTATATTTCCACTATTTAGAGCATTAAATAGTACTGTACATATACATAAGTATGTACTATAGTTGATTAAGACATTGCACTCCTGCTATAATTACAGAAATTGCTCTAGATTATAAACTTACACAGGCATAACTATCGTAATCTACATTTTATTGTCAATAAAGCGTAAGATAACATGATTTTGATAAACAAAAATAATTGATTTAATTGCCTATTTGAACAGAAGAATGCAATAATGCTGTCATTGCGATCTTATTTTCTCATCCATTGCACGTATGTTGGTTAATGTTGTACGCAAATTTGTTATTCATTCAATGTATTTCGAAAGCTAACCTGATCGAGCCAGCTTGTCGATCCTAGAAAGAGTAAGTTACAATCATGATAATTAGTATACCTTGTATGGTTTGTGGAATATCATATTGCAATTCATATATAAAAATTTGATCTCACTTAAAAGCAGTCAGTGAAATGCTCTTACTGCTCCATAATACAGTATAATAAAAGGTGACAATTAGTGCAAGATAGAAAATGATCAGTAGAACCTAAACTATTTATTCATAACAGCGAAGCATTTAAACATGAGCGTTATAGTCAAAGTTTATGACTAAACACTGTCTTATAGGCAAATTATTTGAAAGTCTAAGAAAATGTTGTAAGAAGCAAAAGTTCGAGGATAGAATAACTGAATGCTTATAAAACTGGGCTGTTGTCGATAGAAGATACACGATGATGATCCAAAACTTAACAACAATGCTAACAGATCACGGTATAAGTATACGACTGAAAAGAGAAATAGCATTTGCTTGAGGCATGGTATCTTTTTCTACCAATATCATCCTGGAGAAGATTAGAATTTCAGTAGAATAGCAGCATATACTGTATTATAACCGTGGAATATGACAGTATCCATTCATCATCATCGTCTACCATTGCTATCAATGTTATTATCCATTTCTAGATTCGCTAGCAGACCGATTTGATGGATTATCAATAGAATGATTACCTGACTATAGGCCCTGGATTGGAGAGCAGCAGCAGCAAAAGTTCGATAGCTAGAGGTCCTAACAGCAACAGAGGCCAATCGCCTGGATACTAAGGATGCCATAACTGAAAATATCACTGCTAATACGCAAAATTTGGCTGGTAAATTGGATGAAAGTGGATGCGGTAAATAATTTAAAATATATAAAACTATACTAGTATTGATGGACTATTTAATGACTAATGACTACGGGCAGATAGATGTACAGACTGATCACGTAAGCTTTATAAAATGTATTTCCTCTATAGTAAGATTTTGGACAAGTCTCTGCTCAAGGTAGTAGAATTAATTTTAATTATACTAGCGATCTCTACTGAAGTGGACAGCCACCAGCCATGGGCCACTAAAATAGCACAAATGCTACCTAGAATTGGATAAAAGTATTTAATTTTAGCGGCCCAATGGTACTGCCACAGCGTCGAGGTACAATCGATTTTAAAAACATGGCGATCTAGCCTTGTCACTGCTTTCATAATCCTGTAAAATCAATCTATTCCCACTACCTATCTTCAACTTGAAATAGCAGGGTAAAATGGTTGTCAAATCATATCATCTTCTAGATAGCATTAAGATTACGATAACTACAATTTAATGATTGGTTATGGTGGTATTTTCGCCATCTATTTGACCCATATTAGGAGCAAGGATGCAAAAAGGTAATATTACATCAGCGGCAAGGAATTTACCAATTTGCATAGCTAACATGTTTTGCATATTTATTATTTACGTGTCTAGAATCTGCTGTACTCTGCTCAAAATTCAACATTGAATTCAATTGGAGATTGACTCCTTGGTTATCATTTTAATCATGGATTGCAAATTTAAATCGAATGGAAACTTGCAGTAACTCAGCACTGAATTCATCCTAGTTAAAAAATGGAATGCCAGTGCTGACCGTAATTCATTATTGAGTTGTTGACTAATCCCCTGCTGGGCTTCCCGTGTCTTTTTCTAATAATATCGTGCAAGGATTTGGTCATGGACTACTCGAAGAAGTGGAACAACCCTCGTTTACTAAAATTATAATTACTAGTAGTAGTCTCTGGCCTCAGTTAACACTAGCTATACCGCTAGTACAGTGACTAAAAAATGCCCAAATTAAAAGACTATAGTCGTCGATATTGATTGTTGACATCGCTGCCGACCGTCCATGTCCATATCCATACGCTTGTAGTAGTGTACTAATGGATACTCCAATCATCGGCATATATAAAAGCAATCCTGTTGTCTAGAGCCAACAAAGAATTGAAATCTTTTTATCCCCTAGGCAGTCTGCGATGATGAATGCACGAATAATTAATAAGAAAACCTCATTAACATACTAACTACTGTAAAAGAGTAATCCGAACTTGGTATAGCAGGCACAAAGAAACGAAACAAGTTTTCTAGCGGATTAGTTGGTTACTTGCGACCTATTGTCTTCCAACATTGAATTATATTTTAGCCTTGTTATTTACGAACTATAGTTGAACAAAATTAGGATAGTAAAGCCTAATTACTATCGTTAGCATAGTCTTATAACTTGGAGTTTATAGTAGAGTTTCTTGGGGACGACTGCTTGACAATAAACCCAAGAGTGTACTATTACAACGTTGGGTAGAAACCACTTCAATTCTAGTACTGCCATCAGGAAAACGCCAAATCCAAGGCGACAATAATCATGGAGAAAGTGTGTTTTATTTTGGCTCTGACAGCCATCTACGGTAAGAAAGATCGATGTACTGATTTGAAGGGTTTCGGTTGTAAACTATTTTGGCCTACTTGCACTTCCACTCTTTCGATGCTAGCGATGGGTCAATATTTGTTTCAACGGGATTGTCATCTCCTCGACTATACAAAGTAGACTCCACTCGACGCAAAATGGCCATGGTTGAGGACTCATTAATGATTATACGATCGGATTTATCATGTCCACAAGGATGAACATTTTCGATCTTATCCCTTTCGTTGAATCCTTTTTATTGGATCGAGATAGATAGACATTAGAATAGATCATTTCTTCTTCCAATCGAACCGATAACGATGATCATTTCAAAATGGCAGCGTGTACCAATCATAAATTTTCAACCAATGCAGCAGTTCCCTCCAGTCAGATCATTTTAATTATAGAAAAATGCAATGATAATCATGGCTATGTTCTCTCTAAGTAATTCGCTGGCTGTAGCCTACCACTTCAGTATTCAGCATGATGTAAAATCTGCATGGTATGTCTTCCGATGGCTTTTTCTAAAAGCCAATCCGATCGGAAGATTCACAGCTTTTTCGATATTGTTCACACCTGGGTGATATGGAGCAACTTTTTCAACTTTTATACCATGCCACTGATGATCAACAGTTTACCTACAATATAAGATGTAGACATAATTGTGCTTAACTCACACCATGAAGAAATGGCGCACAACGATGCGTCAACAAAATCACCAAATCCTCTACAACCTTACAGTTTTATTATTTGTTTTTCATGTTAACGGTTGACCTAAGAAATTAAAGCATTTTACTCTTTCTTTCCCTTTGATTGTAAGTCAAGCCGTGCAAGTTGATTCTAATTAATTAGGAACCTTAATTGGCCGTCATGACATGTACACTTGTACAGTCCATAGATCCTTTTTGGATAATTAATGCTCACCTTCACACAAGCGGTTCAACATTTTCCTACAGTACGCGTATTTCAAGTGGTTGTCTTATGGGGTTGAAATTGTCGGAAATAGACACTTAACTATGTCCAAATTGATCATGCATCTGTTCCATCTTGACAGTTAATTAAAAAATAAACCGTGATCGTTGCAGAATTGTAATTGGCCTCTATTTGTTGATATCTTGTAGGCGCTGTCGCTCAAAATATTCCTACTTATAAGCAATGGATACCCAACACTAATTACAACAATCCCGATAATTGGAGTAAGAAAAGATTGCCGTGCAGTCAAGATACAATAACATTCCAAAAAAGCGTAAGTCTAATTCGTCAAAGTTGCTCTTTATTTTGCACTTTTTTCTACTATCCGTACGGTAATGGTAGGGGTAAAAAACAACAGGATGAATCTTCTAGGAAAGAATGTAGCGTTAATTTATCGACATCGAGTTGCTTAATACGATAGGTTTGGTTTCAAAGTTGTTTCATTAATCTACTGTATTGAGTGAAAAGATTGAAGTATAGTCCATCGTAGAAATACTCGCTTATTAATCTTCTGATTGACTGTATCAATTTTCGTTTCGGACTAGCATGAAATAAATTCTTCTCGCAGGAAGGAGAGTATTTATTTATTTACTTTATCTGCGTGTATTTTATTTCTTGTCCAGATGAAACAGTTATGGATGGAAAAGTTACTGTATATGAAACACATAAGCATGAATAGACAGTAACCGTAGTTCATGAGCTATTATTTCTTGATCTTGTTGTTTAACTGGATGTATCCAATCTTTATTTTAGAACTACACGGTCTACCTTCAAAATACTTTATCGGTACAAGAATTGGTAAGTTTGATCCATCATGAAAGTGCATAGCCCGCGCTACAGAGTCCATGTTTGTCTCACCTTGAGACGGAAGCCCTGCGGCTATACTGTACTGTTCGCGGTGAAATATGGTGCAATGATTTTGCATTATCCTTGAAGCATTGTACCACTTGCATAATGTGATTTCTTTCTATCACCATGATAATTAATAAGAATATTCCATACAAATACTTTATTTAATTCAGAAAGGTTCCTTCCAGTTAGCCATAAACGACAATAGGATCCTTTGACGGAATAGACTTTTTCTAACCTTTAGATAGAGTACAATAGATTAGTATTATGAACCATTTCAATTCCATGTTTACTGTCATCGTCCTTCGATACTTGCTAAAACAGATCAGTACCATAAATCATTTCAATTTCATGATCACTGCCATCTTCCTTCGATAGCTGTATAATTATTGAAATAGATAAGTATGGCGAACTATTTCAATTTCATGCTCACTATCACCTTCCATCGATAGCTGTTGAAATAGATCAGTACGATGAATCAATTTCATGATCACTGCCATCTTCCTTCGATAGCTGTATAATTATTGAAATAGATAAGTATGGTGAACAATTTCAATTTCATGCTCACTATCACCTTCCATCGATAGCTGTTGAAATAGATCAGTACGATGAATCAATTTCATGATCACTGCCATCTTCCTTCGATAGCTGTATAATTATTGAAATAGATCAGTATGGTGAACTATTTCAATTTCACGCTCACTATCACCCTCCGTCGATAGTTGTTGAAATAGATCAGTACGATGAATCAATTTCATGATCACTGCCATCTTCCCTTCGATAGCTGTATAATTATTGAAATAGATAAGTATGGCGAACTATTTCAATTTCATGCTCACTATCACCTTCCATCGATAGCTGTTGAAATAGATCAGTACGATGAATCAATTTCATGATCACTGCCATCTTCCTTCGATAGCTGTATAATTATTGAAATAGATCAGTATGGTGAACTATTTCAATTTCACGCTCACTATCACCCTCCGTCGATAGTTGTTAAAATAGATCAGTACGATCAACAAATTTCATGATCACTGCCATCTTCCTTCGATAGCTGTATAATTATTGAAATAGATAAGTATGGTGAACTATTTCAATTTCATGTTCACTATCACCTTCCATCGATAGTTGTTAAAATAGATCAGTACGATGAGCCAGTTCAATTTCATGCTTACTATCATCTTCTTTCCATAGTTGTTGAAATAGATCACTATTATCAGCCATTTCAAATCGATACTCGCTGTCCTCATCTTCCTTCGGTAGTTGTTGAAATAGATCAGTATTATGAACCATTTCAATTCCTTGCTCACTATCATCTTCCTTTCATGGATGTCGATAGTTGTCGAAAATTCGTAATATTTACTACAATTAACTTCTACAGTACCAATATAGTTCTACCTTATCATCCTCACACCTTACATACTGGAAATTCCTTTACTGTATATTTATTATTCGACACTGCAATGCTATTATACTGTACATTCTAGAACGATTGTCGGCCTAATAGGTTGCTAGATCTGTTTCTGTGTTGCCCTATCTTGTTCACTCCTTCTGTACAGGAAATTTACTTAGGTGTTAAATGCTTAGGTGATTGTTAAGGATGAAACTATTGTCACTCAAATGCGTAGCTAGCTGTTATTGATTATGCAAAGGCTAAAACTAGTCTCGCTCCAATGCATGACTAGATTGTGTACTGCTCAACCATCCATACTGGAAGTTTTACGAGATGTAAAAATGATCTTTGTCATCAATTGTTCAAAGTGAAAATTACAATCACTCTATTACTAGATTTTGCCTGTCGATGGCGACTTTGTTCTTGAGGAAGGATTTACTATCGAAGCACCACCGACACCATCGTCTTCACCGACTTCATCTCCTTCATCTCCTCCATGTCAAACAGGTATTATTCCAGTGATATGATAATAGGAGTCCTACGTTAAATAGATCCAATGTCAGAAGGAAAACTGCATGGATAATTTCAGCAGAATGAAGGAGACGCTATTATATTTTCGACTTGTTGAATGATGACCATTCAATTTTACCAAAGTTTCATGATATTGGCTTATTACTGTTTAACGACAACTTGTTCTCCGCTCTGTATGCTGTAATATCGACATGTACTGCATTCTAGTCTACTGTTGTAGTAAAATGTACCGAATAGAAATAACTAAGTAAGTCATTAGTTTTCGCACCGTACAAAACTCGAAATACGAATATAAATACTACACTTGGTTTCATGTCGTCGTATAAAAAATATCGATCCAATTCTGTATAAGTGATCCTATAATTAGAATTAAATATTTGAAAATCGCATAACATAGACAATTTCATTTCTTCAATACGTGTAGGTGGATCGCCTAACGTTTTTATCGGAGATATCCCTAAAAATTGGTTCAACCCGTCTAACTGGTTCACTGTTGATGGACCTACAGGATCAAGCATTCCTGGAAAGGTTGCTTCAAATGTTATGCAAACCGAACAGATACCTTGCCTAACTGATACGGCTATTTTTCCGGTGGGTGTTTAGGCTAAATTAAGTCTTCGTCATCTTGCCTGTATCAGTAACTTAGTGAGAGTATACATAGGATGATTGCATGAAAAGATATTGCTTTATTTAGTAGCTTTCAAAACTAATTGATGTCACAATATGCTATCTTATCACTGTACTTGTATTCAATATTCTATGACGATAAAATAATAATAATATCAAAGTTATTACCTCTCTTGTCATAAAGTGGTCAACTAAACGTTCAATTTTATTATGTCTTTTTCAATTTTTTTAGTCTAACGCTTTTGCAGTTAATATCACACTGCCAGTCATTGTTGGCTCAATTTTAATTAATGGTCAGCAGTATCTTGGCCAGCAGTTTGCTAACTATTTGGCCACACCTGTAGCTCAAAATCAGTTTTATTTTGGATTTGGAGCTTCTGTAACTGTCCAAGATAGCACTTGCACTAATAGTTCAGGATGCCCGTGTGGTTATTCAGGTGGAGTGGTAAGTATAAATGTTAGTTTGTTCCCTGACAGTTCTTGTCAGAACTGATATCGACGCTATTTAATAAGACATATGTATTTAAATTACACGGGTATAGCTATAGCTATTAATAACATTGTAAGCTATGGCATGCAAAACTTAAACTCCTGCTACGTAGAATATTCTATTGATGTAATACTATCCTTTTATCACAGTTTCAATATGAAATATGTAGGCAATCAATTTGTCCGCGCATTTCTTGTTCCAAACCGCTTGCTCCACCTCTTGGCAGTTGTTGTAAAATATGCGGTAAGTTATTTACATGATACAAAAATTCCTTATTTGTAGTTCAATTCAACTTACTAACATGCAGAGTAAACTTATTTACGGTAATGTTGTCTTGAAACTAGGAACCGTTATGCAGTTTTCCATTTCTAGTACCTTTAATATTACCGAATTTGAGCAACAGATCAAAGTGTCCTTCTTAAATGCCGCAGTAAGTAATTAAGAAATATTTGAGCAGATTTCTTCTATTATTGGTATTACATGATTACATGAATGATTATCGATCATGACTGTACGTTCGGGCTTACAAAGTTTGGTTGAAGTACCGTAGAAGGGATTGATTGCCATCTCTATCTTTATAAGTTATTTAACTTTCCATATTTCCTAATGTATATTGTAACCGCACTATCACTAGACCAACGTATTATACAACATACAAACTACGGCGAATGGAACAGTTTTGTTGATTTTACAAGATACTAATAATGGTAAGCTATTGCAATTATTCCTATTGTAATATGTTCTTAATAATCTCTTTACCTTTTTACCCTTCCTTTGTAATCAATTTTTACTATAAAAAGCATGATACAAAAGTAAAAAGTAGCATTATTTTTTAATTACTTATGGTAGCTAAAATATTTCATTTTAGGAAGTACCTCAGGAACTGCTGCTATTAATGTAGGGAAGAATATTTTTGATAAGATTCGTTCAGGTTGGTAGAAATTACTTCAGAAATAAAGCTATCTTAAGGGTCTAAAATGAATGGCCCAAATTTTTGTTGCTACGTAAACGCCTATTTTGTAGTATTTATCAACATTAATCTCGGGAATGACCGGTGTATTTGTATTTATTTATTTTATTTATTCCATTTGTACTAGTATTTTCCGTTATCGTAATCATAGCGTAAATGAAATCTAATGAATCTATTTTATAGAGTAACTTGATTTCATTGACTTATGCACATATTTTCCGTGATTGTATTTAATTTCTCATGGGCAATCCCCAAGATTGATCGGTCATTCCCTAGGATTGAGCGTAACATATAGGCGTATATATATACGCGTACACTGAACAGTTATTATAATTAGTAATAATATCGTAATTGTTAAGAAAGTATGTAATACTGATTTCATAAGACAGAAGAAATCATTAATGCAGCTTTCATCCTATTTAGACAAAAGCTTTAATATCACCTCGGAAACGCTGCAGGGATCCGACGGAACTGTTATTACAACCAAACCTACAACACCTAGTAAGTAATGTAAAACGTTTTTTTAATTTGTGACAATCTCGATACTATCGTATGTCTATGCGTATTGTAGGAAATATACTTTTGAAAGAAATTTTTTCTAAAATAACGTGAAATTAACCATTGAATAAATGAAAGATGGCATCAGATTTTATATCTTGGTTTTCTCCGTGTTATATAGATAATGCTGTTGGTGTTGGCGTTGGAATAGCGCTGGCTGTCGTTGCCGTCATTCTGCTGTTGTCAGTAGCATACTACTTGTACTTCAGAAGGTAATTGTTTAAGAATTTTAGTAATGCGTAATTATGTGGTCGTTTATTGATCTCTAGATATATTGAAGTCAATAATGAGGCCAGTAGCAGTCATTTGCGAGATTTTTCTATAAATAAGTTTCTCTTAAAATTTATTTAAAAAATTACTAGAAAATCTGCTGACGAGCAAGATCTATCCACTGCAACTACACCATCTCGAATTTCTAAAAGAATCAATAACCTTGGTCGGCGCATGCGAAGTACATTGAGAGGTCGTACATCGTCGAGTCTACTTACTTCCATGGAATTAGGAACACGTAGTGAAGCAGGTATGATATAGTAGAAATGATAAGGCCAAAAGTAATTCAAGACTACAGCAGTCCTCTATGATTTTCATAATGTTTTACTTTAATTACAAGTATACCTACCTTTCTAGCCTTAAAATACTATTATGGTTGATTTTTAGAACAAAGTGTGGTAGACGTAGAGGATAAAGCTGGCCTGAGCTATGAAAATCCTTTATACAAAACTACCGTTAAGGTTAGCAGACGAAACCTTTGTAGGATGAAATTTAATGATAAAAGCTGGATATAATTGGCGTATCCAAGCTGTTCCAATTTACTTTCTCGTGATGCGCGTATAATCAAAATTACTTTTAGAAGATTTTTTTAATAAAGATGCTTTTTTGTCTAACTTTATAGGAGGAACCCGAAACTGCGTTTACTTTACAGGATACTCAAGATCCAACTGCTATCTATGAATAAGCGGGATTTCAGTTCTGCTAAGTGTTTTAATAACTACGTCTTTGCATGGTCGTTGACTATTTTTAATGAAATTTGCCATGTTTGTGCAGTTTCTAGAAATTTCGCATTTTATTGGATATCTTAGTTATGATGTACGCGTATACAGCAACTTTGCCGTAAGGTAATAAATAAAATGGTTCAGTTCAAAGAAATGAAAGCGTTTGATTGCCAATTGAATTGTACTAGTTTCATTTTTTCTCTGCGCGTACTGCAGGATTGAAATTGGCCTGTAGTACCACTATTTTCATTAGAACATAGTATTATTGCAGTGCAAGATTACATTATACCGAATTCATTATAAAAAGTTAATCATCTGTAGTATTTACTACGAATGCCATGAAAATCCATGCTGTCGTAACTTTGTTTGATCTTGAGCTTACAATCAGTATGCTCCTTTACTCAGAATTTATGGTGCCTTGGTACAGTTAACGATTATATTATCATACACTGCCTTTGTTTAAGGATTTCAAGCATTCGTTAAGTGATAGATATTACTGCGTTTGCAGAGGAATATTTAATAATCTGACTTTAGTTTACCTCAATACTATTCGGATATTTACAACCACAACTTGAAAGATACTCTGTAATGTGTATTAGTAGAAGAAGTATACTTGTATTAGTACTGTACTCTTAGATTATCTCCTATATTAAAATTGGCCAATCAATGTTATAATTACTTTGATTCATCTAATAACGTATCAAAGCGAAATGGGCAGCACTAAATAAGTGCAAACAGACACGCTGCATATACATTTAATAGAAGAAGTAATTAAGCCTTATCAACAGGTAGGCTGATATCTAAATTATTTTGTAGCGATTTATTTTTAGGAAATCAAGTATAGTTAAAGAATCGAAAAATTTTGAATAAAATTATTTATTAATTATTAACAGATCGCTACTCCAATTAAGCCAAATTTCGCATATAATCTTTAACGACAGAAATAGCTTAAAGAATAACAAGTAACAATTTTCACATTGCTTTTAATGTTGTATACAGACTGTAATCTATGTCGTTCATCTGGATCATTCATGTTCGATCAACAAATAATGTCTTCATGTTTAATGGTATACAATTTATAACATTGTGACACAAAAATAAGTATCGTTTTCTATTTGTAACGAATGAGGTCTTTATCGAAAATTAAAATGATATGTACCAGGCTGAGCAGGATACTGGCTTAGATATTGCAAGGGCTGCTGACGAACGGTCAATACTTGATTACTTCCCTTATAAAGGGGAGTATCGTATAGGCAAATTAATTGCAATAAAGAAAGTGATTTGAATATTAACAATTTCTAAACACTACCTCCAGATATTATTATAATTTCGGTTCAATATACATAGGCTAAAAATACGCTATTCTTTTTAGGTCCCTAAAATCCGAATCAACCAGTTATTTCTCTAATCACAACTTTTGAATTTAGTGGCAAAATATCATATTGAAATCGGCATGCTATGAGATGAAGGAAACTTATCGAGCGAAAAAGCCTAACAACGCCTATCAGTAAAGGGCTAAATTATATCGTCATCACGCGTGCCTTATGTTTTCCAATTTTTTATGCAAAACACATTTAAAGACTTGCTACAAATACTATCAGTATGATTATAGAATTTACTCGATCTTTCGATCGAGTAAATTGTACTGTCTCCTATTATAATAATTTGAAATCATTACGGTCGTAAAATGTGCTGAAAATATTTTAATTTCATTAATTTACGATCATTCCAGCTGAACTGCATCTACAAATGAATTAAAATTTGTGGTACTTTTTTGAATTTTGCGCAATTATTAATAATTCGACCGAATTAGGTCAAATAACTGTGAGGTAAAATTAGATGAGTATATCATCGCTCTGTAACTTTTGATGTGGATCCATAATTTTACCATGTGAAATAGCACAGCCTAGATGATAGCCGTTAATATATCTAGTAAAGTTGGCGTATTATCATGGTGTGTTGTGCTTGTGGAAAGGTGGAAGCACAATTTGTGTATTAAAAGATCCAATTAACAAACTACTCTTGGAGAAACTAACGAGTAAAATAATGATGTAGATGTATAACACTAATCAAATACAAAAAGCTGGTCAGGTATCTTAGATATACCAAATCTCTGGTGAAAATTAATTTTGAATGGAAAGCAATTTAAGTTTAGAAACTGAAATTTATTAATAATATTGCGATTAAGCCTTACATCTTATCGAGCCATTATGATATTTATCATTTTTAACCTTATATTATACGGTTAGTAAAGGGTTTAATTAACAAGTAGAAGATTTGACGTAAGCTAATGACCACGTACGAAGATCATTCTATCTATATTTATTAGAATTTGGTAGTAAAATTCTTAATACTAAAACAAGGAGCGACATATTGCGTTAATGATTAAGATAGAAGCAATTGTATAACAAAGAATTGAAAATTTGGAAGTTACTAAGTAATTTTCCGAGTCCTAATAAAAGTAGCGATAAAATTATCAAAAATTTACTATTGAAGAGAAGCAATAGTAGTAGTGAAATTAAGAATCCATCAATGGCGGAAACTTAACCAAAGACTTCGTTATGTGTATGATGGTTTACATCCTTTAAATAGGTAATAGGTTGATTATTAAAATTTATGCAATAATGTCATTCGCATTAAAAGGTAACGAGCTAGTAGAACGGAGTAATTGAAAAGCGATTTAACTGAATGATTCCTAGTTAAGACCTAATACATTTTGTCGTTCTGCTAATCTCTTAATTTCCAGGATTCATTTGTTTTTCTCCCACATTTGGCAATTTGTCATACAGCGGTGGTAGTTGAGTTTTACTCGTAGCGCCAATGTCAGTCTGATTGTAATTTAATGCGACTTGTCCAGCTTGTGGTGTCTGAACGTAAACTGGCGCTTGTTGGAAAGCTATAACTAACGAAAAATATTAAAAACATAGGATTATAAATTTCAAATCAAATAACACTGAGCTTTAATCGTTAGGTTAATGGATTCAGAAAAACTATAGATTGATTGTAGCTAATACGATATTGGAGGTAAGACAGTAATATAGCATGATGTAGTCGGTATGATATTACTAAAAGAGTAATTAGGATGGAATACTTTTCAAAAGAAAATTTGAGCCTCTTTAGCTAAGGTAGAAGGGCTAATATTTATACGTAATTTTAAACATGCAATCATCAATTTTACAATCCGTTTTCATGGTATCGCATAGATAATTATAATCATCGAAAGAAGTGTTATCAAACGACATAAATATGGCAATATAATGAAACTTATAAATTCGCAGATTTTGGAAGAACTGAATAATTACCAGAATATACTACTCGATTAGTAGTTATTTTTATACTGTAAAACTATTAAAGATTACTATAATAGTGAGATTGAGTAAACTTTGTATACAGAATCATATCCGGTAAGCAGTCCGTCATTTGTACTGTTTATAAGGAATTCATGAATCCAGTTTGTGCTATTAAAACTTTAAAGTGCTTGACGACAATTACATGATTTACCTTTACTTGATAGCGCTACTCGCTAAAAGTTTTATATACCATATCTGAGTTAATATTAAGATTCTTACCTGGTTGATTAGGATATTGAGTTGGATATTGTTGAAATGCTACAACTTGGCTAGGACCAGTTTGATAGTGGACAGTAGTAACGTTCTATACGTTTAACAAGGGTAAATAAAGTATAAATTAACTCTGATTAACAGAAAATAAATACCGCATTAATTTTTAGATATATTCAAGTAATTAAGTCTATAGGCAACTTAGCTAAATATCATGAACAACAACTAATGAATCAAAATCCGATGCGGTTCTTATAGTCATAGAAAGATGATCGCCGACATATCCTGTTAGAGATTACAGTACCACATTCTAACGATGTATAATTACTTGAACTTAGAGTGTACTTCAAACTCATATCGATCACACTTTTCATAGTCTATCTAATGTTAACGACATCCACTAAGTTATTAAGTATTTTAACACTATCTAATCTTTTCAATCAAGAGTGTTAGCTAAAGAAATGACGATAACTCTTAGCGAAAATGCCCGAAATACGGGTAGTGGTATAAAATAAGGAATCGGCTGAGAAAGTTATCCAAGACTTACCGTTGCCGTTGTATTATTACAATAAATGCCATTTCCTAAAATAACGACTGATGTTAGGGACAGTATAAATCCAGAGACGGATAAAATGATAGAGACGATGTTGAACCATATAGTGCCTCCAATGTATAATCCAAAGCGGTTGCTAACCATGTAGGCAAGGCTAACTATGAAATGAGGAATGGACAAAATAAAGCTAATAATGGCGAACGCGAAATACGAGTTCATCTGTGTATCGGGGAAAAAAACATTGAAACAAGTCAGTTCATTCCAATCATCACTTAATAAATATCAAAACTTTCCAAGTTGCTGCAAATCAATGATTACGGACATACTGTATCTAGACATGAATAGTAAAGAGTATAGTAAACTTTCACCCTGGGTAACGGTTTAAAGTAGTTAAAATCGCTTCTAAAAGCAAAAATTTTTCTAGCAGTCTAGCGAACAACTTGATGATTTTAATCAGGTCTTAAAATATTGGTAGAGCAAAAACATACTACAATTTAAAAATTTGACCTTATAGTAAGTGTAAGGAAGAAGGAAATTGTCGTCCAATCGTAAAATTAAGTAACAGTTGCTTAATGTTAATGTTATTAGCTATGGCTTAAAAGATGTAAAGATCGACGCTTATTAGACGAAAATTGTTCGTCAATCGTTATTGATCATCTATTATAGGAAGGATTATAGAATATTATTTACCATTACATACTGATCATTTATATAGTTATTCTGTTCGATGCCATAGCAATTAGTAGCAATTAGGCTATAGATTCTTTGAGGCTGATAAAAGTAAGATTATACGAGGGAGTAGATCGGGCGAATTTTACTAGTGCTTTATTTCATTGATATAAAATCAGTAATTTAAGATTCTATTGAATGTCATTTCATTAGCACTTATAAATTGATATTTTAAACAGGCTAATTTCTATACTATTTTACAAATGCTAAAATGTCTCTTACCAGATGTGAATTAGCACGATTCTTGTGAGAAGCGATAGCAAATATGCCACATAGGATATACTGAAATAAAAGATAATAGAAAACAATATTTAGTCATCCTTAAGTCATGATACTGTGCAGACTGTATACTGTATTGTAGGCAATAGATCATATGGACATAGAGTAGAACATGGTAAAATAAATTAGAATGGGCAGAAATACAATTTCTAGATTTCTGAAACTGAATAAATAACATTAACTAAACTTTTTCTAACTAGAGTGGAATGGATTATCACTTAGTAGAACGAAGTATAATAATTCAGATTGGGAAAAAATGTAATTTCTAGTAATCTCAAACGGAGTAAATAACATTAAATAAACTTTTCCTATTAAGAGTGCAATGGATTACTAATTACTAGTAAATATCAGTGTCTATTCGCTGTTCATAACCAGTACATTATACATATTACTGATATTAGCAATCTATTCCGATAACTTACAAATACGCCAGCCCAAATATCAGCTCCAACAAAGACCGTTGCGTTGCGAATATAGATATAATGGCCGTGACTATAATATGAATAAGCAGTGGTGAAAATTCCAACGATGCCAACTATAAAGCTGACAATACCCGTAATGAGCATAGTAACACCAATCCCATAGCAAGTTTTACGGCGATTTTCCGGTAATATTTTGCCAAAGTTACCGCAGCAAGCTTGATAAACTACTTGAGGTTGCTGAGTTTGTATTTGTACTTGCTCACCCATTTTAATATCCAATCTTGCTTGTATTGTTGAGATAAAGATTACTTTGCTTTATTTGGAATAATTTTGAAAGATGGAATGAAAGTCGTGTTAGAGCGTGCAAATTAAAAATAGGATTTCCATTAGTTGATATTAATGGCAAACCGTTTGATTAATTTTTAACTTAATATATGTTGCTCTAACAGATAGTTAAGGATAGGGAATAAAGAAGTTTATCATTCAATTTCTAGGATGATCGACTATAGTTTGTTTTCTGTAAGTTATAGCCCGCGCTAGCATGACTGTCATTTTCATAATTTATCATAATATCAAATCATTTTCTAGCCCTACCTTGTAACCAAGTGATCTAAGAAAAAATTGATCTTCTTTGTTTCTCCACGAGCGTAATTCTGACCCACTTAAGCGATAGCAATCGCTTTTTACAACGATATTACAGCCTCTGTAATAATAATTTTCTGTCTAATTAATTCCGTAGCGAGAATTTGACTGGTAGCTATTTTAAGTATATGGCGTTTAAACTCTATGACGTATTGCCTATAATGGCTATACTGGGTATATGAAGTGCTTTCGACCTCTTGAAATAAAATATAAATGGGATCGCCATCAATTAATTCAGTGACGTCTTTTAAATTGTTAGCAGAACAATGTCGAAAAGAATAGAAATAGAAGATTGATCTATTTAAATTGACTACCATTATTTACGGAAGTTTGAATACTCCGCTCACTTTGCTATCATTATTAATGGACAACATATATCATTTCTAGCTGTTAGAATAATTCTTTGCTAACGTAATCGTTTATAAGTTAACGATTGTGTTAAATGATCATAATTTTGAATTAAAGATGGGATCGCTTGATTAGCTTACTAATACCTAATATATCAGATCTAAACTAGCCTCTTTTCTCCTCTTTTTTAATACACTTTTCTACTATTGTCTTAGTATATAGTTTTATTGTTATTAAAAGACTTAATTCATAAGCTGAATGAGGATAATAAGATGCATTGCAAGCCCAACAAAACGATACGACGACAAGGAAATTAAAGTCCTCATTCTGCTGATTAAAGTACATAAGAATGATTAAATATAGTATCCGATATTTAATCAATCTTATGTACTTTAATCAGCAAATGAGGACTTTAATTTAACGCTCTGAATTTAAAAAGAATAAACTAAGCATTAGAATCTTTCCTTTCAGAAGAGCATATAGATAACATATCGCATCTTTCTTTCAATATATCAAGAGTTTATTATTATCAGATTAAATAATTAGAGCAGTAAAATAGCGATAACAAAGTTGATTTGACTGTATTTAATCCCATATGCTCTAATTTAGCTTAAGCTGAAGATATGAACTTTAGTTCTGCCTTCCTTATACTTTATGAGCCATTTCAACACAAGAATGACATCAGAAAGATAGGAAACATGCAGATATTCTCGATTTGTGTTACATTGAATTATATTATTGATATATATGTAATAACATGCCCGAAATTACGCTGTATTGAATCAGCTTTTCGCCATTTTGATCTGAAGATGGAACTTTAGCTTGGCTATTTCCTCTTACTCAACAACTTAGATATAGACCAATTACTATTATCATTCTTTTTATTACGAAATCGATTTAGTTAAAGTTAAATAATAATATAACTAAGTTGATAAAGTAAAAATAAGAAGTGCAAGCTTGTATTTAAAGGGAGATGTTTAAATCTGAAGATAGAACTTTTAGCTTATCACTCAATCTTAATGGATAGGAGTTACGAAGCGAAGCACCGTACATGTTAATTAAGTAGATTTCGTTATGTAGCCAATGGCATTACGGTAAACAGTAATTTTGCATATTAATCGTGCATAGTTTTGCTAGAAACCAAGATGTAAGCGTGTTCTGAAATTAATTAGTATAATCTTTATGGATACTAATATTGGCTTCACCTTAGCACCCGCCGGGCGGTGCGAGCAAGGTGCGAATAATCTGCTGAGCCTCGTACCTTTAATTGGCTATTTATTAGTTATCGCCTATTAAAGTTGCTTACTAGTTGTATCTATAGTAAACTTTATAGTTTATTGAGGGTTGTTTCCTTGTACAAGCCATGTAAATATTATGCTGCTAAATTACCATGTTTGCACCATAAGTTTGGTGGTAGGGTATAAAAGGAGGAGCGAATGCTTAGCTTCTCAGTTCGCGATTAGATAGCGTTCCTGCTACTCTATTAATAAAACTTTACTTAATTCTTAGAACAGCCTTATTCCTGTGGGATTGTACTGTGAGTAGTATAGGGCTACAGTACAGCAGACCTCCAGGTGTAGTGGAGATAGGAACAAGTAATCTATTAGGTTAGGACAGTAGTTCGTAAGTCAAGTTTGTGATAATAGGTTAGACATGGACTTTCAATACCACACTCATATTTCATGGTATTTACTTTTAAAATTGATATTTCAGTAAGTGAAATTAAGGTATAGCTAAAGTAATAAATAAATTTGAATTAATGCTCAGTGATTGATATCTTTAGCAGAAGGTACTTTAGCCTGGCTCTTTCCTTTCATAGAATGGATCAAACATGACAGTGTCTCGGTTATTATCCTCTCTAATAACACCAATTTCTGAGGTATCATGCGACCAAATAATTTACTTTACTAACTAATTTAACTCAGAATTGATACAATAGCAGTAACAACATCAAGAACATGCTTGATAAAGTACCGATATTGCAATGTTTAATTTATGACGGTTATTTATCTTTTCTAGTTTATTTTCGATCTATTAATATTTTATTGCTAAACTATTGATACGCACGGAACTTCAATCTTTTTACTAGTATTATAAATACGGTTGCTTTCATACAGAATAATGCAAACTTGATGGTTTGCTAACAGTTTAAGTTGCTACAATTATTGAAAGGGTTATCATAACCTTTCAATAATAGGAACTATTCGGTAAACTATTATAGGTAGATTATAGATTTGTATTATTTTGACTAGTGAATACGTAAATCAAAATATACGATTGCTTTTCATAAGTTATTAGGTATAACAAATTTGTAAGTCTACATCGTTAAGCGACGAAAGATTTAAATTATTACATCGCATATTACTTTCATTTCATAATGAACTTAAACAGATGAATAGCATGCTAATAAATTTCTGTTTCTATAGTTAACGACTGTAATTAGAGGTAGTAGAAGAATAATGTTACAAATTTGCATTAGAACTTTAAAGTTATTGCAAATTACATTTTCTATGCTAATTTTATCTACTATAATTTTAGATAGATAAACTAAAAATTCGATATTAACTCGTGAAATTAGGTTTCGAAATATTTCACTAATTCGGTGCATTTAAGACTGACTATAATTAGCAAAGCTGTATGTTATGCCATAGTGCAATAAATCAATTATAAATTAATAAAAGTTGAAGCTAAATTTACCAAGTATTGCTACTGTCCTCTATCTCATAAGAGTTGTAGTGCCGGTACTCTTGGTTAACTAATTTTACCTATGAACATAAACAATAAACGGCAGAATTTAAGGTAAGCTAGATAATATTAACTGGACATATTGATTAAGGTAATGGAAAGCAGGAAATTATGATTTTCGATAATGCACGAAAATCCCATTACATATGAATACAACAAGCAGTTTATGAGTAAACACCGTAATACAGATTCAGCAGTATCTAATTGAGCTCACAAAGTTATTCATATATATTGCTAAAGTCATTCAATATATATATTTGAGGTTGTTTTCTTCAGTAAATAGTATTCGTGGTGCAATAGCGTTTTGCAAAAGAATTATTATTAACAAGCCAGAAACCAATATTCTTGATCTTACCACTAGTTAATTACTTTTATTTGCGATCAGCATGATTTGAGATTTAGAGTTAAATTATATTTGTTACTGATCAATATTGAATATTTAAAGCCATACATTCTTTTTATTGTCTCTCGATATCGAATATGGATATTATACTTTGTAAACCGTAATCACTCTGAGTACTGCGGCGGTAGTGGTTGCTCAAGTTCTTGCATTGGTTGATCAATTATAGTTTCGGTAGTTATATATCGAGATCGGTCGGATAGGCCTGTATGGACGTAAAGTGGTTGAAGAGGCTGCTGTGCTAAAACTAGGTTATGCATTCAAGTCATAGGAACCTGATTAGTTTATGTGTTATAACGTACTGGTATTTCGGTTGATTTTTATTATTTAAACTTAATAATCTAATTTTGTTTCATTATAAAGGCTAAGTATGAGATGTCAACTGGACTAAACTTTAAGAATAATAAAGTGAATTGATGAAATAGTGATTACAATCAATTCTTATAGTAAGATTTGGCAACAACCCAAACTTATTATTATTATAAATACAGAAGAATCTTTTTATGTAGACTTGAAATGATACTGCTGTCTATCTACGAGTAAATAAATTAAATATGCAGTAGCTGTTCATATTTTGAAATTACTCCTACAAGACGTTTTTACTTATACTATATCATTGCACTAGTGTCGTTAGACTCACCCAGTTGATTTGGAATATGTTGAATTGTTGGTACTTGATTGCTGTCGCCCTGATGATGGGCAGGAGACATTCTCTTTTATTTATTATACAGAAAACAAGAAAAATCAAAATATTAACAAATATTAAGAAAAGTCAGAATTGAAGTTTACAAGAATAATTTAACCAATGCCAGTCTCCATCATAAATCGTTACGATCATAAACTGGAAGGATAGTATAATATAAGTAAAATATGATATTTTGCTTTTACTGTGGTATTTCTCCACTCTAACGAAGATGTCAAGATAGTAAGCTGTTACTTGAGAAATATTAATCTTAATTTATGATATGCATTATTAATATATTTAGTTACAGAATTCACGGGATAGCCAGTGGTTTACGTGCATCATAAGAATGTACTACAATTCTGTACGTATAAAATATAGATATCAATATTCTCATAGCTAAGCCGTATGGAACTATAATTCTATGAAAATTGATGACACTTGACGATGTAGATTTAAAATTTAGAATAAACTATTTAATTCATTTGCTGTAAGCTAAGAAAGGGTATATGTGGTATATTACTATGAAGATATACATAGTTTAAGCCTTAGGGCTACTTATTATTTCATTAATTTTATCAAACAATCCAATTCTACTTACAGCTAAAGTTGGTTTGCAATAAATGCTATTACTTAAAATAATGATCGACGCTAGCGAGAAAGAGAAGGCAAGGGCTGATAATAATATGGATACTGCATTGAACCAAACACTTGCGATAACATTGGCATTAAGCATAGTACCAAAACTTATACCACAATGAGCCAAGGAAAGTAAAAAGCTTATAATAGATAAAATAAAGAAAGTATGTGCCTGTAGAAAAAGAGTGTTCCATATCTTACTCACTGGTTGAAATCAGAATACTCGTTGTTAATACTCTTCATCAATAATACCTTATACTTCAGAAAATAAACTTTAAGTTAAAAATAATTAAAACAACTTACCAAATATCGATTGGAACAATTTTTATATGTAGAAATGGCAAAAATTCCTGTTAAAACATACTAGATAGTAGAATAGACGGAAGGTATTCATAAAAATTTTCATCAAGTAAAATTTTTAGTAACTGGATTCGCATATCTTAAAATCCAGTTAGAGTCGAGATTATTTAAATTTGGCAGTTATGGTATACGTATACTCATGTTGAATTATTTTATGCCATATTCAAATTAGTAAAAGCTCATATTTAAATACTATCAAAGCCTTTAGATGCAATCCTTTGATTGCAAGGTATTTTATCTGTTTAAATTATTATGATATAAAATTTTGATTTATATCCATCGTTTAAGACTTACAAAGATTCCGGCCCAAATATTCGGGCCTATAAAAGCACTCATATTGTAAAGATGAATATAAGTTCCGTCATTATTATGATGATAGGATGAAGTAGCAAATAATCCAACGATGCCAATAGTAAGACTAATTAGGCCAGTAATAAAAGTACTAACGCCTATGCCAAATACTACCGATCGTACACGATGCGGCAATTCCTTTGCAAATGGAGCGCAACAAGGTTGGTATGTAATATGAGATTGTGGAAGATAAAATGGTGTTTGATAATTTGCCATACTGAAAGGTATTGCGGAGTATTGATCTGATGATTTGAAACGATTCCTTCGCCGATAGAGCAGTTAGTAAAAAGTGATATTTAATTTACATTAGTCTTTTTGTTCACTTTAATCTTTACGTTTTCAATCACATTAGTTATATTTACCTTAGAATAAGATCTGCCACACTTTATAGAATTTTCAAAATAATTCTCTGTTACTAAAGCTCCGATACTTAAAGTACCTTATTCTATAAGATGTATACCAACAGCATTTGAGTATTTGTTACAATATACTTCTAATATACTTTATCATTGTTTAACAATTAATTGAAATCCATTTACCGAGTAAATGGATATAGAATATATCTGACGTTATGCGCTCTTTATTACATCGCAATGCGACCATTTCTTAGTATATTAAAGGATCTGCTTGACTTAAATCCTCTGGGCAATGACCTTATTGATTATTTATTAATCTTAAAACAACAATTTTGATCTTGAAGGGTCTAAGAGAAAGGCAAAATAGCTTTAGGGCCTAAATCCATTCAATCTTGTCGATATCAAGAGTTATTTTATTTAATTCTGCTAAAGAACAATGTCAGATTGTATCCTAAAAGTAGGTGTTGAATATCTACATTCCTAATTTTCCCTGGAGCAAAATGCTCATTAATGAATTTAATATGCTGATTGCTAAGTTTTTTCTCATTTTTTTATATTAACATTGAACAGCGAGCGTCATATTTCAGGTAAATGCTTTCAGCTTCTATTCAAGTATGACTTAAATTAAAAGAAACTTAACCGCCAATTGAGTAGCAAGAGCTAAGCAAGGTTGTTTACGTTAATTTTGCTGGCTACTCTATTGCAACAAAATTATGATATTAATATGATATTACAATGACACGATTACATTTATATTACAAATCCTTATAACAAAATAATGCAGCTACATACTTTATTTACATTAAATTATTCTCTCAAGATAAATTTTTAATAAATTAAGATTTCATGACTACACTGTCAGATTATAATTGTAATCAGATAATACCAAGTTCTTGATAATGAATTTGATGATTTGCTAAGTGTGGCAGACATCTGGTTCTAGAACTATTTATTTATGATAATTTGAGTTATTATTGCAAGCTGGTGAATTACTATTGCATTTAAGATAGCATTCCAACTAAAGCGCAATTTATTATTGTAAAATTTACTTAATTCTATTACAAATTTTGAGAGCAAGCTAAGCTTCTAATACAGTGACAATAGACTGGTATTATAAAACTTGAAATAGCAGTAGCTCTTCTAAATGGATTTAATTTCTCAGTACAAACGCTATCTTAGACTAATTTAATATACAGTATTTTGGTAGATTATATTTCTATAACTACACTTAAGGAGTACCGTCACAATTATAGTAATATGAACGGTTGTTAAAAATGAACTCGAATAATTATGTCAGATATTGTTTCGGACAATTTAGTATCTAACGTGTACATTAAAATTGCTATAATATGCTAATAGAAGCTTTTAAACTCATGAAGTAACTGATTTTTATAGTCTTTACAAATGAATTCAATTACGGCAAAGCAATAAGACAACGTATTTGTGATTAATTATGATTTTAATCTATACCAATAGGATATCATCGGAACTATAGGTAAAAGTAGTCGTTACAGGCTTATTTATTCAGGCTAATTATGATAATTAACTTTATAATCCATTAAAATCTTTGATATAAGTAGTATTTTATTTAGAGTCTGTGAAAGAATACTGATCAAAGAGTCAAAAATAGGGGGAGTTGAAATTTTTACTGTATGTTCTTGTCGAAATGTTTACCAAGTAAGTTTCAAAAGCATGAAAGGATATTCTCTATCGGTATAAAAATAATACCATAGGTATTGATCTTAATTTCGATAATGCTAATTGGCATTGAGCTCGATTTTTCTGATAAGTTGTACGCTATTATTTTAGACTGCTTAAGGCAGATTTGATAAAAATATATAGTCTATTAGAAAAATTTTACTCTATTCCTCTCTGTATACGGCGTATCTAGATAATTGCTTACTTATAATTACGAAGCTGCGAATGCTCAGGCAGGCACGTTAGCTGAAAATAAAAGGACCTTGACTTTTCTCTGCTCAGCTTCTAGTATGATATTTATAGACTCTCTGCATTTCTTTATTTATCAGATTGCCAGCCTTAGTATAATGAAGTCATATTTTGATCGACAGGTTATGATTTAAGGTATAAAGTTGTCGTTTAGTATTAAAAAATAGCTAAGAGTTCGTAATGTTCATTTAAGAATTAATATTCAAGCACAAAGAGATTGACTGACGCAGCCTAAAATTTTTTAAACTATAACCGTCGATTACAGTATAAATTTTTTCTCTTTCGAGTGCTGTATATGATCCTGAAGCTATTAGAGTTTTATTCAGGTATGGAATGTTGTTAATGGACTAATCTTGATCTATTTAATTTAAAAAATTTCTATCTGAAAAAAATGGAACTTTTGTTTTTTACTTTTTATCGTGTTAAGTATTTATACCCAAAAGATCAAGCTCTTGTTAATAACAAAATTAATACTATGCATAAAAATGCTTTTATTAATAACTGAAGCTGACTTGCATTTTTACAGTTATTGCTTTTCAATTACGGTCGCAGTAGTTCGCAATCTTATAACGATAATATTCTATTGAAATTCTACATAGCTATCGCTAATAAATACTTTTATTATTTCTATTTCAGCAAGGAGTATGCAATACTGAGCTGACTTCATAAATACGCATATATAAATACAAAAATTTACTAAGTAATGATACTTAAGCTCGAAAACATTTAATTCTGAGTTGACCACGTAAAATTAACACGAGAATTTATATCATAAGATGACATTGTAAGATTGTTACTAGTGATAGCTTTAAACTGCAGACCCTTTATTCTAATTGAAGTATTTACTTAATTAATTATTATTTCGGTATTTAGTCGTGTTAATTTACAATTTTACAAATATTTATCTGCTTGCAGGAATTTGTGTTGTTGTCGAAGGTTGGAAATTGGCGTATTGTGGAGGTTGTGCTACTTGATCTATAGGCACTTTAGTAGTCATTGAAGTTTGTGGCATAGCTACAGCTTGCATATACACTGGCTGACCGGCTGGATATCCGGTAGCTAAATAGAATTAGAAAGGATAGGTTATTACGTATATATCTCTAATGATGCTAGTTGGAAATGGTCGTAATTTTAAGCTAGGAGCTGATTAATGGTTGATCTATTTATTTTATAATCGGAGGGCTACTTACAAATTATATTTATATATATATATAACATATACAACTACCTCAGAAAAGAAATAAACACAGACAGTAATCATATTAGCAGCACTATACGTTATTATATTAACAACTAACCTATTTGTCCAGGGTATTGCTGAATTGTGACTGGCTGAGCTGCTGCTCCTTGATAGTAAACGGTTATCGCGTTATGCTAATCAAATTGTCGGAGGAGGAAAAAAATTTAGATTATTTTAGTTCAGATAATAAATTAAATTTTGATCTTCCTTAATACTACTAACTTATAGTTTCCAGCTCTTTAGTTAATAAATTGGTTATAAAGTGCAATTGTAAATATATAATTGCACGATTATACCGTAACTCTTAATATTAAGAGCTCTACTGAAATGTAATTTTTGGACATTGCAAGCATGGTAGCAAATTTTAGAACTCATAGTATGACTTGCAAAATTAAGATAAACTGTATATGCAGAAGATTTCTAATTTATAAACTTACGTTGTGGCTAGGTCCGCAGTAAATATGATGACCTAAGATGATAATACAGGTCAAGGCTAGAGAAAATCCCGCAATTGAAGTAAGAATGGAAACGATGTTGAACCAAATGCTATACCTAGCATGGTAATCAAACATAGTGCCAAGGCTTATGCCAAAGTGAAAGATGGACAAGATGAAACTGATTATCGAAAAGGCAAAAAAAGAGTTGACCTAAATGGAAAATTAAATCAAATCATTTCTATGAGACATACTAAATGACAAGACCACAGAATATTTTTGTCAACAGCATTAGTGTAGTTAGCCCGTTAATATATCAATCGGAAAACTATACATGTAAAAAATGAACCTTCTTACCAAATGATGGTTGATTCGGTTTTTCTGGGATACGATTCCAAAGATGCCGCATAAGATGTACTAAAATTTGATGAATAAAAATAATTTATATCTGGCCTACAAAAGAAGTTAAACTCGAAATGTACCTAAAGGATCTCCGCGATAAATTTTGTCAGTCAATAATATACTGAAAGTAAAATGTGATCGAAGGTACAGAAATACTATAATACAGAAAATTTTATAGTATGTTTACTTTTACGGGATAAGAAACTGAGTGATGCCTGATAGAAAGATTTCTTCAGATGAAATCTAAACTTTTGCCGGCCAAGGCAGCTGCATGGTAGTGAATAATATGGAAGGCAAAAGAAATCATTTTATGGTACTCCTGATTAGGCTAACTACTGGTAGAATAGAGGTAACTAATGGATAATATGAAGATTTAGTATTGTATTTAGATCTCAGTTTTTGAAGTAGAATTTAAGGCCGTAGTCTGTAGATAAGATTTAAACGTATGAATTTAAATTTTCTGTAGCGTTTATTAAATCTGTACGTTAGTTTGTATCTGTATACTGTAGTAAACTGTAGGTAAATTTTGTCATGTCACCTTGTGTAGCTGATATGGAAATGATATTTTCTAGCAGAATTGCTACTGATTGGCCAGAGTGCACTTAACTTTAATTTTTTTCTGATTTAGAAAACATTACTTCATGACCAGGGTGATCCTTACAAATATAAGTTTGGGTCTGGTGTTAACACTATAGTAACGTCGCTTTAACAAGATTTAAGTTGTTTCGAGAGTAGATATACTCGCACATGATTGACAATACAATTGAACATAAGATTTGGATAGATCGAAATTTAGATCACTTTTCCAAGAATAAATCAATCAAGCAAATGTAAAATCTTAAAACTAGTTTATGAAATCTATTACAGTATAATTTACTTACAGGAATTCCAACCCAAATGTTAGGGCCAATATAAACTGCTAGGTTGTAATAGTGATAAATGATTGAGGTACGACGAGCAACGCTATGTAATGGATGATAGAAATTGTAGTAGCTGCTGGTGGTAAAAAATCCAACGATGCCAACAGTCAAACTAATTATACCATTAATAAGCATGGTGATACCAATGGCCGTGGCCACAGTCTGCATTTTTGGCGTTAAAGTTTTACCAATTGGACTACAACAAGTTTGGTAGACTACTTGTTGTGTCTGCTGGGGTTGATGTATAGCTTGTGGTTGATTTGGATTAGCCATTTTCAACAAGCTTTCCCTTCAACTGAATGATTCTTGATGATAAAAATAAATTTTTTTTTGAGATGCATAAAATACAAACATTCAACGTATCAAGAAGCTCGAGAAGTCAGTAACATACAATACACTGATGAGTAGAAGATTTAATTAAAATATAAAGTCAAAAATTACTTACTTACGCGTACATTCAAAAAAAAAAATAATTACAATATTTTACAGATTGTTTTTACTGTTGAGATCTTAGCAAATAGAACATTTTATATTATCCCGGTATCTTCGATTGGATTGAATTTTACCTGATTTCAAGTTGTGAATTGGAGTTCTATCGTATAAATGATTTGGCTAAAATGCCTTTATTGATATGATCAACCAAGCTTAAATAACCTAAAACTATATATAGCAGTAATTTAAAAGTTTAACAATTACTTATTTTCAACAACTAATGGCAAGACTGGCACGGCCGAGTACGCAAATAATCCCATTGTTTGGAGCAATTTATAGGCGGTATGATTTTGTAAAGTAGGAAACCAGAACTTTGTTATCTTGTTATAGAAAAATAACAATATAGTGGAACAAAACCATACTGAAAAGGATAAGAAATAAAAAGGCTGCCTACTATTTCAATAGCAAGCTGTGTTATCGTCTATAAGCATCCAATCAGCGACTATTCTACGCAGAAAATAAGTTGGTGGATATACAATTATCATAATTGAGTTTAATTCTATATAGTTATTCATGGCGTCATTTAAACTCTGGTGAAAGTAAAGCTGTTAGATCTCATTATTTAAACTAAGCTTTCATAGTGGTATAGGATAGAAAATCAAGTCGAATTTTTAACAGCATAAAAATATTCAATCGTAATAAAATTATCAGCGATTATGATTAAAATTAATTTGCTAACATTTCGTAATGGCTGCTATGTAATTGCTATAAGTGATCAGCATGATCATCGTTAAGGTTGTGAAAGAATCCGAATTCGATTATACACTGATCTATGTTCAATTACCTTATGACTATATGATCGTATTGAAAAGAAATTATTGTTACATGAGTTATCCACTTGATCAAGATTGGATCATAAATCAAGGGTAAAACGGTATCTTGCTTAAGTAATAGTTCAACTATTCTCTTATTACTTCATCTTATGATATATAACATTATGGCTATAGTGATCGGCTAAACGACTAGGGCTGTAAAAGAGACTGAAATAATGTCTTGCTTTCGTCAGTTTTTAATTATTTCTGACGATTGCATCCTTCTGAAAAAGAATATATTGCAATGAGTGATCAGTTTGATTGTGACTAGGAGTGTAAAAGAGAAGTGGTTTCCATCTTGCATTAATAAAATTCTTTCAATCATTTTATCATTGCCTTAAGTCCTCAACTTGTTAATAACTAAGTAGTAAAAGAGACGAAATAAGATATTATTCCAATTAAACTGAAGTTTAAATGAATTACAATTGTACATACTTCATTATTATTATTTAGTCATTCGATAAAAATCATTGGGCTTACATACTGAGATATAAAATACAATTTTTTTATGCTATTTCTATATTGCCTAAAGGTGTCATTCTAGCACTAATACAGATAATTCAGTATCAGGTTGATAACTGAAATACAAATAAAAGGATCTTACTATAGTTAGGGTATATTTAAATTGTTTTCGAAAAATAAAGTTATTGACGAGTGTAAGCGTTTCAATTATAGTTTAATAAATATATACCAGTCGATAAATTTTCAAAAAACAACGGCCTGAATGTTCTGCTAAACCGTTAATTCATAACTTCATGATGTCTAACATAAAATAACTGCAGTTACACTATTAATAATGATCAGCTTCATGATTAGAGTCGCAATAAGGGCTGGGAAAAGATTCCTCTTCAATAAGTGGATATCAATTGAAAAATTAAGTTAATTACAGAAATAGATACTTCCATTACAGTTGAATGATAATAACTGAGTTTAATTTCCAAAATAAATCATCGGTTTTAAGTAGCCGTAGCTGTAGATCAATATATCTTTCCATGAATTTATTTGTAATTTGTGGAATACTGTATAAGAAGAGATCTTAGCGTTGTTGAAGCTAGTTGCAGCTAATCTAACATCAAGTTGATGACTTGTGATAGTGTTAATAGTTCTAAAGAATGCCATTGCAAGGTCATTGGGGAATGATATTGAAAGTAATATGAACAGAAATTTTTAGCTTTGTTTTAATGCCTAGTATAATATCAAATACTTGTATAATTTCAAATAAAAAACGATAGCATAATTACTTCTAGAATGCCTACTATACTGTTTATAATAGTAGCAAAAGTTGCTGTCCATTTGTGAACCCTAAGGAGGTATATAAGCCCAACCCTCTTTTTATTGGGTGAGGTATATTATTATAATAAGGCAAATAAGTTATCAATTTGATAGTGTTTGGAGTTGTAATAGAGCTTAAAACTTAGTCGTTGATACGAATAGTTTTAATACCATCATAAACTGATTAATAACTATTTCAATCGAAGTCATACCGTTAAATATCTGTAGCTACTTAAAACTTTTAACAGTGTCAGTAAAATGCGTGAAGGAAATGAATCAATTTGCAGTACCATCTTTCTAGGGCAGCCAGATATTAGGCTTGTATTGAAAGATGGATGCACGCTGCACTTCATCACGGAGTATGAATATGGAATGTCTTCAGTAATGCTGAATTTTTATTAGCATGATTAGAATTGGAATAGTCTTGCTACAGTTAGAACTATCTAGTAGCAAAAAGATATTCTATTTTCATAGGCTGAATACTTGTGATGCTCACTGTTCTTATTAATTGCTAAGTTGAACCATTTAAACTGATATATTTATAGCAGAAATTTGGTAATGTTAATATTTTGAATGCCATAGCTAAAGCATTAGGCTTGCTTGATTTATCCTCGAACTTAACTATGGAAGATTATTAATCGTCATCGCTAATCTGAAAGGACTTGTTGGAACTAAAGTTTGTAAATTTAATTGTGGTTATTATGATAGTTTGTCCAGTGATGTTTACGTTGTAATTATCTTAATTCCAATGGTATGGATACGATATCATATTTAGGATGGCTAACCTGAACTGATCCTACTGAACTCATTCGGTTGTAATGCAGACAATAAGATAGCGACAAAAAATTAGCTTATTTAGCTGATGCTTAAACTATGTAATCTGCTATAAGTAATAACTAGTCCAAGCTGCTGCTTTTCGGGCTGAAGTTTCAATTTTTAGAAGGCCACAATATGAACCATGCAGTTACTGTCATTAAGTTAATTTATTTAGCTTATGAAGGACTTTTCAGACCTTCACAACGCGTAAATTTTGTTACTACTTCGGCTAATGCTATTCATCGATTCACAATTGACCATTTCCACACGCTGCAGCGCGATGCGAAGCAAATTGCAATTACGACTCGTAAAGATCCAATTTTAAGGCAAGTAACTACGTCCAACAAGGTTGGCTTGCCGCTTTTCAACCCGACCTATACATATTTTGGAAATATCGTATTGAACTTACAACGCAAGACAGATGTTTACTATGGTGATCGTGCTTAATTAACCCTCCAAAACATCAAGCAGATATTTTGCAACTCTTACGTAAGTTTCATTCAGGCATGCTAAATATAAAAGAGTTTAGCACCCCTTCACTTTTAGTGGCCTGATATCAGTCAATACATAACAGCACTGGTCCAAAATTGTCTTCAAGGTACTGAACATGCAAAAAATTCTCTATTTGTACCACTTCACCAAAGGGAATATCTGACCACATCCTAAACGTTCATTTTGTAGTGATAATAACGTTCAATTGGTACCGCTGTGTAAACTATTCCAATCAGAATAAATTTTAATAATCAGTTCTACAGTAAGTGAAATTAACATTCGTGAAGAGAAACCTATTCTTAATTTTATTAAGGCATATTAAATATCAAGTAGAACTTACTACTCATAATATTGGTATATTTGCTACCGTGTGACTCCATTTACTGTAATACGACACATCACTCAAACTGGCTTTAATCTGTTCAATTTATTTTTAATACCGTAGACAATATTAATAGTATAGGGTTTTAATAATGAAAGATTTTAAAGCATCAATAGATATGCGCTATACGCGTATTATAGTCAAAATATATCATGATTAAAGCTAGGTATTTTCGTCTTTATCAACTGATTACTTTAGAAACAACTTCACTAGAAGCCCTACTGAGCAATAAAATGAAGATAAGCTATTTCTTTTTTCGTTACGAACTGATAATCTTGTAAGTTATTGTAAGTTATTTAAAGTGTAATGAAATGAAAAGTGTAGAGATCAAGCTACGAAACTTTAACAAACTTTGATTCTACTTTCGTTGCACTGCGGTCGACTTAACGATAATACTTTGATACCAAATAAAATTTGGGGAAATAACCGAACAACAATTTATTTCAAAACAAAAATGGAGAGAAGTATAAACCGAACAACCTTACAAATACTTAGCTTTAAGTATTATTAAAATAAATGACAGACTTAAAAACTGTCAACGACCAAACAACCTTTCAAAAAGAAGAACGTTTTAACTTACGACAATTCGACCCCGAAGGCCTTTTAAATTCAACAAGTTCTTCAAATAAAATCTTCTTCTACTCTCCCTCTCAATTTTCTAATTGCACTATCATTTATAGGCTTCGTAGAGCCGTCAGAGGTATTTAAAACTGAACAGTTGCTAACCAATCGCTCTTAAGGTCCGTTTTAGAAAACTACTTTGCACCATTTAAGAAAACAAAAATCATTCAAAGTTCAGACACAATTTACCCTACGATTCCCTTACAAACACTATAAAACTAACAAGCTAACTATAAAAATACATCAAACTTCATTTCTAACATAATTTCTATCATTAATACACTATAAAAGTCTAAAAATCAACCTTTAAACATCAAGATTTAGTCATAAAAACAACATTCTAACTACCTAATAATCAACACAACCTCTGCCAATTTCCATCTTATTTTCTATTTTCCTCACTAAATCTCCTAATGTGACTTCAAGTCACGTCATAAAATTCCAGAGTTTCAAATTCATAACAAAAAGTCCAAATCTCAAAAATCAATTCTTACGATATTTTTCACAAACAAAAATCCAAAAAATAAAACAGAAAAATTATAATTCAGACATAAATTAAAAATAAACCCGACCGGTTCCAAAACAGGAAAATTATATCGGACACAAACCCGACCGGTCCCAGAATCCGAAAACTATATCGGACACAAATCCGGAAAAATTCAACATTTATAAAGATCACAGTAATCGCTTATCAAAAAAATTTATATGACTCTTACGACTACTTTTCTGACATTAGTATCGCTTAGTATTCGCGAGTATTGACAGTTGATGTTTTAGCGTCAGATTGTACTGTTATTACTGTACTAGTATACAGTAGACTACATTACAGTACTTTATCGTCATGTTATAAATCCCCTTTCTCTAAGGATAGGGTTTTGCTACTAAGTCAAATTCCTTTACAATTTGAATAGACGATGAAACGCCCTTTCTTTAGATTAGGCATTTGCTCTATAGGGCTACTTCTATAGTAATCTATATAATACCTTGTAAAATAATGAAGAAGAAAAGATGGCGACATGATGATTTGGCAAGGTAAAACTTAAAGACACTATCACTTTGTAGGTATTTTCTATAGTAAAATAATACTAATTACATACTAAAACTACAAAGGACTCTACTTTTAGTCCTTTTACTACAAAAGCATTAGTTAGATTATAGGTAATCATGAATCATGAATCGTCCATGATACTTTTAAAGGTTTTAAAAAGATAATAGTACGATCTAATCCTGTAAAAACCTGATTAAAGTAGGTTGAATCTTCGTGATACAAATAAACTTCCCTTTCAAATGAATTGGCATATATTGTACACAAGGTAAGACATTAAAAGGAAATTCATAGCAAGATTATTTCTTACTACAGTGCTTTATACGCGTATACGCTTCTTAGGACCTACGATTGGGATCCTTCTACTTACAGTAGCGAGTAAATGCATATACATCTCTATAAAGTTAGCAAGATTCATTAACTTCAATAGCTGTTGGCGTTAATATAGGAGGTCCTATATTAGTAGAAATATCTTATCGATCATGAAAATTATATACGTTAACATTGTCAACTAAAAGTGTATGAAGAATCTAATCAGTTGTATATAAATGGCACTATGATGTTCGTAGAAGCTCCTACTATACTAATTGGGAAATTATAATTATTTATAAGATGATAGAAGATTTTTCTATTAGTTGTTTCGAAGTGAGGTCTTCCTGTAATGATTAATTCCTATCCTCCGTTAACGTTGGACTTCCAATAAATTGTAGTAAAAGCTATTACTACTCGTTAATATTTTCTTTTTCTTGGTATAAAAGCTATTACTACTCGTTAATATTTTTTTTCTTGTTATAAAAGCTACTACTATTCGCTAATATTTTCCTGACTTTCGAATTTTATTATAATAACTTTACCAATACTATTCAACAGTAAATGAAATACTTACTAGATACTGCGTAAAAGTCACTGCTATTTTTTGATTTCATATTGGCAGTGATCCTAAGGTGCATAATAGACCTTTGCTAAATGATATTGTTTTTCTAGATATCTTGAATGAAATCTTCAATTCAATAATAGCACGTATGAATATAGTTCCATCTAATCCTCCAATCAATGTGCTTATTATGCTTTCAATTAATTGCAGTTTCTTAGGCAATCCGCTTTGGCCAATTAACTTACCGTGATGACAATAAATGCATTCATTTCTATTGGATTTCATTTCCTTTGTTTCGCTACAGTATATTCCATCTTTTTGCCGGCTAAATTTCGGCCCATATTTAAATAATAACCATTAATTCAATTTTCAGATTTATTCTTGAAAGCCAAACTTGGTTTTATAAAGGATTGAATTTCAATTTTTAAGAAGCTAGAAAGGTTTTAAGTAAGCCTAGAAATTTCAATATCAGAAAGAGATTTTCATTTCTTAATATAATTATTGCGATGTGTTATTTAGTTGAAAAATAGGTTAAAAAATTAAGATATTGATATTTTTCGTCGTATCTTTTCACAGGGTTACTCTTCTCTGAAAGTGAAGCTATGGCTACTTTGCAACGCCAGCAAAATCCACAGCAATATCAATTTCAACAGCAGCAACAAATACCACAATCAATACAGGTTCAGGCTCCATCAGTAAATTATACCGATACTACATGTTGTGGCCCTTTCCGCAAAGTTTTAGTTGGTAGATCGCGTTCTACCGCTTATGGAATTGGCATCGCTATCCTAATTACTGGTCTAGTCAGCTTGATTACTGGTATAGTTGGATTCTTTGTCAATGGATCCTGGGTCTATTTTTACGGACGTTATAGATATATAATTAATCCTGAAACCTATATTGGTGCCAATATTTGGGCCGGGATATTTGTAAGTAAAAATATCAACATTGATAGATGATATCGTTTAATGAATATCATTAACACTTTCCATGTCTGCAATAATTTAAATAGTAAAGTACATCAGTATTTGATCCCCTGAAAGCTGTATCGATTTATATCAGCTTTGATTTATAGTGAAATTGTAATCGAAACTTATAGATTTTGCTTTATCGATAATACTCGCACCACCGATAGCTCTTGAACTAATATGCTATTATGATTTTTTAGAGAGGAATTGCTATTAATTGGAAATCAATTGTAGTGTTAAAAAAGCTTCGCTTATTCTTTAGACTAAAATTATCTCATTCCTTGGAAATCTTTGCTAACATACATACATAATCTTACAATTTTACAATTTAAAATAATGTTTGACTTAGAAGTGCACAATATCGTAACCTTAATCTTGATCTATTTTGGGGACTACATAACGGCTATATTTAAATCGTTACGTGTAATTACTGTATTCAGTACATGGAAATCATTTCATACTATGATATTTCATTTAGTGCCAATAACCTAAGTTGTTTGCTCGGCTATTTCAAATAAATTATATACTACTATACTTCCTTGTGATTAAAGTACAAAATCATCTTATATCCTGGCTATTCCTTTTTAAAATTGTTGCTATTTTGATATTTCAATAATTGTACAGTTGAATTCGATTTCGTTTCCCCCTATGTCTCCTCTATCCAACGTCTTTCCTGATAATCATTATTTTTCTAAGAATTGCGTTATTCAATTAATTGTTTTGACGGACCGAAATCAATTGCTTTTTTGCTTATTTATTTTAAAATAGTAGTTTATGAAGATGACTTCATGATCTGAATTATTGCTGACAATCGAAATTGATTTTATTCCTTGCCGCTTCGTTTATATTTTTATACCTTATTGTCACAAAACAGCTTTGCAACAAGATAACGTAATGTACGATCAATAAGTCAATTCCTTAAACCACGTATCAAGGAACGATATCTGTACTATCACAAACACTTTTGCTCTACTAGCAGACTACACAAAGACTTAAACGCCTCGTATTTTACGTTAAACACTAAGTTTAAGAATCCACTTTATTACACGATATACTGCATTTATATACTATTCCTCAATAACTAATGAGTCATAGTTAATACAATTAACATTGGAATCATTTACTGCATTAGATATTATAGCTACTGCTTCCTTAATGCAGACAACAGTATTTACGAATATAGACATGTGATGACTAATACAGAATAGTCAGATTACGATATGTCCCTATCACGGAACATTTCCATGATAATTTACAATCTACCATAAGTAAATTACAATCACAATGATTCGAACCGTAAGTAGATGATTTGCATTCCCTATTATAACTATTAATTTCAGTATGTGTATAAGTGTTACTGTTATAAAAAGTCAGTGCTATATTAAAACACAGTATATCCAAATTAGAAGTTAAATAAGGATAGGCTAACAGAATTATCTTAACATAGATATTTCTACTCTAATACAGTACATAACACTGTCACACTTATAAAAAATTGCAATTATTGATTCAAAATGATTTGTTTCAAACCATAGAGATTATTAGATCCGAATCTTTCTCACTCTCATTTCTTAGCAAGAAATATAGTACATTTAAAATCGCATGAATGCTCAAACACCCGTACTGATTTCATTTTCTTAACGTTTTCTAGTACATCCTGACTGGTATCTTTGGAATTGCTTCGTCTAAAAATCAAACCAATCCTCATTTGGTTAGGAAAAACATTTGATTCTAAATACTTTACGATGCCTCAACTTATTTTCTAGATAGAATAAACACATAGTAATACCTTTAGTCCTAATCAGATCGCAAAAGTTTGATTTCTCGTATTGTATTAAGCATATCTCCCTTCATGTTTATAAAAATAGTTGAACTCTTATTTTGCTTTTGCCATCATTTCCTTAATTCTGGCAATACCGCATTTTGGTGTGAGCCTCGGTATATTGGTGCAGTTTATCCATGTCTTGGGTCGCATGGTATGGTTTAACAGTGTCGCCTTAATATTATCCATAATTGCTTTTTCTTTATCCTTGTCATCCTTGGTTATTTTGGGCAATAATGTGTATTGCAATCAATCTAAATTGACTGTAAGTGACGTTGAAAAGATGGAATAATGTTATATTCAGCCGTAAAGTACCGTTTACTTACACGGTAAAGTTTTCTTTACATCCTTCACGATTTATTATTAATCTACTCTGAAATACCTTAACAAAATCTGACAATAAACTGGACTTATACACTCCAGTATTATTGTTACCATAAATCAAATTCGATAAAGTTTAGTATAGAACTTCTTGCAAATCATATATTAATCTCCAGAGTAAAAAATTTCTAAAATTAGCTAACTTTATTACGTTATTGAAATAAATTATACGATCAAATTTCGGTAGGCATTTGGAAACTAAATTTACCATACTTTTATATACAGTGATATCTAGCTAGATTAAAAAGCCATTAATTCTGCTTTTACAAGCATAGTATTTAGCCAAAATAATGAGGCAATAATCTTACTTTTATTTTAACGTAAAATTATCGAAAACTTATCCTACGATTTTGTAATCATGTTAAGAAATGGGACAATCGCTTTAAATCATCCAATAACTTATAGTAACCTTTGTAGTACTATTCTGGGCCTATTAATTCATTTTCGGTCCAAAAAGTCCTTAAACAGTCTACAGAAAAGTTTAATAAAGATAGTGCTGCTCTTTACGTGATAGCTCACAATTTCTACGATACTCGGCATTTAGAAGTTATTTATCAGCAGAATATTTTATAATCAAAAGCACGTAAAGGTTACTTATGGATTATTTAGAATTTTTAGAATGCGAAAGCAATCTGAGCGATCTCAAAACGGCATTATTCAGTTATTAAAAACGTGAATAGACAGGAGAGGATAGGATACCGTTAATGTAACCATGTTTTGATTGGCCTATCCCCTGGTCGATGACTGATTAGTATATAATTGCCTTTATACCAACTTAAGTTACTGCTATGTTTTAGCTTTCAAAAATCGTCTACGCATATAGTATTATTTCAAGCAAATATAACCTGTAGATAAGCAATATAGATCTCAAAAAGGAACGAATCTTGATAAATATATGTTCATCTCTAATTTAAATGTTTTATTTTATGACAGAGTTTCTATCGTATTAAAGTATGATTATTTAAGCCTTTATTGCTTAAAAATTCATACTATATACTCATTAAAAGTTACGAAACTTGTAAATGTAGATATTGATACATCTTTGATTCATACCTTAACACTGAAAATTTCAAGCGTTCAAAAGTTATCCACTATATAATTCAATTATACGCTACTGTATACTTTCAGTTATTGATAGTAGAGGTTCATTAGAAATTGACGTAATCCTTCAAACCGATAATTCTGAATCTTTAGCGCTATTCCGATCTATAAATTTTTGAAATTTAGTCTATACAATTATTTTAAGCTATGTTTTTTCTGTGATCGGTTTATGAAACTGTAAGGAATGGATAAAAATGTTTTAAGTGGTCTTATATTAATATTATTTAATGGTTTAATTTATCTATAGACTGTTTCGGCGGTCCACTATCAAGGCGCTAATCAAGTAGTAACCATTCAGCAATACCCAGCACAACATCCAGCTCCTTATGCAGTCCATTATTCTGCTCAACCTGGTGCGTATCTTTTGTATCATTACAAATACTTTGCTTCCAAAAAACAGATATTACCCATCACTTTCAGGAAATATTAAATTGCAAACTTTTCGAATTTAATAAGAGAAATAATTGCTGCAACTCTATCAAAATAAGTAGCTATAAGTATCATTCATATGAAATTCCAAAATACCAGTAGGTAATTGGTAGTGTAGACATCCAAAGTAAAGTCTATTGACATACTCGTACTATTTAATATCTGAAATTTTACGATAGATATTCTTTATATAAAAAGATTCATTCTAACAATAGACATCAATTCCGATACCACAATCATAACATTAACTTCTATATTTAATTATAATACTATACAGTTCATTTAAATTTCATCAACTGTAGTCCAAGTTAATGCGGAGCTAGAATCTCGTGAAAAATATTATTAATCAAGTATATAAAATACATATAATGCTCATCGTGATAAGGAATACTATGATATAAAATATTGCTTTTTAGCTTACATACGAGTTGTGATATATACCAATCACGAAATTCCAAATTTTAGAAAAATAAGGGCTTTATTCAATCTTATACAAAGATTAACTACACAACTCTACTCTAGCCGAATGCTACTTGTAAAGACTTCTAGAACGAACTAACAGAATAATCTAAAGTTGCATGCTTTTATACTTTCCGTAGCATTCGCAGCTACAATCCGCATGGCAACCTTTTACCTTATTTTACACATAGTTAAATTATTCTTAGTAAGACTATTCTACTGCGGACCATCATTAATCCAATATGGATACGACTACAGTACTTACGTAGACATTATTCACACCAGCCAAAGTACAATGAATTAACCATATCCTAATATATGATTTACTGTTCTATTTTTACCTATAGCCATATTAGTAACTCAACACCTTACTGTATATAGTCATCTGTACTCCAGCATAGAGTCTCTACCACTACAGTCTATAGTTACAGCTACCAAATATCTCTTAGGATAAATATCTACCGTACATTATACTAAGCATGGCTAACATTCTACAATCACAATACTAAGTTACATTACACGAGTATACTCGAACTAGATCCGTAATAGAATATCTTATCTGTATGCAGTCGAATTGTAAATACGTGGAATAAAGCACATTTAGCATAAAAGAATTTTATTTACAATTTCAGGAAATTTGTTTAATAGCCTATTTGAAATCACTATGATCTCGGATGCTTTACTAATGTACTATGGAAAATAATTTTAAATTTACACTTTTATTATTAGTTATGACTTTCCAACCAACTGTTCCGGTATATGTTCCCAATTCAACAACTGGGCAATATGCAGCCGCTGCTAATCGAACCGCTATTAACAATCCAGAGAAATCTCAATTGCCGTCTTATAGCAATTTACCAGATTTACAAAGTTCAGCTAACCAGCCTTAAACGATAAATACACGGTGTAATTCAGAATATCCTGTCTATATACAATGGAAGTTATTCTATGCAACGATAATTACTATATAACATATATATTATCGTGTTTTTATCGCCTATGCAAATAATTATGACATATGACTTCATATATAAATAATGCTAGGTTATAAGTCTTGCTTTGCATACCAGTAATGTACCGTAACATATAAATTCCCATACTTACAAAATTGATGGCTTATACTAAAACATGGTTAGATATCATTTATTCGAAACCCTGTAAGAACTAAGCATAAGCAGCTATGCTATAAGTGATGGCATCAAAGTTGACCACATACTCTTTATCCTTAATTTCCATTGATTTGCCAAGCTGAAATGCTTAAGAAGACATTAGCATCAGAAAAATTAATTAAATTTCTTTAGAATCAAATCTAAAAGTGCAAGTAATTCCTGGTAAGGCTAGCCAGTTTGCAATACCTGATGGCCTCTACTATCGAGATAATGAATTTTTACAAGCTCGCTAGTATTTATAGTAGCCTTTTACTTGCTTACTCAATAGCTTTCTAAAACAAAAATATTGCAAAATGTACAGCAGAATAAGCCGACGTAGAATCTTATTTAAATACTAATATTGTATTAATTAATTACTCATAAAGCAAAACAAACCGCAAGTATGTTAAATGAGCACATTATCGTAAACCGTCAGTAAAACGACGGGAGTTTGCACTAGTATCTCCTAATACTTATGAAGATAATGATGAAAAAGTTAACTAATATGGCTTTAGTTTGTTAACATCAATTAGTTTAGTACTTTATTTCGTCTTCGGCCTATTTAATAAACTTGTGTAGGCAGATATTGTCTCTGATAATTGAAATGTCCTTACCGTAAGAAGTGTAGTTGTAAAATATATCAGACTTTGCTCTGTCCTACTTTAATATATATATGTATGCATTAATTTATCAGTGTACTTTGCACCCGTAGAAATTTGTATTGCTTCGATGATTGGATCTTGCCTTGTTATTTTTGATCACACCATCCTTCAATGTACAGTATATACAGATTTTAGCATGTTGAAATTAATTGACTAGACTGTCGATTTGCAATGCTCGTATTTGACTTAATTTTTGATATGTGTATATAGTATTGATTGAAAGAAGTCATTAAACTCAATAAGTAAATTAATAATCCAACCTAAATCAGTTATAGCATTTAGTTAATTATTGAAAATTTGAAAAGGTAAGGTATCTCATACATCTCTTGCTTATTCCTTATCGTATGACTGTTTTATGATGATCCACTTTCTAGTCAGTGTTCAAATAGACGATAAATCAAGCTTGTTTTAGGAACTCAGTTTGTATACCGTATCTATTTTGTTATTTATGAACTGGAGAATTGAATACTAATTGTTTAAAAGAATATCATACTATCAATTTCTCATGATTAATGCATTTGGTCGTACTACATAAAGCATAAATTTCTACTTGCATAATAAATATTTTCCAAATCTACAGTATTACGGAATAAATTCAAAAGCTAAAATTTATTAAATTATAATTTAACAGTTTTACGTTTTTACCCTTCGATAAAACGAATGAGCTTCTACTTGATATTTTTAGGAAACGTATTTGACAATTTGTAGAGTCTAAACAGATATTGCAAGTTTTAAAATACTATATCTGCCGCAATAATGGTGCAAAACATGCCGCAAACCCAAATTATGGAGCAACCGCCAGAGCCTCATCAGCAATCGCAAATGCTTGCAAGTCCTTACATTATTAATCAGGGCTATGGCGGATCTGTATCCAGAGTCCTACCGCAAAGCATTCAAATCCGTATCCGCACCGTAGGCTTATTTATGTTGATTTTGGGTCTACTTTCATTAATTCTAGGTGTTATTGGGTTTTTTCTTGATGGATATACTATCTATGACGATACCCCCTCATTTTCTATTATTTGTAATGTACGAGCTTACGTGTACCTTGGAACCAACATATGGTGTGGATTTATTGTGAGTATACTGTTGTGTAAAGATCCTGTAAGCCTTAGCTTAATAATATAGTACGATAATCCTTGGTAGTTCTCTATGATTGAACGAGAATAGATTATTAATTCCTCATACGAATCGATTAATTCGTCTTTTGTGATATTGAGGCAAAAATTTCTTCTCATTGTTCATTCTGACTTGTTAAGATTTGCTAGTATCATCTAAGAATATCGGTATTAGCAATATTCATCTTCATCGTACAGATTGATTAGGATTTCCTAAGATATTTTATACGATGGCTAATAATTTATTATCGTTAATAATACTTTCATTTGATTGCAGTATGCTCTCAGTGGAGTATTTTCTCTCCTATCCAATCAATTCAGGGATAATGCTCATCTGGTATAGACTACGCTGATGTTATAATAGCTTAAACAGTTTATAACTGAAGAATTTTGCTAATTTATTTCGGAAGCTTTCGATCTGATATGGCTTCTAAATGATTACTTTCTATTTGCAGATGAATACTTTTTATGCTTTCAGTATTATCAGTTTTATTATGTCTTTGGCTCATTTTGGCTTAAGCTTCGGGCTAATGTTTCATGATGGACAGCATTGTATCTTATGGTATAATGCTGTTTCTATGCTGATATCTATTGGTAGTTTTGCTCTCTCTCTCGTTGTCATGATTGTACTTGGCCATCAAATATATTGCAGATCTAATCTTCGGGTAAGTTAAACTACTACTTCTGGCTGCTGCATGCCATTGCATAGTTCACTCAGGTAAACGATTAGTATTAAGCTTAGCATATAAAACAACTACAATCGCATTCATATTTATGTTTCTGAGAAGTACTGCATAGTATCATGTATAATTATGAATGTCTACTTTTTGCTTTGCTCTTTTTCAAGAATAAAGCATGTTGTTAATTGCTAAATCTGGCTAATAGCAAATTAAAATCGTTTAATTTTAAACTGCTTTTATATAAATTGGTCTTTAATTACAGAATGCGATTTCAGTTCATTATATGACTGGCCATCAACTTGTTGCTTTCGGCCAACCAGGTATTTTGTTAATTCTTTAATGATTACTCTTAATTGGGATATACTGTAATAAGCACTAAAATAGAACTACTTTAATCGTAGTTAGCCTAATTTCGTTCCAATTCATTTGAGAAATATTCTAACCTATATATTAATTGCCTCAATTATTTACGCTTTTAAATAAATCGGAAGTTTAACTTAACTACGAGCACTTAGCTTAACTATTATTCTTATTAGCCAGTAAGTTTACCTCAAAATTATTATGCATAAAATTAATATACCGAGATTATTATGTACAGTTACAAGGCAATTGCTATTATAATTTAGTCCAAGATGTCAGTATATCTAAGGTAGCCATAATTTACGAAATCAGGCACTTTGCAAAGTTGAGTAACTTAATATTATTACACTACTAAATTATTACATCGGTGCACACCGGTATACAGAATAGGAAAATTTGAGCAATTTACAGATTTCAATTCAATTCAAGGATGATTGTTAATATTTTATCATTAATATCATTAAAATTTTCAAATTATTATGGCATAATTATTATGTAAGAAAGAATCACGCAAAATTTATTAATTTAATTAAGATCATTCAGCGATAATAATTTCTTCTATACAGCGCATTATTATACTACTAGCAGAAAAGAGAGTAAATATAGAACTCTGACTTTTTATGATTGTAGCTACCCTTTAATTCTGTTCTTGAAGAAATCCAGGAACAAAAATAATTCTCTTCTCGATCGTAATTTAAGATCGATAGACATATTCTTTTTACTTTCTTTACAAACACTATAATAAGTTGTTTAAAATTTCACATTAATCAATTTATAGAATACATTTAATTGAGTAATTACCATACTGCATACCAGTTTCTAATCGAGGAATAGTAGTTGCGAATCGCTACAATGAAATAATGTTTAGTATCAAGAACTAAACTCTTAGCGATTTTAATATTTTCTAGCAGCGATTATACTTAATAAGGCTACTCATATGATTCTCTAAAAGTGCGCTTAATTAAGATGCTTTAGCCATTACTACATTGCCTTGTAGCATAATTAAATGCCGGTATCATCTTAATTTGCTATGAATGCATTCTTAGTACCAATGGGAGTCGCTTATTCCGCTGGGCAACCTGTTTATGTCCAAACAACACCTAATCTACAGTATACAACTGAGATGAACCGGGCTGCAATCTTTCCACCACAGCAACCGCCACCTCAATATGATCAATTGGTAGCAATAAATCGAAACGATAATTCGAAGGAAACAGAGAATATCATCGGCTAATTGTCTTGCACTTTGATTGCTAATTTTTACTAACTTGATCTAAAAGCTTATGCAATGGATGATAAACAACTCATTAATTTAACCCTGTACATATAGTTTAAGTTAATGTTATAACTAACAGACAAATGGATATATACTGAACTTACTCAAACTCACGAAGTACGCCGATTATATTTATTGGACAGTATTCTTCATTTAGTTCTATAATATTAAATTGCCTTTCTCTCAATGTAAAATCCGTGATATTTTCAACTTAAATTTATTTCTTAGTATGGTTCTTCAATAATGACAGATGATGTTAATCATGTACTTCAAATCGTTATGAGACTAAAAATTTTGTTAACACAACTACTCATATTTAGATTTAGACGATCAGTAAGGATGCTAGTGGTAAAATTTTGATAATCTCTAAGGCAGCGTTACAGACACAAATACGTGCAATATTATTATTTTTTACTAAGATACGATCACAGTCATTATTGGATTCTAATTACTACTATTTCTCAGTGACTTATGAGATAGCGTGCACTTTACAAAGTAGTACTCAATAATCTTAAATACGGTAGAGCTTATCATTATTAATACAAATATATCCATGTATCCATAGCGAGATTAACTAACTTAAATAACTATAATAGTACTGTTGACTAAAAGTTTATGAACAATGTAATCAGTTGTTATCTTTACCACATTTGGAAAGATAGATAAAAATATACGTTGCGATGGTGCTAGTAAAAGCCTTTACTATATTAATTATTAGTTAACGTTGGACTGCAAATAAATTTTTACTGAAAGCTATTACTATCCGTTGACGTTCTTAGGTTTGAATTTTATTACAGCTTTATATTAAATTTTATTAAAAGGTGATATTTAATTCTAGATATATTATAATTTCGAATATCATTACCACAGTTTTTAATCTGTAACAAGTTGATTAAGGATCAGCGTTACAATTCCGGGGACATTGTTACGATTTGAGGTGGAATCCTCCCGACTTCGCCTCAGATCTACCTTAACCTCTAACTATGAGGGTTAATCCAGAAGTACTCACTACCACTTCCTTACTTATATTTAATATTTAATCTCTATTCGCCTTCGTTTACAATTGCAACTACACTTCTTGCAACTCCGCTGTTGCGTTACATCTGCTATCAACTAAAACTAGACTGAACTAAAACCTGCATATTTGTGTAGTGATAATTCTTTTTAAAGGTATCGATATTACTATGTAAGTATGTAGTGTATTTGGATTGTACTGTAACTGTAATCTACTCTTAAATATAGATATTTTATATTGCTATTAAATACAGACACATTTACAGTCTGTTCGCTCTACATTCAAATATGGCTTACTACATTTAGTTATTACAGTCCTCGCTATTTTCTACTATCATCTGCTATTCTATAACCTGTTTTGGTATATGTTGTATCTAATCCTACAATCATGTTCTCTGCATGTGTTCTAACGCCATAGCTATAAATACCACCGTTTTCTACCTTAGATTTCTTAAGTTGCATTATTAGTCACAGTTAGAATTCACACTTTACTCACGGCAGCTACCACGCTGATCTACCGTAATTATCACATTGTACCTAACTACTATCTACAATATAGTATCCTCTTTTCTTAAGCTCCTTGTGCAATTCTCTGCATGGCAACTAAAACCACATTATCTTACTCTTCGAACCCTCCATAACAAAGTACAATACTTATAGTAGATTATTGCACCTGTACCCTTAAAACGATGACCGAAAGTATTACTTAACATAGATATAAAAAGCAATTGACAACAGTCTTCATTAATCTAACAGGCATCTCAAAAGTAACCAACGAGGAATAACGACACTGTTAGAAAATTACAGAGATGCGTGACTCGATTCCTATCATAATTTACTGTAGATTGAATGATTGCCTGTTGATAAATTGAAAGCAACTCCATTTTACTACCTATATTTCAGCAAGTAGAAAAAATATCTTGATGAATAGACATTAGATTAGAACTAGTTACAAGTCTATTTTTTATTCTTCTACTCTTAAATTTACTGGAATCATTTTTGAGAAATTTGAAAGAATTTTTTTTCGTTCGGTATCTATAGAGATTTAATTAGACTAAATTCTACTGAAGTTTATTTGGCGGTTGCATACTAATGTGATCTAATTGCCTATATGCATATGTGATATTATCAAGTCGAATCAATAGTATACAAGTATTATATCGAAAGGATCAATCCCTATTGGTGGTCTGAATAACTTTTTAAATTGATTAGATAGGCTCCTTTTGAACCAAGAACCAATCATATGATCATCAATTGTATCAATATTAATATTTTACTACGCTCAGTTTTAGCTTGATTGGTTCCGCTATAACCCATTGTAGATTTAGCTACATACTAACAAATAAAAGTTAAATTTTAAAGCTTACAATTTATCATATCTTTAGTAATGAACTAATACGCTAACAGCTGCGTTACTGTATGTCGTATAGCATCTCAATAGTGTTGACATTAGATGACGCATTTTATGTAGATAGAAGTTATACTAGGGTAGCTTGTATTCCCAATTTTGTTAGTGTCGTGCTAATTCATTGTTTCAAGTTTTAATACTTGAAGCCTTATTAGTATCGATAATCAACTAATAACATTACATTAATCCTAATCTGTGATATTTTAGATCATTACCGTAACAGTTTTCGGTCAGATCGGAAAAGAAGAAAAATCAATTTTCAAGGTAGTAGTCAAAAAAACTTGCTTATATTTATTTTATTTTACTAGTGCCTTTATTCCCGTATTTCGAAAATAGGAGAGAATAACAATTTTGTTATTCTAATAAAATAGCACTCTTTGATTAATTAAGCATGAACAGAAAATTGTTAAATTTTTCTATAATGTATATGTACTGTATGAAATTTTACATTCTTAATTGCTTAATACTATAAATTAACGTTGATCAAAAAACAAATTGCTAAGTAGATCTTTATTAGAAAATTAATGCTCGTGCTTGCATTGATACTTTTGCTTCTAAAAAGTCATAATTTATATTGCTTATTGGTTCTTGACTACGAATACATCTTTACAAACGGCAATTATATTATAATTATTCTTCCATCGGCCTGCTATAATTATGAATGTGCAAATAAAAATGAAAATTTTTCTTTATTTATATGGTGTCTCACAAATCACAAATTTGAAGAAAATTGAGTCGCCTATCGTTCCTAGTTGATTTAATTTTATTCGGTTGATTTTCGTAACATACTACTTGATGAAATATTTCATGAAGACATATTTAAGGGTAAAGTATGATTAGTATGCTTCCGTTGCTGCTTATAGCTACGATTTATTACTCGCATTTAACTAAAATGGACATAAAATCTTACTACAGAGCAATGAAATATGCCGTAGTATTCCATTTATATTTGAAAATTAATTCGCTCGTTTTTGTAAGCCGTTATCATTTGTTTCATGATTCATTCTTTAAACAAAATAATCAAGTAAACTGTGCAAGTTAATGTTTTAAATTAAATCTTTTCTTCTCGACTAGTATCTGCCAAAGCTAACTCAAAGTTCAATTTGCATAGGAAAAACTAATTAACTCATTTTATACGTATTATATCAATCTCCTGTGAACAAAGTCATCATTTTGGGTGGTTATAGTATTCTTGCAACTACCTTAATGCTAAAATATTGCCATATGGAAGTATATGTAAATTAAACTTTTCTTCTTCATTATTACCATCTTATGAGCTTATAGTTCAGAGTAACTCGAAAAATTAGCGTCCTTTTCAACCATTTTCCATTTGTTATACCAATTTTTCAGTGAAACTATATCAATATATTGTGTATGGTACTCTTATGTTGAATCTTAAGCTGCTATTTGCATACAAGAATTATAGCTATTTCCTTCTTATGTATGCACAATGTAATAGTAATAGCACTATTCTGCAAGTTTTAATGTATGCTACTCTGTGGTTCTACCTGAAAGTATACTTTTTCTTCGTGACTTATATCTATCCTAACACGTCCAGTTCAATTTACGATAAAAAATTTATCGTAACGACGTTTCCTGAATTGCGAAAACTGCTTCAATTTATTCTATGTGTCTGTTATGGAATCCGATTACTTTATAACGTGAAATTAGCAAAAATGCAACATACTATACCTACAGTACTTTAATTAAACGTTTACGAAATAGGGATTTTTCTTAATGTTGCTGATCAGTGTGCTTGTAATTCACTTTACTTCAGATTACTTGCTAACTTTCTTCCAAAAAATTTTTTTGCCCAAGAGTATCGCTTTTTAATGTATGCCTCGTATTCTTACAAGGAATCGTAAGACATTTTAGCAGACGATAAAGTAGAAAAATTTTCCCACAAATTCTTACTTTCTCAAATTCTTACTGCCAGACTATCTTCCTGAAAATTCTTACATTTTTTTCAAGACTATAGCCTTTAATGCGCGCTTTGTATTCTCACAAGCAATTTTAAGTCATTTAAGTGACTAATAAATTTGTTATTGGAAACAAATTTTGTTGAAGGTATACTTGGTAATTTGTTCATGCACTATTTGAAACCATTTTTGTACATTTCAGCAGTCATTTTAGATAAATCATCTGGTTAGAGGTCGAACTTGACGTGCAGCCAAAGCCTTTCTTCATCATGACTACCGTAATTAATACGCCAAATTTGCAGACTATTCCAGCTCAGCAACCTCAAATATTGCAGCACCCACAGGTAATGCAACCGCCACAAATAATCCAACAACAACCACAAGTTATTCATACTCCAATTCAGCAAGGCTGCTGTGGTCCAATGCCAAAAATTATACCAGATAACTTGCGACCTGCAGTATTTCGAGTGGGCATTTGTGCGTTAGTGAATGGTCTTATATCCACCATTTTTGGTATAGTGGGCTTTTTTACCACCAGTGTTCGAATTCAAGGCCACCATTATACTTATTATTATTCCAACGTTCTGGCTTATATTGCTCCTGATATTTGGTGCGGAATATTTGTAAGTTGCTATAAATTGTTGATGTGATCATTAATTGATAAGGTATTGAATCCAATTAATGACTGCATGACTAAATAATAGTGATTGAAATTACTACTAATCCTATTAATAATTCGGATCTGCAATTTTCTATACTTGCGCTGTCTAAATTAAGATGCTTGCGACAATCTTATAGTATGCTTTGAATGGACTATTTGCCATATTATCGGATCGTAACAGAAGGAATGATCATCTAGTAAGAATTATAACCCATTTTGAACAGATAGTTTAAGATTTAATTTTACTTAGTCACTTCAATCTGAGCTCAATTAAGTAAAATTACGCAATAATGAAGTTGTATATAGTGAATTCTATACTATATTTGACGGACAATATTAACTTTATAGATAAACAGCTGCTATTCCTTCTCTATTATGAGCTTCATTTTGTCGCTCTTCCATATTGGTCTCAGCTTTGGCTTTATTTTTCATTACCCATCTCATTTCACAGTTTGGTTCAATATTGTGTCGCTGATATTAGCGTTGTGTGGATCGGCTTTCTCCTTAACCCACCTTATAATCCTTAGCCGCAATTTATATTGCAGATCGAATGATTCGGTAAGTGTGAAGGTTGTTAATGGTCGTTACTTCTGAGTTAAAATATCGAGAAATAAAATTGTCTAGGTCCGATTAAATTAGCATGCAATTACGCTAAAATATAGCAAATACAAATCTATTATTTATAATCCTTGCTTAATCTTGAAGCTAGACCAATCGATAAATATAATTGTGAACTAAGGTTTCGGAAATGTGAAATATGCTGCTAGACAGCTTATTCGCATTCATCGATGTATAGAATTCCTTTAATTAGTACGGTAAATATCATGCCAAAACATGAACAGTATCTATCTAAAAGGTATAATTTCTTCAGACAGCTTATTTGCATTCATCAATGGTCTATATTACTGTAATTAGTACAATATCATATAAAAACATGAACAGCATGCACCTGATTATGGATAATGCCAATAAACTACTAATAATCCATTCTTAGTCTTGATGCCAGACTGATCGATAAGTGTTTTTGTGAAGTAAGATTTCAGAAATGTACGGTCTCCTACTAGATAGCTTATTAGCATTTATTGATGACCTGCAGTATTCCTCTAATTAGTGCAATGTAATGTCAAATATGAACAGCACGCATCTAAAAGATAAGATTTCTTAAGATAGATTATTTATATTCATCGATGTGCAATACTCCTCTAATTAGTGCCATAAGTGTCAATGTGAACTAAAATTTTCAGAAATGTACGATAGACCGCTACAGTTTATTCGTTTTCATCGATGTGCAGCAGTACTCTAGTCGGTATAATATTATATCAAAACATGAACTGCCTGCATCTAAATAGTGTAATTTCTGTTGAGAATACCTATAATATTATTCCAACTTCTCCATTCTAAGCTATTTAATTCGATAAATTATAAGTTGTTTTTTATGCAAGATACATCATTATTCAATGTCTATTTTTACTCATTACAGAAAATGGTTGCTGTTCAGTATAACGGAAGCAATCAAGTTGTCACTTTTGGACAACAAGGTATTTCCAGCACATTTAATAGCACTTTTAATACAGCCACCGGTAATTTATAGCGTAGACTTTCATTTATGATTTAAAGATAGTATACTGATGCAGTCTTGCCTAACAAATTTCCTCGTATAAAAATTATGATAACTTAGATTACAGTTATTCAAATTACGATTAAATGATCACTTATAGAGGGTTTAACAGAACTCCACCAGGAAGTTGTTTGATTTTATTCTACTTAAAAGTATTAGCAGTCGGTCGATATAGAGAGTTTAGAGGAAACAGATTCATATGCAACCATGACTGTTAATGCATTAGATTATTTAAGAAGATAGCCATGATGGAATGGTATAATTTGGGTGAACTTTATTAACTACATAATAGTAGATTTAGTTTAGATACCATATACCGTTGTTTTGCAATAATCTCATCAGATCGACAATTGGAGAATGTTTACTTTATGAATCAAGGTAGTATATATTCAAAGTATTAAACTTACTGAAAAGTTTTCATGCCTTTTATTGATGCACTTTTAATCAAACAATTGCAATATCATACCATAAGTCACTACAGTAATCTTATTAATGCCCTTAAATAGAGGAAGCACTTGCTTCATAAACGTAGTTGATACACTGTACTTTAGTTGGGTACTTTAACTGAAGCATCATGTGCCGGCGAATTTAATCTCTATAATTGCTCTATATACAATACATTCTGTTGCAATTTAATCGTGATTAATATTCTATCACGAAAGATGGTATACCGCTTCTAATTCAGGATTTAATTTTTGTATTAGCTATCGTCTATCCAACGTCTCAGCCAGTATATTTACAGGCTGCACCCGGGGGACACTATACTACAGCTATGAATCCTAATTCAGTAGCACCTACATCAATTCAGCAAGTAGCACCTCCACAATATGGAAATTTACCTCAAACCAAAATATCAAATTAAGGAGAAGTTTAGTAATACCAATATCGCTTCTTCTTGGAAAACCTTTCCTAAAAAATAGCTACGGACGTGGATTAAGCCTTTTAAAATGTAAGAAACGTAGTATTGGTGTTTAAACTAATTTTCAGGGAGTTTAACTTTTACTATTAAACGAATTAGAATACGGTAGATGCAGGCTTTGCTTACAGTTAAGGGTTCATTCGAGCTGTTTTTATATCATGTAAATAAAGTACTGCAGATTGGAATATTCTGATTTTGTTGACTGTACTGCATATGTGGTATTGGGATTAGTTAATAGGACTAGGAAAGAATTTAATTTATGTATTAAATCTGTGAAAGTGTGTGGTGCAGCCCCCCTCCCCAAATATAGCTTAGATTACGATTCAAGATTGTACGAAAAGAGGCTAAATTACGCGCAGGGTTGTAAGACTGCATAAGTGTCTAATTGTGGAAGATATTTACAGTACGTATTGCAGTAATTGTATTGAGATGCTTATTTTAAGAATTTGAGATAGTAATAGATAGCGTTAATTATGTTCGTACTATGAGATTTGTATTGTGACGCTTTAATTAGAAGTGCGAATTATGAATTGATAGCACGATAGTAAATTTATATATGATTTTGAAACCTAATTGCTAAAATATGATTGTGTTTGAAAGAAAATCATTTTGTAACTAATTGTATGTAAATTGTGAATATTGCTGTGATAATTCATATAGTCCAGAGATAGTCCTATTGAAGCTAGCTAGTTCTTGGTAGTTGTAATACGAACCTAATCTATGTAATAAAGTGAAGTTTACAAGAAACTGCATTTTTGGTATTTTTGAGAAGACAATTTATCATAACGTGATTTTAAGAATTCTATCTAACTGTGAAATCCAACTAGTATTACAGGCATCTTCATTAAGATTAGCCACAATTTTAAATAAAAATTTTACCTCAAGATTTAATCTCGCTCATTTATAATAGATTGAAAACTAGTACTAACTGCATTTCTGTTCATCTACGATTAGAAAGATATATTGTAACTTTGTATATCTACTTCAAGCAATAGTTTTAATAGATCTTGCAACTTTTAGAACAACATATTTGCTCATTTAATAAATATTCTGCATATAAATATTTCTGATCTACAACCCTTTAATGTTCGCAAATATTTTCATATTATAATTATCGAAATTCATTTACGAATTAATATAATTCGAAATTATTTGATGATGATACGGTAGTAGAAGTCATCGTCTATCGAAAGATTTAGTCTGATGCTTTGTTATTATTTTTATTCACCGAAGCATTCATCTATTACACAATCTAGAGCTTTTTACTGACATTGCTAGAGGGAGAGCGTATAAAAGCATAAATCTTCAATTAAATAGATGACTCATATACTTATTCTTGCAAACTCATCCACTTAGATGTGCGATTAATTTTCCTTGAATGAGTTCCGTAACGAAGATTATCCATAAAATTCAGTATAACCAGCAATCAGTTTAATCATTATTGCAAAATTTAATTAGCACATTTTAATGGATTTAACAGAATTTGTGGCATATAGAGTGAAATAAAACTTTATACTGTAGCATTAAAACAACAGTAAACCCGTCTTTAATAATTATAATCGCATCACAAGCTATAAGAACAATTTCCATCAGGTGTTAATAGTACTTATAAGTATTCACTAACTTATAACTGGAATACCCATAAATATGTGCATGGAATAATTAGTTAGCTCGTAGATAAAAATTGATACTACTCTTACTTGATTCTATGAAAATTTTTCAGTTAAACTATGCTTACTATTGTCTTCTACTAGCAAAGTCGAACCGTAGAAATACACTTTCTTCATGCTCCATAAAACTGATCCATAGACGGAAACGTATACTTAAAGAGACTAAGAATCCATTAAGTATATACTTGTCACAAATCAGCTTCGTGACAAGGATAACGTACAACAAATCTCTAAATTACTAAATTACTATAGTCTCCGGGATTCAGTATCCCTCTACTATCTCACAAGAATTTAGACGCCTTTGATTCTATGTTAAACTCAACTAGATAATTGAGAACTACTTTATTCAACTATCTGACGGGCTTATATACCCTTCTACAGCAGCTAACATTCACGAGTCCTCTTATAAAATACTTAGGCGAGAATATCTACTAACTAATTTTTCACACTTGTACTACAATATGTCCATTCACAGAATCATTTCAGTGCACATTACAGCACAGCATTAAATTTACTGTAACACATTTATAATTAGTGTAATTCCTATTGTAAGTAACTAGTTGTAATATATTATCACTATATTATATTAACCAAATTTAGATAGCTATTTCTTCACGGTAGTTCGTACCGTGACAGTACTATATTAAAGAAGTAAAAACTCTATTAGAAACTAAATCCCTATAATTTGAAGGTTTTTTAATTTGTTACTTATCTAAAATAAACTTAACAAACATACGGCGTTTGTAGAGGTAGTTGATAGTGATGGTATCGCTAGGCATATCACCTTATATATATATATTATGACGTTTAACTGACAGCTATGACGTTTCTTCCTGTACTTAAATTCAACCATATGGAATTATTAAATATAAATTACTACGTGTCAGTGGTGAATGAAATATATCAGCGTGACTGGCCAAGTGCGGTATTAAAATGCATACAATATTGCAACCATATTTTTTTGGACTATTTGAGTTCATATTAAACTCCAAGATATGAATGGTTTTGAATTTCAACTATCCTGCTAAATTTCAGGTAAGATGCTCAGATAGAGTATTAATACAATAGCATATACGTGTATCCCATGTACTGTAATTGAGGTTCCTTAACAAACTAATCGAAAGACTTCAACTCCCTGTTCTGCCATAGGCATTCCATAGCAAAGATGATGAGTTATAAAATAAATATAATTATTTGTAGGAAGTAGCCTTGATAAATTTTATGAAATTAGCATTTAGCCCTTCTACTAGCATATAATCTGATAGAAAGGTATAACTGCTAGCAATTACAGCATTGCTTGACTAATTTGCCACTAAAATGTAAACTTGGAATAGATAATATTTGGATAATATAATATCACCTAAATATCCCTTTTCTATTCGAATAGTGTTCATATTTGAAAGTATTTCATTGCCATTAAACCAAGTGTCGAATAATGTCGGGTTTATCAAGGCAGCAATACGTGCAACAACCGCAAATGATGCTGCAACCAGAACAGCAATTACAAGCAGCCCAGCAGCAACCTCAAATTGAATCACAAGTGCAAAGAATTCAACAATATTCAATGGCACAACAAGTACAAACAGAGCAACAGCAACCATCATTGGGACAGCAGATGTACATGCAGTCACAATCAATGTCACAATCTTATCCCATACAGCAATCACACATACAAATAACTTATCAGAAACAAGCTGCACAACAAAGTTGCTGCTACTCTTGCTGCTGCAGTAGACCTAGAATTTTGTCGAACCAAATGCATTCCGTCAACTTTAAACTTGGTATTTGCATGCTGATTGTTGGCGTAACTTCGCTGGTATTTGGCATTATTGGATTTTTTACCACTTCAGTCTACTACGCAAACGGTCCTTATCATTTCTATCATTTCAATGCATTGGTCTACAGTATATAGGTCCAAATATTTGGGCTGCAGTATTTGTAAGTCCTACTTATATAAAATTAGGACTACTACTGTTATATCGGTATTTCTTGTATTCTTGGGTGTCCCATCATTAAAGCTATCCGCCACACTTATGTTTTCTAAACTACAAAATGAACTCTTGCATCCAAATTATACTTTATAGTTCGATGATCACTCACCTGCTCAATTATTAAGATATTTATTATGGTAATTATTTACTGCCCTTGAGTGAATATCTAATTAAAAATTATATAGAATCATGATGAATGATTCTTGCACAAATAGTTACTTCTAGACAAGATTTTTTAATTTAACTAAGTATTATGACCGTCTGACACTAATCATTTAGACAATGAGAAAAAAAAATTAATAGGTAATATGTTTCATTAGTAAGATAGCTGAGCTTCTAAGTAGTGCAATATTTAGTCGAACTCGCTTTAATGGCTAATTAAGATAGCGTAAAGCACATCAATGCTGCTAATCTTTCCATTAGTGAATGTTAAGCGAACAGATGTTTATTTAAATTGCTTAAAACAATTATTAAGATAGCAGATCGTTTATTGATGTATTCTATATGGCTCTAATAGTAAGAGCTAAATCGGCATTCTTAACGTATCAATGGTTCTATTTACCGAGTAATTATCAAGACTTTTTAATTGCCTGGAGCATTAACTGAATCTTTAATATATTTATTAGTAAAAAATGCCGATAAATTGCATAACCTCAATGATGAGAAATGATTAATATTATACTTATTCGGTTTTTAAAGAATTGCTATTTATGCAATATTAGATAGGTTTTAAGATAAGTAATCTTCTTATTACAGATTTTTAGAGAGACAAAAATAGAGGACTAGCTGAGGTTGAATAGTTTTCGTTAGTAAAGTTAGTAATTTTATCAAAGTAAGTTTTAGTTAGGCATAAGTAAATGATTAACTTTTGGCGGCGTTGTAGTCACAAAGAATGCTAATCATCTTATTAGTACAATTTTCAGCTAGGTACAGCTAAATAATGAATTAATTGGCATTTCTAAAAATTCCTTTTAAAATTAAATTACAATTTTCCTCAAAACAATAGTTAGTCTTTCATCTTATAAATTCTCCTACAAAATATAAGCATGTACAGTATGTGAGTATCGGATTATATTTTATAGTAAGCCATCTTTTTAATAATAAAATGATTAAACTATTCTCATTTGAAATTATCTCAATAATTCATCAAATGCGTAATGTTTTCGTCTAATTTACCTTGCAGTACATCATCAATGGTGCTCTGGCAACAGCAGCAATTCGAAACAAAACCAACATTCACCTGGTTAGGGATATACCATATTTTGTTATCGCATATACCATTTCTATGATTAATTTATTAGTTATAAATATTATTAGTGTATAACTTACCATTTTGCTAGATATGTCTGATTTATAATGATGGCTATTATAATATTGTTAAAAACAGAAAAGATAAAACCAGTTGCTACTTACTGTAGTTTACTAGATTCATATTAAATCATCATTGCTAAGTGTTTATATACTTGAACGTGACCGATTTCGCATACGGTCACGTTCATACTCGAGGTAACCAACAAATTTATCTTAGACATCATTAATAGCAGCCAAATAAGGGTGTTAGAAGTGTTTTAAACATTTTTTCTGACCTAAGTCAAACCTTAACTTATATTTACTGATAATTATCTATCCGCTATAGATGAACAGCTTTTATGCCTTTACGATCATGAGCTTTATCTTTTCAATGGTTCATCTTGGCTTATGTATCGGTACAATATTTATTTATGGCACTAGATCGTCCTTGTGGTATAATACTGTGTCCATTATATTATCTTTCTTTGCACTTTCCATCGCCTTAACTTTCACAATAATTCTGAGCCGATATATCTATTGCAAGAAAAGCAACTCTGTAAGCAAATAACGAAAATGGCAAATTATGCATTATAAATGCTCCATTTTATGGACATCTTAAAGTCTGCTTCAGAGGCTTAAATTATTTAGTATTTATATGTGTATTGCAAGTGTACTGCTTGTAAATTCTAGGTTAAATAGCAATTTCAGGACCACAATAGAATTATAACATGCACTGAGGCATAACCTTCTTTTAAATTTTGACTATTATTCAATTAATAGAATATACCTGCTGTCCAGTTTTATAATCAGCCGGAAGTTGCTCTACCACCAAGGTTGATGCAAGCAGGTAGATAGTTTCTCTTTGAATTACAAGTTTTATCTGTATAGATTAGCAGATATCTTTAACTTTATTAATTTCTATTTACTCAAATTCATTAGGAACGGCCTATCCTTCTCCAGTCTATAGGAAAGACGAACAAATAACGCCGACTGCATACAATCCAGGTAATGTAGAAGCCATGTCTAAACCAATTCCACAAGAGCTGCCTCAATACTCTAGTGTTGTAAATCGGTAACATAACTGAATGGCATAAAAGAAATAAATGATATCATATTTTATCACAAGATTTAAATCATCAACGGTCTTAAGGCTGAATACATTTTTGAGTAACTACCATAGATTACTGGTTAAGGATCTTAATTTTATGCAACTGAAAATCAAGTAGATCATATAAGCGAATTTCATTTTTTCTTCAATGCTATATACAGTAAATATTTTCTAATTTGAATAATTTGTGTAGCGATATATCAAGTATTACTTCTCGGCTATTTAGTTCTAAAAATTAAGTCAGGGTAACTTATAATTTCTACAAGATCAATACGCAATCTTGTTGATTTAAAATTGTTTTTGCTTGATGCATTTGATCAAATCGAGGATGATACTACACTGCTTTGTATTTTATTTGATAGTATTAATTTTGGAATGGTTTTAGCTCATACAATATAAACGCTCTTTTAGAATACTTTGATTAATAAAAAATACCATTTTTAAGCTCGAATTGTATAATCTTCTATAACTATATTATGTCATGATTGAGTCTGACCTAAACTGGAAAGTAATCATAATCTGCCGACATAGCTGAGACTAAACTGGGATATGTATGACAGTTCTGTTTTACATGGGAACAAATTTATAAAAAGAAGTTCGTAGAATGTTCAATTTGGTACAACTATGGTTAGGAAGCTTACCGCTAGTGAACACGGCATCTGCTAAATCCTACTTGAATTTCTCTACCACCAGAGTAAAAAATAACCAGGAATATCTAAAGCGAAATTTCCTTTATAAGGGGAAAAAGTTCATAATAGGAATTCCGCAGAACTTTCAAAGCGACACAACTTATAGTAAGAAAGCTGTACACGAACCTTACATTTGCGTAATTTTGCTGAAATTTTAAATTTTGTCATAGACAGTCATGATACTGATAGCTGATTCTTACATAAGCAAATTTACCGAGATACAGTAAATATTGGTACGTACTAAGTTAGCTTCAAATCTCAGCAGTACACCGGTGTCTATTTGTATGTTTACTTTTACGGTTTGATATTGATTACGAACTGAATTACTTTGAAACAACATAAAACTATATCTAAAACTATGACGGAACTAATTAACTGTTTGTATGTACATTCAAATCTGTAATTACTATTTTACCATTATGGAAATGCTTATAGTTTTGGAAATTGTTGATGACCAACTACAGTCCGTCGTTAAAGTTAATATTAGCTATTTCTTTAATAATTACTACTTAAGCTTAGAGCATTACTTATAATTTTCAAAGATTAGACGTTAACAATTTAAACATCATGACTGACAACTAAGAGAACCTAAGTTTAACCAAGAAGGCAACACTGATAAATAAATAATACGAAAGGAGATTTTCGTTAGTAATGTAGATACAGTTTCTAAATTATAAGTTCACTAAAATTTTAACTCATTCTGGTTCACTAAAGTAAAATACAAATTTAAGAGGTACTATTTTTGGATTCGATTGTATAATATGTAGGTAGGCTGGTTTAAGAGCCTATTCTGCAGACATAACTTAAAAATGATTCATAAATAACGTACAAAAAGCGAAAAAATTTATTAGTGATTGTATAAGGAACACTTTTGTACAATTATAAGTAACTATGCTGATATTTTGATTAATTTTGTAAATTTGTCTCAAACATAGTCATTTGATAGCGTACTTATGAATAATTTATAATAGAATGTAGAGGTAAAATAGAAGCAAATCAAACTATTGGTTGAAGTTTATTCTAAAAGATATTTTTATATTCTCTTATCTGTTCTATATATCTAGGCAAAAATAGTGTTCTTCTATTGCTATATCAAACGCAAAATTTAATATGGGTAATGAAATTTTAAAAATATGTTAGCTACTTTAGTAATGTTTGCTATATTTATAATACTGGTCTACATTAAAAAATTCTCATATTGCCATACATTTTCAGTTGATTCCATAAAACTATTTTACTGAATACAATGAAATTCGTTAAATCTTAAGAATTTAGTTGCCGAGCTACCTACTAGATAAGAATACTTTTGGATAGGTGAAACCTAATTTGCACCACGATACTCAAGCATATAAGTAGTCCAAAATGCAATTCACAAAGTAAGTTAATATTTACTTGTTAGATTTCAATGAAATCTTAATACTTTAGCTCTGTATTGATGGAAAATGAAGCAGAAAAAGCTAAAGTAGGAGAATTATATAATTTTATATCTTTTAACCTACTTTTACGTATCAATCATCTTTCAATGCAAGGCTAAAATATTTTTAAAATTCATCCTATTATGCATCAATATTAGTATTTTACACGTTAATTACCTTTAGAGTAGCTCATAAATTGTTTTTTAATTACGCAACTTGTGCTTATATTCTTTCTTTAGTAATACAAAATGCTATCATAACACACAAACTTCACTAGCTAAAGTTATGGCATTGATCTGGGCTATACTATTTCATATGGTAAATTTTTACATATCCATATTAAGACTTACAAAAAAGACTATACGTTATTAAATATTGTATACTCACCCAATTTTACCTTGCAATTATAATCACTTATTTTTATAATACTGTACATAGCAATTTCTTTAACTGATTGACTTGCTGAAATCATATAAATTTTTTAGATTAGTTACTAACCACTGCTATAACTTTATAATAATCTTCTCTTCTTAAAAGTATGACGAAAGCTATACTGAATGTAAAGGCAGATAATGCTATGCTCAATGATATAAGTTTGTACCAATAGATAGCTCGAGTATATCAGTAAAGCATGAAGCCAGAACTGAGACCAATATGTACACCAGAGAGAATTAAGCTAAGCATGGATGAAATTGAAAAGTAATTCATCTATTGAAAATAGCAAGAAAAAATGTTTAAGAATCGGTAAGGTAGGACAACGTAAAAGACTGTTATATTTTATATACTGTAGTGGTATCGACATCACACGAACGTACTATTCATACACTATTTTACTGCTCACAAGACACAGTTGCAAAGATGCCCCAAACTGCATACTGCAATGAAATATAAATGAAGACAAATATTGTAATTGATCATAGGCTTCGTATAATAGCTTAAGGAAAATCCACGCAGGAATAAGTAAAAAACATGCTCAATAAAATGGAAACGGAAATATATTTTGGGTATGGAATAAGATATAATTGAAAAAAATTCCTTTCAGGAAAATAGTTTTAACATCCAACGAGTAGTGAAAATTCCAATGATCCCAAATCCTACACTCGCAACGCCAGTCAGACATAATACGATACCAAGTCTTAACTGAGCGGCATGAAGATGCAAGGGCAAAGATTTCTCGCATGGTATACAACAATTTTCATTAATAGCTTCGTCGTGATTAATTATTTGAGGCGTCTGACCTGGTAACATTTTAGTAAGAGTTTTCGTTTCTTGTGCATCTTGGACATATTTCACTAGGACAGGAGTAGCCATCCTGCTTTGAAATACTTTAATTTTATTGTTAGCTCTACAAGGGTAAATCAAACATAGGTTCCTCATTATATCTTGGGTTCACAAAACAACTTTCGTGAACGTACCTAAACTAGTCTATCTACTCTTAAGGTTTCCCGACTAACTCCGGAGATCCTCAGTAAAGGAAAACTAACTTATTCCTATACCATAGACAACGAGTCCAACGATAGGTTTAGGTTATTAAATATTTTATTACCAGCTATTGCAACTTAGTACCAGTGTACTCTAGCGTAGCCTTCGTGGAACTCAGATTAAAAAGTAATGATCAAGCTTATATACAGTTTCATATATCACACAAATAAGATCGGTACTAATCTTTGACATTAAATTATAGAATGTACAATACAGATCCATACAGGCTTACTATAGATTCGACTAGCTCGAGTGTTACTTATCACTTGTCACAAATTAATATTATTAATTAGCACCTTATTAACTAACATAATAATCTTTACAGCTTGACATCTTAATTGCTAACACCATATCCACGCTGTATATTACTAGGATAATTAATAACAAAACTCAATTAACAACTAGGTTGTTGCCGTGATCGGCAACCTCCATAATAATATTGTTACACATTTTAGATCAAAATATTATTCATTTCGGAGCGAGCTCCGTCACACTTGGATATTAGAACAATAAATTTCGCACTAAACTTTAGCAGCCTTAATTGAAGTATTTAATTTTTTAGCACCTTTTATCTTACTCAGTGATCGATTTTTATTTGCTGAAATAATGAATACTAATCGATTGCGCCAAATACTTGACTATGAATTGATCAAAATAATCCGATCTGCATTGAATAAATAAATTTTGAGAGAAAGGTTTTTGCTTTTTCCATACTGACTTTCGATAGACGAATTCTTCATTGTATTTAAACTTTTGATCACGTTGAATAAGGTTTTTATTTCATATTGTTTGCTACTCTCTACCCAGCATTGCAATGGCGATATATGGAAGATAGATTTTGTGTGAAGGAACCGCAATGCACTTAACTAGCACTGAATGATATATACTGATATTTTCTCTAAATCATGTGATCTGAAGACTCTACAAAAGCCATAATGACTACGATCGATACTGTAGATAGGCTTTTAATTAATTTTAATGACAGTCTGAGAAAGATTATTAACAAATCATACAGAATCTATTGAAAAATTAATGAATAAATTCATCACAATATATAATTAGGATCATTTCAACACATTCCACTATATTTCGTTGACAATGCAGCTCATCAATTTTTGACAGATACTTTAAAGACGAAAATATTTCATTATTACTAAATTTCTAATTAATCAAGATTTGCTGATATACAATATATATTATTGCTAGGTAATAACTTATTATTTTTACAGCATTTTTCTTCATTTTCAAGTATAATTCTTTAAGTACATGTCATTAAAATGATAATGTGATTGCCATGCTGTCAGTATTTAATAACAAACGCATTAAAAATTCCGTTTTTCTTTTCCTTGACTCATTGCTAACAGACAAAAAGCAATAGTAGCATGGATGCTAGCTGTCACGGTACGAACCACCATGAAGAGTTAATAACTAAATTAGTGTTTAACATTTATATATGGACTAATAATGACTTATAGTAAGAACTACGGTAGTTATTATTTTGTTGCAGTAAATTATGCTATTGCAGTAAGAGATTTCATAAGGTAACTAATATGAATTGATTATAGTGTTATGTCTTGTAACGCTTGTGATGAATATCCTGAAGATATTCAATTATAGATAATACATACCATAAATAATTCTGTGTGTGGACATACTGAAGTCTAATTATCTAGAATCGTTCAGTACATGTCCAAAATTATGAATAATGTCTTTATTAATTTAGCTAACCAATATGAGCTGAATTTTATGAACTGTTATGACTCATACATGATAGCTGCTGCCGAAGGGTATTTAAGCTCGGCAGATAGTTGAATAAAAGAAGAGTTTTATAGTTGTTTTAACGTAGAAGCAAAGGCGTCTAAATTCTTGTGCGGTAGCTACATATCTTTCACTTCCTCATCGGACAAGGCGGTAAGTTATTCCGTCCTCTGGCTTTCAGCATCTTCGGTTAACAGGTTTCAATCTACGCTTGAGTGAGCCATCTTCACTTATCGGCGTATCAGTTGATCAGGTTATCTTCGTAGACTCTTCTGACTTCTTTACAAGAACTGAAATTGGTCTTCTTACCTTTTTCTTGAGGTCAGTTTGTCGAGTGCTAGCGTACCAAGGAGTTCCAAGTTTTAGGGCAAAGTGGTTTCTTCTTCGGATCCCACCGCTGCCACCAGTGTCACAAAACAGCTTTCGTGAACGTACCTAAACTAGTCTATCTACTCTTATGGTTCTCCGACTAACTCCGGAGATCCTCAGTAAGGGAAAACTAACTTATTCCTATACTATAGTAATCAAGTCAAAACGATAGGTTTAGGTTAATAAATATCTTTATTACTAGCTTGCTTACGTTTGTACCAGTGTACCTTACGTTAGCCTCAGTGGAGCTGAGATTAAAAAGTAATAATCAAGCTTATATACATTTTCATATGTCACACAAATAAGATCGGTGCTAATCTTTCACATTAAATTATATATTGTGCAATACAGGCTTACTATAGATCCGACTAGATCGAGTGTCACTTATTACTTGCCACAAATTAATATTATTAATTAGCACCTTATTTACTAACATAATAATCTTCACAGTTTGACATTTTAATTGCTAACACCATATCCACGCTTGATATTGCTACAATAATTAATAACAAAACTCAATTAACAACTAGGTTGTTGTCGAGAACGGCAAACCTCTATAATAACATTATTAAACGTATTAGATCAAAATATTATTCATTTCGGAGCGAGCTCCGTCACAACATGGTTTGTTCATCTTAGTTAAGTAGGTAAACTTAAAGTCTACGTAAATACTGTAGCTTTTATCCCATTGGATTATTGATGGTCCACTACAAAATATTGTTAATAAGAATAATCTTGACAATTATAAAATAAGATAAAAATGTTACTATGCTGATTGTAGCTGCTAATGCTACGAAAATTATATAAAAATCCAGCTTTAAGTTATTGTAATACTTCTTTCTAGAAGTCTTTCTTCCTGCTAAATTTGGCTAGAATAGAGCTGCGAGTAGATTATCATTGTATAAAGGTCTTGTAAGATCCTAATTTTCTACAAATTTTGTAATTTTACGATCAGTTTAATCATAGCCTCACATGATCCAAATTAAGGGGGCTAGCAGTATGGATTTATTTTAATTGCAACCTGCAAATCTGAAATTATAATATTAACAGATGAGACTATAGTTGAAATATGTTCACTTTATTCAAAGGGCATTCGATGAATAAAATCGTTATAATATTTAATCGGTTATTATTTATTGATTTTGCCGTCTATTCGAATCTTGGATATTACACAAACTACCTACAAAGATTTTTAAAGCTTTCACAAATGATTCATCTATGAATAATAACGTCTTTATGATAACATTTAAAAGACTTGCTAAAATAAGCTATATGTTTTACGAATGATATTACTGCAATATGTTATCTCAGCACAAAACAAATCGTTAGCCTTATTAAAAGAATAAAAAGATTACTAAAGAAAATTTGGTAAAGAACGAAGCTCTTTGCATTACAATTATTGTGGAATTCATACAGTAAGTTGATAATTACGTAAGGGTAAAAGTATATGTATATAATATTTAGTTGCTATGAATTTATCCATTTTGATGTATTCCATTATAATTAGAATTTCAGAATCTTATTTTGTCTTAATGGCATAAATTAGGGATTACCACCCATAGTTTTTGTAGGTTCTGACTGATTGGTGGAAATCTGATTCGGGACTGCTGTGTACGGCCCAGGTTGAATAGCTTGCGTATATGTTGCCTGAGCGGGTTGGTATTGTATAGGCACTTTAATTATAAATAAGCATACAAAATCGAAATAGTTTATCAAGTATCATGCTTGAAATGATAATAAAAAATAGTATAAAGAGTAATTTGATAGTTTAATGTAGCTAATCCTATAGTGATATTACATTGCAAGCAGTTATTTGATGACATTATCATAATTTTATCCGGAGAAAGAAAATTCATAATAATAAATCTAGAATTATTTTTATCAATTAAAAAGCTATTTCATATCACTATACGATATGGGCGGACCATATTAAGCCATTTCCAATTGTCAAGTAAATCAGGCAGATTCTAAATTATAAATGCGTTTTAGTTAATCCTGAAATTGCTATTACCTTGCTGATTTGGATATTGTTGCATTGTTATAACGTGAGTTGCCGATTGATAGTGTGCAGAATGAGCACCCTGAATCAAAAATCATGGTATACCCGTATGTTAATGTGATATAGATGAGTTACCAATTGAATTGCTAATGAGATTATTTGTCTTTTCAAATACTACAGATGGTGATTTAATAGAAATTGAAGCTTTTATCACAGAATAGAACTATTAACGGTAGCTTCATTATTTGAATTCGTATGCGAAGTGGAATAATAACAAAGTAAAAAACAATTCTACTCTGCAACGTCCAGTTATCTTATAATCAGCTTCTGAATATTGGAATGAAGATACTAGATATGGTTACTAACCCCAGGATAAGATTTGCAATAGAGTTCTCTACTGAGTATTACAAGGAAAGTTAAAGTGGTAGCAGAGCCAGTTACTGCTAAGGCCAAAGATACAATGTTGAACCAGATAGAAGGAAGAGTACTACGACCAATCAAATAACCAAAACTGATGCCAACGTGACCAATGGAGGATACGAAACCCAAAATGGAGAATGCATACAAACTATTCATCTATTGTAATTAATATAAGTGAAATGGCAATCTTAAGCAAGCAGCGATGTCTTCCTTCTTTTTAAGTAATAAATTGGATCTTATTTATATATATACTGTCTGTAAGGTTGTATAAATATTTTGTGATCATTTAGAATTTACCAGATGAATGCTGGCTGCTTTTTGTTTCTTGTGATTTGCAATGGCAAAGATACCTGCCAACAGATACTGTTGCAAAAGTAATTCAAAATATTAGCTGAATACAATTCTGATTTTGAAGTTCATGCAAAACTGTAACTTATATAAAGGTAGGTTTAACAGATATCCTGAATAAATACATCGCTGTTAACAGTATCGTAGAACGGAGATAAGAAAGACTTGGAATACAGTGTTCATTTGAAAAAGAACATATTAATATGACTATGAAAGCGATAATAGTAGAAGCAGTTAGGAAGACAGCGGTCTTCTGGCGCTTATAGGTACGAACTAGTCATCGGTGAAATTTAAAAATACATGAAGATTAGATCAAGGAAATATTACTCAGGAAAGTTTGCTTATCAATACTTACAAACAATCCAGCCCAAATACCGCAAGCGAAAAAGGTAGTTGGATTGTAGATTAAATATGTATAATTATAGCCATTGCCACTATAAGTATGGACAGTATAGGTGGTAAAAAATCCAACAATTTCGAGTATTAAACTCACAAGACCAGTCACAAGTAATGTAACACCAAGCCCCAGTTGTGCTGGTCGAAGTTCCTCTGACAATGCCTTCTCACGCGGTATACAGCAAGATGTACTAACTCTCTGAGTTTCGTATGTTATTTGAGGTTGTTGTACTACTGTACATGGTACTGGTTGTTGATTGTATTGCGGTCGGATTACAGCTGCCATTTTGTTCTAATACACATTGATTGATTTAAAGCTTGCTTTTTACAGGATGCTCATAACTCTTCCAATTGCCGATAAGATAGGTTATATACTATTTACTACTTAGCCCTGCAGCTATCTACTGAGCATTTAAAGTCTTCTAATATACTGCTTGGAAGGCATTAAATACTCTAAAATTTATAAAATTATGCCTAATAACTGCTATAATGATTACTATGATTGTTATAATTTAATCTTTAACATGGTAATTTTAAATAGATTTGATTGAAATTCGAAAGGTGCATTTCTAATAAAGTAACTATATTCACTTACCTTCAAATTTGTGTTCTCTTCGTTATTCAAGAAAAATGTTTTAATCGTTAACCTTTATATAATGCTGCTTTCTGATTGTTGTATTATGACGTAGGATCCATAAGTCCCTCTGATGGAAGCATACTTAATGAATTTATCCATCACAATAGCTAGAAAGATTATTATTTACTATTATAGCAAATAGCTTAATTTTATATAGAATGGAGAACTCTATTATCAATATATTCATATATGATATTTAACTTTTACACCCTTTATGCAATCTATTATAATTTCGTTTTAGCTACTTTATGCACATTATTTTACTAGATATATTATAATTCGATTTTCTAAATTTAATATCCGTTAGAGCATGAGCTCTGCATTGTTATTTGCTTTTATTCAAAAGCAGTCTCACATGTGCATAATACATATGTAAATTTGTAGCTCTGTAACGTAATTTATTTTTATGGTCTACTTATCATTATATTATTTGCTAATATAAAAGGCATTATATTGTTGCTGATTTCATAGTCCGATATAGTCGACCAAGTAAATAATTTAAACGTCATTTATCGCTACCTATGGATTAATCATCGTTTTACATGAGGAGTCCTTTCTATCAAAATTTTGTAGTGAAATAACGTAGAAGGTTGATAATATCCGCTACACTGCTTGAATTCAAGTTTCTTTGTGGCGATATTATGCAAAGAATTAATGTAACTGTAAATCTTTAGAGGCTTATCTTAATATGTTGAGATTTCTTGCTAAGATCTTGCTATAATATCAATAATAGGATGGCAAGACTTGATAACATAACATTAAGTTATGAATAATAAAAGAACATGAGGTAATAAATCACTTGAATTGCAGATTTTGCAAAAATCATTGCCTGATATCAAACATGCTAAACTACTTGATTGGAGAACTTTGAGTTACTGCTTGAATTAAATTCAAAAATTAGCTTTACCAATAAGAAGATTTACCATTGTACAGGTTGTATTTTGCTTATTCTATGATTCCAAAGTGTTACTTATTAGTACTTTTTCAAAAATTATATAAGCTGCGACTCCAATAGATGCACGGTTTGAAATCTGATACTAAAAAACGCGCTTTGAAATTGAACCAAGTCTAGTATGAGCAATAGCACTAATTATCCCAGCTACTAAATACCGATGCAATTATTGGATATTTGTACAAGCTGCTCTTTACTTGCAAATTTGGGTTTTATTATTCTTTAAATGGACTATTATGATCGAATCGAAAGATTTGTATGAATTTAATAAATCAATTCCTTCATAAATTGCAGTAATATCGAGATATAAAGGGAAAAAGTACGAAAAGATCTACTCAATCTGATATTCTAATTATTCTTTTCTGTTCTTTTTATTTAATTCTGTAAAATATCTCAGGTAACTTTATAGAACTTTTATGGACATATCGTCTATTGATTATTAGGAATTGACTTAGAATATATAGATGAGTCTAAACGACTATAGTTAAACCAATATTACATTTAATAAGTAAGTACTCATGTGCTGTAAGATAGATAGACGGAACATTGGTCCAAATTCAGCCTATCTTATGACATGTCATCTGAAGCAGCCCTATAAATTGCGGCCATAAAGGTAATTACAAGCGAAGACGACTTTGATGAGTACATTTCGGTATTAAAATAATCAGAAGTACTATCTAGTCTATATTACTTTATATCAGCTTGTAAGCTCATCAAATAAATTGTACTTTTCGGATCGATGTTATTAAGGAACCCCGTATTAAGTGCGAGCTACTTAACCATGAAAATTGAATGTTCATATATCCATCATCCTGCATGTTTCAACTTTGTCGTAGCTACTTTCACTTCTTTTGTTAGATGATGTTGATCATTCATATTTATGTTCACTTAGGCTATAAGCGCTAGAATGCATTGTACGCAATTACAAAAGTTCATGATACGTACTTATATCTCATTTAGCTATTTGATTTACCAGCATGGTATATATTAAATGCATTCTACGACATGCAAGTTCTATGACGTAGGTCAGTTGTTAATGATAAATTACGTTATCATTCTTGGAATGAATGAACGTAAGTTAGACCTTGAGTCGAAATATTCTAAATCAAAAGTATTATCAAATTTATAAATGATCGTATCATCAACAGAAGCCTTTTTAATGATGGCAAAGAGTTGTCAAATAGATTTTAATTTTGGTATTTATAATTAAACCCTGAATATTAATTCAAGACATTTACTAAATTTAACGATACTGGTTCTTCATTATAAGGTCTGGTAACGTTTTCAAAGATTGAAACCAAATGCAATTAAAGTAAAAACTATTAAAAGTTCCATTCTGTATTTAATAGCTATCATCATTAGAAGGTTGATTTTTATTATTATGTGATGTACAAAGAATTGGACTACTATAAAATGGATTAAAATAGTGAGAAATTTTCACTAAAAAGTAAATTTGCGGTTTGGCTTCGACAATTTAACTTACGGAAGAGACGATGGGTCCCAATCCTATTTTATCAAGGATATAATTGAGTGGTATTTTTGCACTTACTAACGAGCGGTAGCTTTCAAAGATTTTATTAAAATATTTCTCTACAGTGTGTATTCAATATTAAGCTACGTAACAAATGCCATAATTATATGATTATAAAATTTGTAGTAATTGTAAATAATCGTCGGAGAAATTTAACGAGGTATTACTTAGAAAGTTTGCAACCGGAGCTAATCTTAACTGTCATACATATTTTTATATGTAATTCTAGACTATTCCGAAAAATTATTTGCAATCCCGATTCTAAATTACAATTAAATGATTAAGATCAAACTAGCCATATTAAATGAAATGAAATGAAAAGTGTAGAAATCAAGCCACAAAACTTTTAACAAACTTTGATTCTACTTTCACAGCACTCTGGTCGACTTAACGAACTTTGATACCAAATAAAATTGGGGAAATAACCAATCAATAATTTATTAAGAAAATGTGAGAGAATCTGATCAAACAATCTTCCAAGTACTGAATTCTAAGTATTATAAGTCAAGAAATAAAAACAACTGAGTTGAAACTGTCAACAACCAAACAATCTAACAAAAGAAGGACGTTTTCACTCACAACAAACAGTTCGACTTAGATGGTCTTTAAAATCCAGCAAGTTTTTCAAAAGAATTTTCTTTTACTTTCTACTCTAAATATTTTGATTACACTATCATTTATAGACTTTGTAGAGCAGTCAGTGGTATTTAAAACTAAATTTTTATTAACCAATCGCTCTTAAGATTCACTTTAGAAAACTACTTTGCACCACTTAAGAAAACAAATATCATTCAAAGTTCAGACGCGATTTACCGTATGATTCCCTTACAAAACACTATAAAACCATCAAACTAACTATAAAATAATCATTAATACATTATAAAAATCTAAAAATTAGCCTTTAAACATCAAGATTTAGCCCTAAAAATAGCATTCTAGCTACTTTACAATCAACACAACCTCTGCCATTTGCCATCTTATTTTTTATTTTCTAAGCTAAACTTTCCTAATGTAACTTGCATGATATTGTACGATAACTGTACGATTATAACCCAAATTGCAGTACTTTACCGTCATGTTATAAATCCCCTTTCTCTATGGATAGGGTTTTCTTACTAAGTCAAATTCATTTACAATCCCAATAGACTATCAAACGCACTTTCTTAAGGTTAGAAGATTGCTCCTAGGTTATTTCTATAGTAATCTATACAACACTTTGTAAAATAATGAAGAAAACATGGCGATATCACGATTTGGCATGGTAAAATTTAAAGATACTACCACTTTCAAGGTATTTTCTATAGTAAGTTAAAATATTCACATCCTAAAAGCTATAAAGGACTCTGCTCTTTGTCCTTTACGACATAAATTTCTGTAAAATTTATTAAAGACTTACTAATTCGTCTTATCAAAAAACAGTAAAAATAATTAAATAGTTTAAACTAATGAAATTGAAGTAGCTAAGGATTACATCCAAGCAAAAATATGTTCTCCTAGAAGTAAAGTTATAATTGTTCAGGAATATATTTAACGATGGCACTATTACTACTAAAGGATAAGACTGTATGTGGCATTCAGTCGTTATAAATTAGTTGGAATTCTTTTATTACAAATTATACTAGAATGACATTATTGACTATCATTTTATCGTATTGAGCATTATTAGCCATAGATTTTGTAGGCTATCATTGAGTCAAGGAACACTAATTAAGAGCTACAGTATATGGTTGTGATATATACCGATCACGAAATTCCAAATTTTAGAAAAATAAGAGCTTTATGGAATCTTATACAAAGATTTACAACACACAACTCTACTCTAGCCGAATACTACTACTAAAGACTTCTATAACGAACTAACAGAATAATCTAAAGTTGCATGCTTTTATACTTTTCGTAGCATTCGCAGCTACAATCCGTACGCCAACCTTTTACCTTATTTTACGCGTAGTTAAATTATTCTCAGTAACACTATTCTACTATGGACCATCATTAATCCGATTTGGATATGACTGCAGTATTTACGTAGGCATTATTCACACCAGTCAAAGTATAATGAATTAACCATATCCTAATATATGATTTACAGTTCCATTTTTACCTATAACCTTATGAGTAACTCAACACCTTACTGTATATAGTCATCTGTACTCTAGCATAGAGTCTATAACACTACAGTCTATAGTTATGGCTACCAAATATATCTTAGAATAAATATAGAAGTTACCTTACCGTACATTATACTAAACATGGCTAACAGTCTACAATCACTATACTAAGTTACATTACAATGGTCCAGGTTGAGCCATTTGCACATTGACTTGCTGAATGGGATGGTACTGCATGGGGACTTCAGTTATGGGTACATAAATATAGAGGCAAAAAATTAAAAATTTGTAGTTTATTAATGATTTCAAAGAATACGTGCGTTTACTTGCAATCGAATAGAAACTACTTTGATAACATGCAACTTATTTGCTACTGAGTACAATTTGAGCAGTTATTTAACGATACAGTGATAGGTTGATTTACAGTAATACATACTTACACAATAATAGATACATAGATACTTGTACTATAGCATATCCTTGCATATTCTTGTATAGTAAACGACAAGCGCATGTACTTTTATATATTCTTTTATATTGTTTTATAGGCGAGTTTATGTTATGAAGTATTTTTTCATGTTTTGCTATTCATTTTACCGAGCTATCAACATTTGTTAAGTATATTAAGCGACTTATAAAACATTGCCGTATTTAACATTAAGATAATCATTACCTAAAAGTACGATGCAAGCTAGAGATACAGCAAAGCCAATTACTCCCAGGCCCAATGATACGATATTAAACCAGATAGAATGATAAGTACCATAGGAAAAAATAAATCCAAAACTGACGCCAATGTGAGGAACTGAGAGGATGATGCTTATAATGCAGAAGGCATAGAAGCAATTTATCTATTAAAAATTACAACAAGTAAACTAATATTATTTTAGGTACATAATCCTGTTTTTCTCTTTCCAAGTATAAAATTTTGTCTTTTTATAACTAAAAGTCTAAAGTATTCTGTGAGTGATGGATAGTCAGTTAAAATTACCAAGTGAATACTGTTTTCTTTCTTGCGGGTTGTAAGAGCGAAGATACCACCTAGTAGGTACTATAAGAAATAAGAGTGATTCAAACCATTTGTTGAAAGTTGAGCTGCGATAGATTTAGACGAGATTTTAAAAGAGACTATCCAAACTTTAATAGAACTTTTATGGTATCACTTATCCTGTATTTCAAGTGCAAAATGGCAGTCATGTCAAATAAACTATCCAAAACGGTACCATACTTTTTATCACGTAATAAAGTTGGATAAATACTCAAAAGCAGGTAAGAAAAATAGAAAACCATATGATGCTTTTATTGCAAATATGACGATGGTAGTAGTCATAAAAGCAGTAAGAAAATTACCCACTTGCACTTGTTGACAATAATCAAACACTTAAACTATGGGAATTAAGCAAATCCGATATTCAGATTGAAGGAAAGCTAACTGTAGTACACGTATCAAAGCTTACAAAGACTCCTGCCCAAATGTCTGCGCCTATCCAAGGAGTCATATTGTAGATATAATATGTTGAATTGTAACTAATACCCTGGTAGGTATAAAGATAAGAGTTGGTGAAAAATCCAATGATTCCGACTAGAAGACTTGTAAGACCGATTAGGACTAATATTATTCCAAGTCCAAACTGTGCAGGTTGAAGTTTGAACGGCAACGACTTCTTACTTGGAATACAACAAGATGTAGTAACAACTTGATCTTGATACATTACTTGCGGCTGCTGCGCTGTCATAATCTGTGCTGGTTGTAGTAGTATTTGTGGTTGTTGAATAAATTGTGGTTGAGTTGGTAGTGCCATTTTGTTCTAAGGTACACCGATCTTGTTGCTGATACTATGAAACGATTATATTCCTATTAATTACTTAATTTATTTGATAGTAATGGTAATAAAAGCTACTTTAGTTACACTGTTTTATTGATATTTGCTGAGTATTTGCAATCTTCTAATATCTACCTAATCTAGATAGAAACTATTGAATAAAGTGGAATAGATATGATATTAAATGATTACTGTAAGAATACTATATCAATTCCTAAGTCAAATCTTTTATATCTAGATTTAAAGCATTTCTAAAAGCTCCACATCCTTTCCGTCATCGTTACTTACTTTCGATAAACGACTATTCGCTATTCGTTTGTTCCGTTAAATGCCGTCTAATAATTATTGTATCTTTTATATATTACATATATATACAGTATGAGACGCTGCATAGCTTATCTGCGGTCGAGATTAATTCACTCTTTTAATAAAGTAGACATGTGATATAATAGCTAGAAACAAAATTAGAATAACTATAAAAAACTATAAAATTCTATTTTAGTATTAGGTGAATGCCTATTATTAACAGACTCATAATATCAATAAGCATTAAAGATTGCCCGTGAGTGGATGGTGCTAACATTAAAGTCAATATGAAGTTTAAAATAGAATTGATAGAATACGTAATCGGCTATATATTAATGATCTACTCATAAATAATTCATAAGATATCATAAAAGCACATGCGCTACATTGTTGTTGACTTTTAACCAATTGCAGCCATGCAAGTAGATCATTTGTGCAACATTGCTTCAAACTAGATGCTCCAAGTATAGTTGTCATCACGTCGTAAGAAGTCTATTCCTATAAAATTCTTAATTAAATATAGTAGCTATATCGGCGACCGATAAGAGCTATAAGGTACCGTAAGATACCTGCCTTCTATAAGCAATTACATAAGTTATAGGGCTAGTTTTAGTCTTAAACGGTTGTATAACTAAGAGATCTAGCACTTAAACTAAGGAAGAGCACAAAAGAAAAATACTCGTAAACTACAGTGTTGCGCTTTGATAATGGAGTATTGACGCTTTAGCTCTCGTAATATAGAAAACAAAGAAATATATGCAATATACTAGCGTTACAAATATTAATTTGATCAATTCTTCAACATTTATATTTTTATAACAGTAACATTACAATCTCACCCGGAATGGGCCCAAAATAAACTAGTTTCTTCTGGTAGAAACTATTTGACTAGATTTAAATTAATTTAACTTCATTTGTAGTTCTGCTGTAAATTTAGGCACATCATAAACATTTGCGATTTCACTATTAGAAAATTGCCACTTCGAAAGAGGCAATTTTTACTTCGAGAAATTTTGGTATAGCATAAAATTTATGAGACTTGAAAGTTGTGAAATCAGTGATTTATTGTCTCATTAAGACTTACAAGCAAGGTAATTACCAGAAACTACAAATTCGATCATTTAGCTTAAGAATCTCAGTCATAACCTTATCAAAAGCACGTTTGCTATTGCGGTGGAATTCTAAACTATCGATACATCATAATGACGTCTAGCGATATAAAATGTGACCTATTGTACCTATAGTCATTCTAAACAATTTTCAAAATATTTCAATAATGAGCGGCAATTGTAAACCATATTTTCTGTATGTTAAGAGAAATATTTCATCAATGTATGATAACAATTCTTCTTGATTTAACTAAAGACGAAATGACTGACACCTATACCGCAATGAATTAAATATTCCCGTACTATACTGCAATTAATTTTTGGTACAACTAATAAAATTAGTCACTTTAAGGATGAGGGTATGAAATCTAGTCGATTCTAATTGATTAGAATTGATAAAATTATAGTACAGAGAAAGATTTTGTAATTCTCTATTTTCAGCATTGAGGCAAAGAATTTAGGCATCACCACTCGCAGTTTTTACTGGTTCTGGCTGAATAGTAGCAGTTTGAGTTTGAGTAGGGGCTACAGTATACCCCCCAACAGGCGCAACTTGCGTGTACGTTGGTTGAGCGGGTTGGTATTGCATTATGACTTGATCATTAATATGAAAACAAGAAAATTAGTATTTGCTACACTAATTATTCTATTTAAATTATCTGTGCATAATCTTACGCAAACTACCATACTTAAACTATTTAACTTAACCTTAAGAGATATCATAAACACACGAAAAATATCACACTTAATGCTACTGAAATGAGATAATTCATAAATGCATGGATGGAAGAGGTAAAATCTTTCCATAAATAGAAAAGGCAAACTCTTTCCCTAATAGCATAGTATCCTCTGACAACACATGAATATTACAATTGATTTGATTTTCTTTACAAAATGATCATAGTATCAATTAGAGGATAGTCAGGAATAGCCTACAGATCACAATTTGTGATCATATTTAACATGAAATTATTATTACCTGGTTGGTTAGGATATTGTTGGTTAGGGTATTGTTGGTTAGGATATTGCTGCACAGTTAGAACTTGACTTTTACCTTGAAATTGGACTGTGTAAGCACCCTAAAATTGAGGCCATGATATCAATATATCTATTTATGATTACTCAACAAATTCATATACATATTTTAATCTATAAATCAGTAATAAATGCGAGCCAAAAATGGCTATTTAATAAGTGAAATTAAAGCATGAACATAGAAAGCTTGATATGTACAGTATCATATGCAGTCTTATAAAGGATTAATTTTTTAACGAAGAGCAAGAACTGAAGAAATTTATTATTTTGAGATAAAATTTTCATATTTTATAAGATACTGAAATTGTTTCACTAACCGGTGGGGTAGGTTTACAATAAATTTCTTTACTTAAAAGTATGATGAAAGTCAAACTGCAAGAAAAGCCAATTAATGCAAAAATCATTGAAACAATGTTGAACCATTCCGTGTAACGAGCGCCGTAGTTAAACATAAAGCCAAGGCTTAAGCCAAAGTGAGGTAATGATAATATAAAGCTCATTATCGAGAAAGCATAGAAGGTGTTCATCTATTAAAAATTACAACAGCCAGATAAAATGAAGTAATTAGTTGTAACGATCTTTCCAGTCGTTAAGGTAATTATAAGTAGGTAATTAGAATTTAATTGTTACAGTTTGGAATGTTTTACGCGCATTGTATTTGATAATCAGAATTACCTGATGAACGTCGTTTTGTTTCTTGTAAGTAACAGCGGCTAAGATTCCACATATGAAATACTGCAGCAAAAAGATTTCGAAACTTGAGTTAAAATTTATCTTATTTCGATGTTATGATACATTTTCAAAATGTGACAACAATACTAAGGCATATATTAGATAAATGGTCATTGTATTATAGTATTCAGGGTATTCATTTATGACCGTAGACAGTTAAATTACTTAAACTACAGTAGTTAAATTATACAAAACCTGGAAAACAGAATGATAGTGAAATAGTGTATCAGAGAATTGAAAACCTTGTATTACATCTACTGCAGTAACAATGATAGTAATTGATTATACTGGTATTTATATTTGTCAAGACTCCCTTACGTTATGGAAGTACTAGATAGGAAACGAAAGCTCGTCAATATTAGAAATAGAAAGAATTGCTCATTACTGTCAAACATATTTTCAGTAACAACTTTATCAATGCTTACAAATAATCCTCCCCAAATATCTCCGGCGTACCAACTGGTTGGATTATAATAGGTATAATAAGTATGAGAATGGAACGAGTAGCCTCTATAATTGGCCTTGAAAATTCCAACGGTACCGAATATCACACTGGCTAGACCAGACAGGCTCAAGAAGATGCCAAGTCCTAATTGGGTGGAGCGAAATTTAATCGGTAAAAATTTACCATGTGGTCTGCACATACCGGTACCAGAAGGAGCCTTATTTTGTTTGTGTATTATTTGTGGCTGCTGGACAGGAATCATTTGTGCTGGCTGTTGAATTACTAGCGGTTGTTGGACGTATTGTGGTTGAGCAGGAGTAGCCATTTTGTTTTGTGTCAGTCTAGTGTAAAATCGAATGACATAAATTAGTTACAATTGGAGTTTATTACCTCTAATTAAGGCTTAAGCGTAAGGTTTACGTATCAGACTTCAATTTCACTGTATACTCACTTTTTTCGTTTATTTTAAGGATAGAAGAAAAATTAACTATAGTGCATACGTATAATTCTATGCTATCGTGACAAAGTGTCTTCAAAATGCTAAACAAGAATTATTGTTTCTTTTGAAACTTCATCTTATTACCTAAACTTGGTTCCTTTAACGTACGACTATTATTACTCCGTGGTTTACTAATATTAAAATCTCACAATCGACGTTCAACTATTTCCGTACAATATTATTATTTTATCTAGACTAATTTGGGGCTGTGCTACCGTTATCGAGAGTGTTAGATCATGCTTTGCTGAAGCTGAAGTTAACTACTATTTAATAATTCTAAGTTAATATCTCTTGTTATAATTAGATAGACCATGTTTCGATAAAGATAATTATCCTGATAATAATAGAAAAAAATTACTATTTCTCTTCTATATAAGCATGCAACTTACTGTAGTGTACTTGAGGTAAGTTACCAATCTACGGTCTTAAAAAAATGACTTAACTGGCTTTTGGTAGTCTATATATAGCTACAGCATTTATCGTATTGTCTGCCAGTCTATTGAAATATACAAATTACTTTGAGCAAATACGGCATGATACGTATGACATCACGTAAAGCGATAGCTCACAGTTAATTATTGATTGAGACTGAAAGCCATGGCAACGGCATAAGAGTTACTATCAATAGTTGCGTGGAATATGATATATAATTAATTATTATAATTATTGGACATTTAATGTAGCTAAATAAATAGAATAGCGAAACGCCTAGATACCTTTGATCATCGTAGGCAACAGAATAGAATTATATTCTTCTAACAATTTGATTTTAATTGAAGGGGACTGATTTTATAGCATGTGCTGTAAATTTCAGACATAAATAGTCTAATCCTGAAAAGTATCTCATGTTACAGTAACTATGTAAGCTAATTTTGATATGAGTAAGCACAAGCATAATTAAAACATTCTTATACAATTATGAAGCTTTTATTCCATGATAGTTGATATTGCTACAAGTAAGCACTAGCGCAATTAGAAAAAATTTTTAAATTATGAAATATTCAGTCCTCATGATGGTCATTACTAATACGAGTAACAACTACCATAATTAAGAAAACCTTATATAACCATGTGGTATTCTATCCTTAGTTAGCCCTTATTGATATGAGTAAGCACTCGTGTAAATTAGAAAAATCTTGAAAACCTATCTATTATTCTATAATCTTGTTAACTTTCACTGCTCTACATTTTAATTTATCTTTGATTGATTCCATATAACAAATTAAAAGCTGTATGATTAGCCATGATCGTTATCACATAGTGTAATATATTTTCTTGAAGATTTCCTTTGCATACGGCATGATTGCTTAAAAATTAAGAGTATGAGATAAAACTTAGCTCTACCATTTATTAGTATGCTAGCTAGGTGATGTTTTAATATTATTGTTAGCAATTGATGATCTGTTATTGTGAAGATAATGACCAACTGCTAATAAAATATATTCGCACTGCCTAGAATGTTAGCATTCACATAGACCCTATATCTGTATTAATCATCTTAATGACACCGTTATTGCCTACGCAGAGATAAATTAGCATAGTAAATGAACTGGATATTACAGATGTAGATCTGAGTACTAGCAAAATGCATCTTTTTTATAGTTACTGTAACGACTATCGTTATGTTTCAGTAAATGCTAATTAACCTACCAATTTAAATAGTAAAACAAAATTGTTGTATTATTGCGAATTAGATGAATATTCTAACGTTATTAAATTACTTACTTTAGCAAAAATTTTCTACATTTCAGACGTCAAAATACGTATGAATAGTGTAAAGGTTCTTTATTCACAACTATACGATAGATAAATTAAAAATATAATAAACTATTTCCATAAATACTTGATAGTAATTCTGTCAGAGTGCGGTAATTTATATGGTAAATTACGTTTTTACGATCCATCATCCTCGTATGAAACTGTTTAACTTTGGCTGCGTTTGTATCAAACAGGATAGCATAATAATTATTAAGGCTGACATATTTATAAGATATTAGCATCAAAAAATTAGCTTTATGTGTTCTAAAGATTATCACGAAGGTGAATAATTAAAATAACTTCGTACAAGCACTATGATCCCGTAAATTGCAGATTAAACTACAATACTAAGTATTTAAAGACAAGATAGATCTAGATTTTGGCTTTTACCCTCTTTAAAACTTTAAACAATATGCGTATTCAACTGAACAAGTAATCCTTTAACGTCAAGTAAGTCGATTCGATGTATGTCTGTAACTTGCTATTAATTTTTGTGAAGCTAAATAATTCTGATACCCTCTCACAGCCCTATTTTGTTGTTATTTTATGTCAGTATAATGTTAAATTCCTGTACAATCAGCGCATTGATTTTAGTACTAGTAATCACGAGGAAGCAATAGATAAAAAACTAAAATAATGATGTAAACCTCATAGAATAAACCTAGATTGTTGCTTATGTAATTATTAACAGCAGATAGATGGTTGAGCTATGAATCTTTGATTGTATTCCACAGACACAATAATCCTTAACTTTTATCTACAATAACTGCCGTGTGACGCTATGGTTTTACTAATGGCATTTGTCTGCTATAGGAATAAAGATTTTAGAGGTTGCTGTTAACATTTTCAATTTTGTTTGCTTCCTGACAGTCAATTTCTAATTCTAGAATTAGTAAATCATTCGCCTGTTTGCATTGACATCCACACCCGATACTAGTAAAACTTGCTGCTGCCTTAAAATAAATCAGTTGCTTCCTGTTAAACTCATTAGAATGTTGTATTATAGTAAAGTTTAAATATGCTTTAGTAATTAAGATTTCCGACAACTTATTTTTTGTTCTTATATTTCTGATGAAGTAAATTTCAAAAAATAAAATTTACGAAATAAAGAATACATGGAGAACCCCCGGCATTAGTAAAGTATTATGATGCCATACTCAAAAAGATCAGCAGATGGGATTTATTGTAATGAGGCAATAAATTTAATGTAATTCGCCCTTTTACACCTATTATTAGTCATTTAATCTTGAAAGAATACCCCGATATCTGAAGTTAATTGTTCTAATGTACAGACATTAATGCACTGTCAGCATTATTCAGTTACTCAAAGGCGCGATCGAAAAGTAGGTGAATTTTAGAAAACTGGTAGGCTTAGTTAATGCTCATAATTATCATAGCTATAAATCATGAGCTGATGACTTTAATATACAGTAATACACAATCAGTGCTATAAAATTTATCTATAACGCTGAAAATATCGCCTTTACATATTCTATGACAGCCATGGACAAGAGTTAGCAACATCCAATGTTGCCCTAACGCCAACATTGTTGTAATGATATGCAAGGGCGTAGGTACTAAAGACTCGCTGCCTAGCGATTATCGGTGTAACAGAAACGATTCTGCGTATTGCTTAATGAACGATATCTCTTATTTAAATTCTGATTGTTGGGAAATAGAGGTTAGATCAATAAGTGATGGGTTAGCTGAGAAATCTAGCAATAGTGACATTCATTTCAGTATATAACTTTGTTGACGGTAGATATTTCTTCGTAGATTTAGTGTACTTTACGAGTAATAATACTACAGCGTAACTATAATTTGAAAAGCTTATGTGTTTACCTAACATTTAAATTCAGAAACATAGATTAATTACATTTTACTACTCTTAATGAGCATAATATACTGTGCTTGCCATTTCAGTTTATTTAATTGCACAATACGTAAATTGTGTTTCAATGTAACTGTAATTAATTTTTTTAAAGAATCCTAGAGTCTGGTCAATCATCATTAAATAAAATAGAAGCGCATCTCCAACTTAACAACAGGATTATATTCTTACTAGTACTGGGAGTAATTACAGTATTTAAAAAATACATAATATTAAAACTTGATAGAGTAGAGAGAATGACTGACATAATCAGATACGGATAAAACTCGTTTATGTGATATACAATCAAAATAACGACTTTTAGGTACGATACAGTAAATCTCCCAGGCAAGCTGATATATGACTATGCAATGATGATTAGAAAGAATGATATTTGCAATGTCTCCCAAGTATTGTAAGAAACAACCGATTTAATCAGAGGTAATCTTTTCCTAAGGCTATCAAGAAGATGAAGAATATCTATTTTAAGCCGCGTAGGTATAGGTTTAAACAGCGATGATTCCTCGCTTAGTCTGTAAGATATGCATTCTCATACTGCAATTAGATGTTATCAGGATGTAATTATGACAGGTTTAATAATATTAAACTTAGTAAAGGTCATTAATGCTAGAAATTATATTTGACTTATTCGTAATACCATCCTCAAACAAGTAGAATTAAGTAGAACTACAAACTATGCAATAAAGGGTGTTGTATGCAAATCAGAAAGGCAATGTATATTTTGTTAATTATCGGGATCACATAAATGACTTTTACCGTTACTTAGTTAAAACTGAAAAGTCATTAAGGTCACTAAAGATTGTATTCACTTTGTTGTTTAAATTTAAAAATAGACAGGCAGCCAAGATCTTATAGAATTTTAGAGCTCTAGAGAAAAAGAACGAAGCTTTATGTACCTCAGTTAAATGATTGGTTTCTATGATTAATCAAGAATCGATATAACACTTAAAAGAATTTCAGGACCATCGTTATCGTTAAATAAGATAATGAGATTTTTTTGGAGAATTATATTTAACGATTTATTTAGTAATAATATCTTTGTATGAATATCAGTCAATCATTAATAGTAAAAGAATCTAATTCTGATATATTAATTTCTTTTCATAACTACTCCTACGTATTAAAATTTGTGTTTCGATTTCCAAATTTTAAGTTTTATCTGTTATTAGAGTAGCAT